TGGGGTCCCCCTTTCTCCTCTTTGTTCTCTTTGGCTGGGTTTTTACGCCCCAGGGCCCATTTTTCACTCCCTCGCCCAACCTGTATTTTTTTTTTTTTTTTTTTTTTTTTTTTTTTTTTTTTTTTTTTCACTCTTTTTTTGACTTATCATGTGGGCAGAGTTTCACCTACTCGCTCTGGTGTACACCAAACGTTGGCGCGGTCTTCACGTTTCCTATTTAAGATTAAAACAAGACCCAGCAAGAAAATAGTGTGACCAGAATTGCTTAATTGTAAGAAGGTTATTTATTGCACAAGTCAATGGTAGCATTGTTTGATTTGACGGGGGTGGGGAAGGGACTTTTTTTCCCTCGTATTATTGATGACTCCTCTCACTCACTTAATCATTCATCTCGTTCTCCATATGCCACGGTGCTGACTTGGTGATAAGATAAGATGTACTGAAATTTACCTGCGCACGCGGAAGATTACTTACACGATTGGGTGTGCTGGAATTGACAGTGGGTAATTCGATGGTTGAAGGAGTATTCCAACCGGTACAATGGGGACGATACTTGGGTTTCTCTTACTATTGGAATTGCTAGTATTATTTATTTACTTCTACTGAAATTTCTATTTTTTACTTGCTTTGGTTCTCTCAAAGCTCTGTTACTCACCGCACTATTATTAGAGATAAGCTTCACCAGGGTGGATCAGGTGTAATTTTTCTCGTGGGGAATGGTAACATAGTCGAAAAATGCAGAGAATGTAAGTCACATCAACTCAAGTACCGAAAATATTTTAAAACGCTGTATTCTAGAACCTCAGGCTATCTATAATGGACTTGGACTTGGTCCTTGGTCCTGTACTTCTTACTAGAGGCAAGAAGAAAAATTGAATTTCATTCTCTGTTTCTACGGTTATATTTGTAGAACCTTCTCTTATCAATTCTAGAACGCTGTATTCTAGAACCACAGGAAATCCACATTGGACTGGACTGGACTTAAACTTATTACTGTAGTTCCTACCAGAGCCTGAAGAAAGGTTCGAACACCTCCTAATACTATTGTAAGATATGTCTAGCTTTCCTTATTATTTCTAGCCCCACATTTGGCTTCTATATATGTTAAATTTCCTTTTGCCAGCTTAATGAAATTTATCGGTTTCTTCAGAGGGTAAGTGCGGCTCATTCTGTCACTGTTTCAATATGCTGCATTTACTCTGCTACTTCTTCAATAGTTGCAGCACGTAGTCTACCATATGCGCTGAATCTTCGACCTGAAAGGTCTGTTTGCTTCTTTTAGTACTTGCGTGATCTTCTCCTATCCTAATTCTTAGTTTTGAACTTTTTTGAAATCCCTTTGGGATATTATCACCAGCCGATAATGCATACAAACCTAGTCTTGATATAGTAGATGCCCTTTTTAGCTCAAAAAGAACGTTTGCACATCCATGCATGGAAACTAAAATGTAGTCAAGTGGCTCCCCTAATTCGGTATTTACATAATGTGGTAAACCTGTGCTGCAATTTGTAGCAACACACTTTTTGTTCAATACTTCGTTGATGAGATGTTGCTGAAATGGAGAATGACATAGTATTCCTATCGAATTGGATTTATATCCCAATGCTCGCATGTATTGATAAATTGCAACAATATATTCTGCTTCATCTATATTCACACGAGGGTGGGCATCAGGCTTCGATTCTACAATTTGCACACACTTATCAAAACCTCCATTAAATACAGGGAGCTCATCCAAATATTTAGCTTCAGAATGGTATAGTGAAGATATTTCGCTCCTAACATGCATTTCAGGGCCAATGGGGCCAAGGGTTCTTGTCTTGTATTTGCTCACCAATGACTCTCTATTAACAAATTCGTTACCCATAACAATCACTCTCTTAACACTTTTAATGAAGTAGAAGGGAATAAGACTTTCAAAAGCTGTTTTTAAATGAACCTCAGTTAGTAAAACCGAACCAAATCTGAGTTTTTTCAGTAATGACAACAATTCCGAAGACTGTAATTCTTTCCTGAAAAATTGGTACCTAGCCTGAACGACATTGCAGTATGTGTTGACGATGTAGCTATGTCTTGTACTCTGGTTGTCCAATTTTCTCAATGGGTTCAAAAGTTTCAATTGTTCGAATATTGAAAGAACTTCTATGTATGAAAGCATGATCTTCTTCAAATTTGCTTCAAAGGAGAGAGATTTATCTATATCCTGCCTGAAAAAGTACTCCGATTGTAAAGTCTCATTGCTCGGAGTAATCTTAACCTTCAGCAAGAATTTCAACCATTGGGGTTCAATATGGCGCTTGAGTAAAATGACGGAATCTTCATAAGATTGGCTGAAATTTAAATTGTCTAATCTCAACTCATTGGACAATGAATCTACCTTTGCAAATAACGTAGCTTGTAATGAATTGAGCTCCTTGACCTTATTGTCCAATTGCTTCAAATCGAAGGATAAATTTCCAGAGAGGAAAATCAGCCTGGCACCTCTCTCAATTTTGAAATCAGAGGCATAATCTGGAACCACTACTAATATTTTCTCATTTGGGAAGTTCAACAACAAGTTAGATAGCAAAGACTTAGTGAATGTTTCGTTTGAAAAGGGGAGTGTCTTGATTATCGTCAAGCCTGAAGAAAAAGACGAATAAAGACATTCGAACGATAATTCTCCTTCAATTGAAGTTCCTGGGCTTATGTCGAGTTCTTTGATGTTAACACCTGTATTATCAACATTAACCATCAAAGGACCACTATTTTGACTTACAGTTCTCGCTTCTATTTTCATTCTTTTTCGATCTTGGCCATTCATTTCAAATTCTATTTCCTTGAACTCTTTTTTTAAAAGTTGGTATGAATTGGGTAAATCCAATTTAAATTCTTTCAACTTCTTCGCATGCTTGAACTCATTCTTCGTTATTAAATCCTCAATCAAAGATGGAAGTTGCAATGAAGTGATTACATTCGGCTTTTCGAGAAGCAAACGTATGCCATTGAAATCTTCTGGCAACTTAATAATAGTATTATAGTGTGTCAAATTCACTGGGAATCCATTAGGTTTCACTACCACACAAGTTTTATTCTTTATACTTCTCACTATGCAAATCTGAGAAGAAGATACTCCGTATTTCTTCATCAACTCTCCGGTACCGTATGGATTGGGCTTCAAAATCTCAACTAACAAAATAAAGTTTCCAACAGTGAATGAAATATCCTTTTCAAGGAATACAGAGCTAATCCCATCCAATCCTAATTCTATTGTCTTGATTGGGCTAGAATATTTACTTGAGCCTTTTATTTCCCCACTTTTGGAGATGGAAAGTCTATCAAGAATCTCTAAAGTGCTCTTGAAAGAACCCTTACGATAGGATTGACTATATGCTAGGAATGTGGACTGAATGAAATGATGTAATGATAGGAAATTGGCCAGACGTCCTGAAATGACTTCTTCGATTTCACTATTTCCAGGGATATCTTTTTTGTCAAATTGATCCAAATTATCTGCAACCGACAGCTTTAAATCAAAGTTTGGAGGGAAGAGATCATTCAAAATGGACTTTATAATACAAGGAATGTCGAAAGGATCCTTTCGGTGTTGACAGACATTCATCGAGGCTGCTAATTCCAATAATAGTCGCTCATCCTTGATATTATAGAGAAACTCTGATAAAACTTCTCTAGCAGATTTATCTGCTTCTTCAAGATTATATATAGAAGGTAATAAAGTGAACCATTTTAAGACATCTGAGGAATCCAGAGCACTTACTGTTTTTTGAAGTCTATAAAATTTCTCCAACTGGTCAGTTTCAAGCTGTTCCAATGACTTCATCTTATAAGAAAATTCATCGATTGGATAGTACGTTATGTATCTCAATACAGAATCTTCCTCGGGTACCATGATTTCTTTGACCAACGTTCTCAAGCTAAATCTAATGGACACCAGAGAGAGACATACCACCAAAAACTTCTCAATGGAAGTCTTCAAATGAGGGTGGTTTTTACCAGATACCAGATACCAGTTGAGTAAATTGTATGCCCAATTATCTTTTACCTTTTCGTTCTCCTCTTTTGATTTCTTTCCTACTTCTTTCGTATACAATTCCTGAACAGTCTCGGGCATCGTGGAAAGTAACTCATCTACATTCTTCAAATATTTCCAGCTTGAAATTGTGAACATCTTCTTCGAGTAATTTTCAATTAACTTGTTCGATAAATGCTCTGTTATTAATAGAGATAGGAAATCGAAACATGATTCATAGTATACGTAACTGGAGCTGTCTGTCTTGCTTATTTCAGTGATGGAGTCCAAAATCGTGCAGATCAAAACCTCGAACTGTTCTTTCGATGAAAGTATGTCCTTTTCCAATAAGTTACAAGAATTAAGGGAGTCGTTTACGGTCAGATCATAAACAGCCAATCTAACTATCAATTCTACATGTTCTTTGCTTGGAGCTGTTCCCAAATTATCCCAGAGAACCAGATGGAAATATCCTGTATCTATCAAATACTGATAATCAGAATGAAGTTCAGCTGATTGTTGCAACTCTTCATGAATCTCATTTATTAGTTTTGAGTTAAATTTTTTAAGGCCCTTTTTCCATTTCTTCAGATAAACTTTCAAGCCCGTCATCAGACCAAAAAGAAGTCCAGAAAGTTGTTTAACTTGGCTCTGGATCTACATTGAATTCAGTAGGATCTTGGATGTTGTGCTTTTCATATCGAGATGGGTATTGCATATGCAGGATTGCAACCATTTACGAGCTTACTAGTTCAGAGTGGTAACACAATGCCCCTTCTAAACTACTTCTTCTGTGAAGTTTGATCACTACCCTGCCCCAAATTAACCCAATGATACAGCTAGGTCGTTAAATAAGAGGTACAAGGTGCATCCTCCACATAGTGAGTGAATACTGTGGAGTGTAACCTGCATATGGTCCCTTCCGCCAACTGCCCTTTGCATAAATGAAAGGAGCCCGAAATGAAACGAAACTCACAGTCAAACAGATCTATACTAGTCATAAATTTTGAAACAGTCTAGTCAAATGACATGCTCTTAACAGCATACCACACTGCTCTGATATGGTCTTAACCTAGGCTGTCTACAGCCAAACCGCCATATGCTGTCGTCCCCATACCAAATTGGATTGTGCACGACCATGATTTTTTCATTTTTCATTTTTCACTTTCATTCAAAATTTTCGTTTCTAGTGGTATGCCTATTGATTCGTTCAAAGGTTAACGTAAGGAAGCAACTGCAAATATGCTCAGAACTGCTGTAAGATACTTCTCAATAGGCAGTATTTTGCGCTCCCCGGAGACTGTAGCTGCAGCTGCTGGCGCAGCCTCAGTAACGGCATCTTCACCGCCCAGTGATTCAGGTGCAGCCGTCCCAATCACCACAGCTGCGAAGCTTCTACGCCCACTCGATATGTCCAGATCTAAAAGAAGAAATATCATCAGAAGAGAAAAGAGAATGAAAAGACAAATCATCAGGGATGTCAACAATGCCAAAAAATTGGAACTTCGTAACGTTAAATTCCATGTAGATCCAGTTCTTGGTGACCCTAACAATGAGTTCATTCACAGAATAAGAGCTGAACTTAACGAGGAGACAAACTTGGCCAACAACTATGAACAAGAAGAATTAGTGAAATTACTTTACGGTGCTGAAAAGGCCGCCATAACTAAGAACTCTATACTGCAGAACAACTCCATTCTCTTCAATTCGATCACCGACATCGAACAGAAGAAGAAGAGAGCCGTCTTGACCATATTGAACATGAAGAACACTAACCTGCAGGACAAGAAGAAGTTAGCAGTGAAGATTGCCCAAAGAGAATTCCAAAACAAGGAAGGTGACACTGGATCAGCCGAAGTCCAAGCGGCTATTTTAACAGTCAGAATCCATTTCCTTATGGACCACATCAAAGAAAACTTCAAAGATAAGGCAAATATCCAATGTCTTCGTGAATTGGTGCAACAAAGACAGCGTATGTTAAAGTACTTGAAGCGTCACGATGCGGAAAAATACTTCTACACTATTAAGAAACTCGGACTCACTGATGATTGTATAGTACGTGAGTTCAATATGGATAAGAACTACTTGCAAGAATATAACGTTTGGGAAGACAAGGTGTTGGTTAGATTATCTGATAAAGAAAAGACCAAGGCCAGGAAAATCGACGACCTTAAGAAGAAGGTCAACCAATATAGAGAACTCGCAGGTGTCAGAGCAGAAGAACTTGCAAAGCATGAAGAACAAAAGGCTACTATTAGAGCACAAAGAGTGGCTGAAAGTAACCATGCTAAGACCGAAAACTGAATATAGTATGTAAAGGTAAACTTATACTCCCCCTCTCTCATGTAAATATAGAAAATACAAATTAATAGCTTAGAGTGGTTGTAGCTGGTACTGGGGTACCAATGTGTAGAATGAGTATTTTATCGATTGGCTACGTTCACTATGAGCTACGTTGTCCTGCCTGGTTTCTATTCTATTACCTATTCTACTATACATATATGTTACATACTGCGTTATCCGTACTATACAGAGGCTCCCTTGACAATGTACTCATCCGCAGACTCAATCAAAGTATCCAAATTCTTCAACACCATATCTTCTTCATCCTTCAACTTGGCTATTCCTTCATTGAAGAACTCAACCTCCGACAAAATGGTCTTCTTAATGTCCTCACTACCATCTGAAACTGCTTTCAATTGAGAATACAACTCCTCGTTGTCTAATCTTAGCTGATCGTGTATCATACTTAGACTGCGGAGTGTGTTTTCCTTGGTGTGTATTATATTTGCTTCCATGATCCGGTCTGGCGTTAATTTGTTCAAGTATACAGGTCCCTCCTCCAATACTTCATCGTCCACGTCAATTTCTGCGTCGTCGTGTTTATCATTATATTTCTCCAATCGCTTATACGACTGCTGTATCAATTCATCCAACTCATTCAACTTCGCCTCCATCCCGCGGTCTTTGAAAATCAAATTGAACTCTCTCAACGAATTCGTGAACCAAAAATCAACCATTTGTTGGCGCGCGTTTTCGAGATGCTTTAATCCTTCTTTGGAGTTTGCAATTTCTGGATAACAAGACTTAATGTGCTCCAAAGACATGGACTTTTTGATGGATTGTTCAAGTGCCTTACGACATACTAGCTGTAGTCTCTCATAACGGATTTTTTCTGCCCGCGTCATGCTATCAGGGGAGAACTAGGAGATAAAATAAGGAAATAGCAGCGAGAAAAGTTACAAAAATATCGAATCTATAGTATCTAAAGTACTGTTGATCTCTCTTGTGATGATGTTTGTAGTTTGTGTTTTTGTTCTAGAGGACGCACCCCGAATAGTCTGCATATAATATGTATCCTGTACATAAGCGCAGTAACTTTCCCACCCAAGAATTTTTGAGGATACTTGTAACAGCAACGGCAAAGACACACTCTTTACTCAGGTGAAGACATCATTTGGCTCCCTTATAGATATCAAAAACTTTGAGTCGCAGTCATTTACAGTTTTAAATAACATCTGTTTGCCTAGAAATATTTATATATAGTAAAAATGGACCCTCGTGCACTTATTGCGGACGCTGAAAAATTGACCAAACCCCAGTCAGGGTTCTTTTCCTTCATTTCGGGCTCTTCATCTTCTTACCGTCTTGAGGAGGCTACAGACCTCTACATTCAAGCTGCGAACCAATATCGTCTTAGTAAAGAATTTAACTTGGCAGGCCAGCAATTTGTGAAAGCGGCAGATTTACAAAAGCAGTTGGGTAACCACAATGACGTCGCTAACCACTTGATTGAAGCGTACAAGTGCTTTAAAGGCGTATCCCCTCAGGATGCGATTGATTCATTATCTCAAGCAATTCACATCTTCCTCACACAAAATGGCCAATTTAGAAGAGCCGCTAACTTTACCATGGATTTAGGAGAATTATACGAATCTGTAGGCGATACTGAGAGCGCTATCAAGAGCTACGAACAAGCCGGTGACTATTTCGTTACTGATCATGCGGAAGCTTTATCTTCAAAGGCATTCTTAAAATGTGCCGATTTATGTGCAGGACTGAAGAACTTTAAGAAGGCCATTGAGTTATATGACAACATTATTTCGAAGCTGTTAGGGAACAATTTGACCAAGTGGAACTTGAAAGATTACTTTTTCAAGCTGATTTTATGTATCTTGTGTACAGATGATGTAGTTGAAGCGCACAAGAAGTCTAATACCTTTTTAAATGATGAACCATCGTGGGAATCTACAAGAGAATACAAGTTAATCCAAGACATTTTAGAGAGCATTGATGCAGGAGATGTTCAAGGATTTTCGGACAAGGTGTTTGAGTATGATCAATTCAGCAAATTGGATAAATTGAAGACGCAATTGTTATTGCAGATCAAGAATAGTGTAGTTGAACAGGATGATGATGATTTGTTATAAGTATATAGGTAATTAAGAAGAGGAATTGACGTGCGATGATTTAATATAGTTCTAAGAGTATGAGTTAACCCATTCTTTTTGTTTAGAGTTGACTATTCTATTCTTTTATTTTTTTAGCCTCAATAAATGCACAAAGGGAATACCACACTGGAATAGCCTCCCATTGGGGTGCCTAGGTGTAGCTTTGAAGAAGCCTGCTCCGTGTTTTTGGGGCTGATTACATGCGCCTGCATGTGCAGAAGATAATAAATTGCTGCAAATGTGATGTTGGCTTAGTTATCGAGACTTCTACATTCTTTTCATTATTTAAATCATAAATTAAATTTTGGTACAAGAAGTAATTAGTATATAATCTACCTACTTCTTACCGAAGAGTGATTTCAATTTGTTTAAGATGATATCGTCGTCATTGTTGTTTAAGACTACAACACCATTCTTCTTGATTCCATCTGAATGGTGTTCTGCAGTCATATCCAAGGATTGAACAGATTCAAGACGATGATCTCTCAAAAAGAAAGTGGCGAGGAGTAATGGGAAACATAAAACTAAACCAACAATACACAAGATCTTTTGGGTGTGTGCATACGATACAACAACAGCCTGCCTTTCTGGTGTTTCCCAAGTGGAAGTTAAAATGAAGGTAAAAGGTTCTGAGTAAGCTGTAGTTGCTACTGTAACGTTTAAGTTATTGGCTTCAAAATTTTTCACAATTTGTTTGTAAAGAGTGTTAGTCCAAACAGCACCAGAGACGGATGAACCAAAAGCTGAACCAATGTTATAAGAAGATAAGTACAAAGACATGATGATAGCCATGTTTTCGTGGTTAGTACAAGATTCGATTGAAACTTGCGTGGTATACGTGAAGAAACCTGCACCGAAACCTAATAAACAAAGAGCACCAATAACACCATTAACATATTTTTCAGCGTTAACTCCATTGTTATCTCCTCTAAAGTGAACAAGCAATCCTAAAGCAATACACCAACATGCAACTCCAAACATAATGAAGGCTTTAGTTCTTCTGAAAAGGACAATGACAAAACCCAAGAGAGGTCCAGTGATAACTGAAACGAAAGAATACAATGAAGTAATACGAGTGGCTGCTTTGATTGATTGGTTCATACCAACAACCAAGACCGTGTACATATAATCATTTGGCATATACCAGACCCAATCGATCATCAAACCGATAAAAAGGGCGGACCAAACTCCTCTATCTTTGACCAAGTCGATTGGAATGACAGGGAATCTTGAGAATTTAGCTTCCCAGATGTATAAGAGAGGAAGGACAGCAAATCCGATAACAAGTGGCACTATTATATGGGCTTCCTTCCAAGTTTCTGATACTCCTCCTGCTAAAGTGAATGGGACCAAAATACAACCAAAAATTACAATTATGAGTAAGATTGCAATTATATCTAAATCCCAGAATAAAGATTTCAAGTGAGTCCAACGGAAAAAGTTGACAACACAATTGTTTTTCCAACTAGCCCAAGTTGGATCTTCATCCTTGGTTAACTCTGCCCATTCTTCAGTTCTACGTGCAAGAATTAACATGTGTACTAAACAAGCAAGGTATGGGACACAAGCTAATGGGAAAATGAATGCAAAGATACCAATTGAGTAACTCCATGAATGAGCATGCAACAATTCATCTGTTACATTACCGGAAACCCAAGTATTAATGATGAAAGGTAAAGCTGGGATGAAAGATGCAACCAATCTCCAGTTCAAGTTGGAGAAATCTGCCAACATAATTTGTAAAATAATCATGACACCGGAGTAACCAATTTGATATATCACAGCACCACCTGCAAATCTCTGTACATCAAATGCTTGAGATTCGATAACAGTACCAACTGCATAAAAAATAATTGCAATAACGAAAAGTTGTAATCTACCAAACTTGTCACATAATCTAGCGTAAACTGGTTGAGAAGCAGCTGCAATAACTGATCTGATGACATTAACAGTAGATAAAAGAGAATGTTCAGCATAGGAACTAGTTGCATATGATTGGAAAGTGTATCTAATAGTACCATCTAAACCATAAGCATAAGCAACACAAAAAGTGGTGACGAAGAAAAAGACTCTTAAATAAGGACTTTTGTACTGGTCTGCCATAATTTCAGACTTTCTAACACCCATAGATGTACTAGTGGACTTTAAAACAGTTGGAAGTGCTTCGAAGTGCTCTTCTTCATGGAGATCACTGTCCTTACCATCGTCAGTGTGGTAAGCAGGATATTCACTATCATCAGCGGCTTGAGTAGCTGGAGGCACATAGCTTGCCAGTTCAATTCCTTTTTCCTTATCACTTCCAGAATCACTCATCTTGTCAATTTCTTTTTTATTAACTGAAAATTGTATTCGCAGATCAAATAGATAAAAATGAAAAAGATTATCAAGATAATCAGCTTTTATATACGTAGTAAAGAAGGGCTCTTGGCATTATGACAAGACTTTTTTTGAATGCATGGGGAGGTCGCTCATCACAGCTCATCTTTTCTTTCTTGGTTTCTTTTTCTATTCCAGTTTCTTGCTTACTAGTTGCATACTGCAAGTTAAGGATGCAGCGTAAATGGAACAGACAGTTGAAAAGTGACGCTTTTGTGGCCAGATCTGCATGCAATTTGCTCTTTGTTTTATGCAGCTTCTGCAAGAAAAAAAGGTCTGCGGCGTTAGTACGCATTAACTAAGACACCATTTCCATTCTCGGTGATTGTTTTTTTCAGTGCAATCCTCCAATTGGCTGAATGGCTGGTTTAGAGCCATCTGTAGGTATGCTTCTATTGTATTTTTTATGTGAGTTACAAGGTCGCATAAGAGAAATAGAAAGTAAAAAGAAAAAAGAGAGAATGAATGATCTTAGCTATATAATCGCCTTGGAAATATTTTTCTTCCCAAGGTGAGAAGATTTTCGGCACAACTGATCATTTTGATAAGCGATGAGCTGTAGAGAGATACGGGGTATCTAGTTGAAAAAATGTCTCTAAGTTGGAAACTGTTTTCACATAGATCTGCCAAAGCATATGAATGGAAGGAAAACAATAACTAACTGAGAAACTTAAAGCATAGGTGAATGTTACCTGCATAATTTCCTCCGTGTATTTTCTCCCTCCTGATGGCTTGTGTAGAATAATGTATTGCACATGTATAACATTTGCCCGTATCTATGCATGAGAGGATGGGGGTTCGCTTTTGTTCTTTACCCCCTCCACGCTCATCTCATCTCATCTCATCTCATCTCATTCCATCTCACTCCATTTTATTTCAGGTTTATATCAAATATACTAAGGAACCACTACGCAATGTATATAGCTGTAAATCTGGAGTCAATCGAATGTGAAAGAATGTACAAGACGCTGATTGCGTATGGGGTCTAGTTTCGGTCTTCAGAAAATAACCTGTGAATATGTGCATTTGAAGGGACTTTGCCAAGCCAACGCCTTAGGTATTTTTCTAAATAGCGTGCATACTACACACAATAGACGAAAAGGGCTTTTAATTCGTGAAAAAATATTTTGCGTATTTCGGGCCACCAGCAAAAGCCGTTAGGCTATAGATGCAACTTTAATCTGCATTAAATCATTTTACTCGTGATTGTTGTTGTTCTTTCCTGCAAACTTCCAAGAAAAAAAGCTTCTGCCGTGGATTATCGTCACTTGTTTGATTTAACCGTGACATGAAGAAGAGTGCCATACACATTACCGAGTAAAACGGTGCTCCGGCAATTTGAATTTGGGCGCAAAATTTGCTCGAAATTTATGCCACCGGAAATTCTTCAGGGCCCAAATGTGATGTCTGTCCACGAAATGTCCCAATTGAGTCTCACTACTTTGCATTTACCCGTATTAGTTCGTTACTTAGTTTGTTACGTAGTTCGGGCGAGCTGCAAGATTTTGCAACCTAGGGTGGTTTTTTGAACAGATCAAACTCTTACTATCTATTTTAATAGCGGCCCGCTTCCTCTTTTCGTCTCATATCGGAGATACGATTTTTAGTTTCTACATTGAATAACCTATTCTCTAACGTTACTTTGTATTTTTAAAAATTTTATCTAATCTCCATATTTTTTTTGTTTGTATTTTGTTTGTTTTGTAGTCAACAAATCGTAGTTTATCCTTAACTATTATACTTTTTAAACCGGTTTTCCACCAAGGAATTCACTCCATCTTTTAACTTCACCAGTAACAATGACTTCATCTGGGATAACATCAAATGTCGGCTTTTGGGCAATATTTGCTCTCAAACATTCAGCAAATAATTGTGAAGTATTAGGTTCGTTAAATAAAGCAATACCAAAATCGATGGCATTTCTTCTCATAACGTAGTCTTGATCTAATAAGTGATCAGCTCTAGAGCGAGCTAAGTTAAATACACCACTGACCTTTTTGTCTTGGAAGATTTCTCTCAACGCTCTCTTATCTGTCTTAGGGAATGCAATAACTTCAACTGGTTCTGAAACATACTTCGATATGTAGTCTGCAACATCTTGAGAAGCAGTGTAGAAATTGTAGTCTAATCCTGATAAAGTTTGTGCAACCTTTCCTAATTTATCGTTGGTCAAGTCACCTCCGAATAATAAACCGGAACCAGGTTGTGGAACGATAAAGTTCATAGTTGATTGAATGGAAGTCCAGTAGGCTTCAACCAAGTCTCTACCGAAACAAGCGACTTCTCCAGTGGAAGCCATTTCGACACCAAGGAATGGATCAGCACCAGCTAATCTTGTAAATGAAAATTGTGGTACCTTAGTGGCAACGTGATCATATTTCTTGTCCATTAAATTAACTGGAGCTGGGACACCTTCTCCAATTAAAGCCTTTGCAGCAACATCAATGAAATTAACACCTAAAACCTTAGAAACGAATGGGAATGATCTTGAAGCACGAATGTTACATTCAATAACCTTCAAGTGACAGTCAGTATCGTTGAGAGATCCATTTTGGTCATCCTTAATAATTTGCATATTGAATGGACCAGTAATCTTCCAAGCAGATGCAACCTTATCAGCAATAGTCTTTAATCTAGAAAGTATTTCTGGTGATAAGTTTTGTGGAGGTAAGATCAAGGTAGCATCACCTGAGTGGACACCTGCATTTTCAACGTGTTCAGATACAGCGTGCACTAAGACTTCACCTTGACTGGCAACCCCATCAATATCAATTTCCTGAGCACCTAAGATAAACTTAGAAATGACAACTGGATGATCTTGAGAAACCTTAGAAGCATTTGATAATTTGGCTTCTAATTCGGATTGGTTGTTAATGACTGACATAGCAGCACCAGAAAGAACATAAGATGGACGAACTAAGACTGGGTAACCAACTTCGTTAGCAAAAGATTCAGCTTCGGCGATAGAAGTCAACTCTTTCCATTGTGGTTGATCAACTCCAATAGAATCCAAGATTTGAGAAAACTTGTGTCTATCTTCAGCCTTGTCAATGTCTTCAGGGTTAGTACCAAGAACATCACAGCCTTCTTCTTGCAAAGTTAAAGCGATGTTTTGTGGTAATTGACCACCAACGGAAACGACTACACCTTGTGCAGTTTCCAATTCATAAATATCCAAGACTCTTTCCAAGGAAAGTTCCTCGAAGTAAAGTCTGTCAACTTCATCGAAATCAGTAGAGACAGTTTCTGGGTTGTAGTTAATCATAATAGTCTTACGTCCAGCGTCTCTAAGGGCACGGGCGGTACTGACAGCACACCAATCGAATTCGACAGAAGATCCAATTCTGTAGACACCAGAACCAAGGACTAAAGTTCCGTGCTCATCAAAGGTAACATCAGAAGAAGTAGCATTGTAGGTGGTATACAAGTAGTTGGTGTCAGCAGGGAATTCAGCAGCCAAAGTATCAATCTTCTTAACAAAAGGAACGATTCCGTAAGACTTTCTGAGAGCTCTAACTTCGAGTTCATTGATCTTCTTAGTACCGTTCTTAGCAACAGACAAAGCGATTTGCTTATCAGAGAAACCCAATTTCTTGGCTCTCATCATAAGATCGTAAGAAATGTTTGACAAGTCACCGTTACCAGTTTGTTCAATCTCTCTGTACATGTTTACAATATTCATTAACTTGTGTAAGAACCACTTGTCGATCTTGGAAAGGTCATGGACTTGGTCAACAGTGTAGTTTTCGTGGAGCAAAGCTTGTCCAACAGCTAACCATCTACGGTCAGTTGGGTTAGCTAAAGTGTGGTCCAAGTCTTCAAAGTGGTCACCTTGGAATCCAATGTATGATGGATCAACTTGTCTAATAGCCTTTTGGAAGGATTCTTCAAAGTTTCTACCGATAGCCATGACTTCACCAACAGATTTCATAGCAGAACCAATGTCACGCTTGACGTGTTGGAACTTAGCCAAATCCCATCTAGGGATCTTGGTAACAATGTAATCTAAGGATGGTTCGAAATTGGCACTGGTGGTCTTAGTAACAGGGTTTGGTAATTCAGGCAATGTGTGGCCAAGGGCAATCTTAGCAGCAGTATATGCCAATGGGTAACCTGTGGCCTTTGAGGCTAAAGCGGAAGATCTGGACAATCTAGCGTTTACTTCAATAACTCTGTAGTCCAATCCATCTGGTTGCAAACTATATTGAACGTTACATTCACCAACAACACCCAAGTGTCTAATGATTTTGATAGCAGCAGATCTCAACATGTGGTACTCTTCGTCAGACAAAGTTTGGGATGGGGCAACGACAATGGAGTCACCAGTGTGAACTCCCAAAGGATCGAAATTCTCCATGTTACAGACAGTGATACAGTTACCCAATCTATCTCTAACGACTTCGTATTCGACTTCTTTCCAACCCTTCAAAGACTTTTCGACCAAGATTTGTGGAGCTAATGACAATGATTGAGAAGCCAAGTTTCTCAATTCTTCTTCATTTGCAGCGAAACCTGACCCTAAACCACCGAGAGAGTAAGCTGATCTGACAATGATAGGGTAACCGACTTCTTCGGCAGCCTTCAAGGCGTCGTCGACAGTTTCAACAGCAACAGATTCAGCAATTGGAATATTAATTTCCTTCAAGGCCTGAGAGAACAAGTCACGATCTTCGGAAGTCTCTAAAGTCTTAATAGGAGTACCTAAAACCTTAACACCATATCTTTCAAAAACACCCATCTTATCCAACTTAACACCAACGTTCAACCCAGTCTGACCACCGAAGGTCAACAAGATCCCATCGGGTCTTTCTCTTTCGATAATGTAGGTAATATATTCAGCAGTAACAGGCAAGTAGTAAATCTCATCAGCCAAAGCATGCGAGGTTTGGTTGGTAGCAATATTTGGGTTAATCAAAATAGATTTCTTATTAGCTTCCTTCAAGGCCTTAATGGCTTGAGAACCAGAGTAATCGAATTCCCCGGCTTGACCAATGGAGAGACCACCGGATCCAATGACGAGGACCTTGGACACATCTACCAATTCTTCTTTACCTTTGAGAATTTCAGCACCTGGGTAAGCATTGGTAGCAAGCAGCTTCTTAAATATTGGTTGATATCTATTGAACCCACAGCTGAGCGGGTTAGCTCTAACTGCTTGTCTGGTATACTGCAAGAACTTCAACATAATTCCTTAATATTTATACCTTTTGACACTTATGATAAAAGTAAATCAATAAATATGAAAATTTTTGAATTCTTAACCTATAGAAGAGGAGGGGTGAAAATTTTTATACCTAAAAAATGTGGGTAATAGATTCGTAATAAATATTGAAAAATTCATCCAATGCACAATCTCTCGCTCTGTATGGTCCATCGCCGAATCAGGTAATGACTCAGAGCTTAACCGCGTTGTAAGATCAGTAAAGTTACCCGGACGCCATTTAGTGGGTGTATGGATGTATGGGTTTCTGTGAGTGCTTACGTCAAGTGAAAATTTTTTTTTTTCACTCAAATTAAAATTTGAGTGATGCTCCCTAGCGAAAAATCTCTAATTTGCTATTACCCGGATATCACCTGTTGTCACGTGTGAAGAAGAGATAGCCATTCTGACTATGTAGGAGCACCAAAGAGTAGCGTGAAATGACCAAAACTTAGACAATGAACCACCACAGCTGGGGAAAGCAGGAAAATGTCTTACAATTCGGGCATTGTTGATCTGTCTGGCAAGTTTAGGGGAAATATGTGGAGGAAAAAAGAAGAAGAAATCGAGATGTACTTCGAAGAGAAGGGCTTGTAGCATCAGATATTGGACTGTGGGTAGTGGAACCGAAATAGTGCATATGGATCCTGCACGAAACGTTGCATTTCTCAAAGAACCCTATTTGATCACGTGATTTACTTAAATTAGTAGATTCATTACTCTTCACGAGTCTAGGAGCTAGGCAGTACGAAGAATACTGATAAGTATGTGGTAGGGCTAGAGTCGACAATGTAGAGCTCAAGAATTTTCATTCAATTTTTTGGAACGGAGCGGATGGGCTTTGTACATATGTATGTTGGGCTTTTTTTTTTGCTGGAGAAGATTTTATCGAGCGGGAAATAGACGGCCAAAAAGAAAACCCTTCCGCTCACCCTCTGTGATAAAGTCACAACTGGATTATTTCAATCCCTTTTCGCTACCATTTGGTTTCTCCCATTTCTAAATTAGGGATAAGGCGTCTACAAGTATTGATATATAATTTGCACGTTGATTTCGTCCAAATGAATTTGCTGCTTTTAGAAATTCAACCTTGCACAAAAACTCGTCATGTGATTTACTGGATTAGGAAATTTTTGCTACATTTTCATACGAGATCAAGCCCACTACTCCATCTTCTCTTGCGCCAAACTAAGCAATGGAGCATATACGAACATCACTAGTTCGTTTTTATCAGGCTTAAAATTAACGTCTTATGTAAGGTCATCACTCAAGTAATTGAGTAAAGAAAATACCAAGTAAGACCAGCTCTTTGTTCGTAGAAGGATCGGATTTCATTTTTACTAAAATATTTAGATCGCATTGTGATAGCTTTCGGAAATCTTAACTTAATTATCAGCTTCATATTTGCAAATTAACTGATACTTTATCTGTTATTTTTTTTCCCAATCTGTCTCTACATTCTTTTCAGAATCCGAGTATGTGATTTCCATCCTAACTTAAGTTCCTAATTTCTTGATCTTTTGGGGTTTCCATTCAGGAACCAACCCGTATACCTGCATGAAAAAGGGGGCTACTCCGCCGTATGTGCAGGTTCTTTCTTAATTTATCACATTCTTTTCTTTTTATGCTCAAATCTAGAAAATAATTTATACGCAACAGGTTTATTTTTGGGAGTTACATCGTAGTTTATGTTTCAGATGAATGTGTTCGAAAAGTTGCTTGTTTCTCCTCTTCATTGTCTTCTAGTATATCCCAAGCAACTTGCCATTATAAATAATATCCGCAAATTGTTCTAATTGGAGCTTAGATACCAATAGACCAACGTTGGTGCTTCCTAAGCAGCGAGCCCCACTGATTAGTGCATGTTAGGGTCTATTAAGCCATGTCATATAATGGTTTATACCTCACCTCGTGTTCTATCACAGCTCTGCCTTATTCAGCCTTATGAGAAACATATGCTAAATTTTTGTTCCTTGCATCCTTTTCTCTTCGACATAAGTTCTCTTTTTGGCAGTATAATCACTTTGTGCCATGTCCTCAAGGCTGCATAAAATTTCCGCATTGAGTAGTTCAAATAGTTGCAAAAACTTTAAATCTAAATGTTCCAAAAAATTAAGGTAGCCTTCTCCTCTAAAAAAAAGGTACATAAGTGAAACCAAAAACCCGGTTTCTCTTTTAATTTTGAAAATCTCTTAAGGTAATATCTTACTAATTATTATTATATAGTAGACATATATAAATAACAAAAAAAGTACTAGAATAATTAGTATGAGATCTCTTATTTTCGTGCTCTTCCTTGCTTTTGCATTTGTCTTTGTTGCGGCTGCACCAGTCGAACAACAGCAAGTTAGACGTTACTACGCCGATGAAAGTATCAATTCTGTTTCCTTTGAAAAGAGAGAAGATGATTTTGAAGTTGACGCTGATGTAGCCAAGAGAGGTTTACTTGACTTCTTCGCAAGTGCTGGAAGTACCGTCAGCACCAATTTCCTTAATCTCTTCAAGAGTTACTTCAACTGGGGCGGAAGTGTTTCTGCTGGAAGTGGTAGCACGTCTACCTCAACTGGTACTACTACTACTACCACAACTGCTACTACCACTGATGACTGTGACGATGACGAGGACACCCCAGTACCACAACTGACCATCACCGCTGTTACCTGTCCTCATTGGTGGAGTTGCTTGTAGTTAGTGAATTGAGGACCAGGAGTCTTTACTTGAAATGTAGTTTGAAATAACAGACATCCAGGTACATATTCCATTTCTATCCTTGTTTCATTGTACTGCTGTGCTTTATAGGTTTTGACCAGCTGGTTGGCAAGACTTACAAAAAATATTAAAAAAGGAATACCATCTAAAGCACTTAGTCAATAGTTTTAGCTAAATTAAAATACATGTCTTAAATTAAACTATAAAAAAAGGATTATTTCTCCCTTCCTAGTATTTAGTAGTACTTCTATATCTTTCTCTTGCAACGGTAGCGAAACTAGTTCAACTAGTGCCTCATCCAAGTCACTTTAAAGTCCATTCTTTTATAAGTGAAACCCAACATAGTGTCAGTCCTGTATATAATTACCTACATGGATCTTATTCAAAATGTGCCTACTAGCCCGTCATGAACTTCTTTGTTCACCAAGGAAGTAATCAGCTAACTATGAACTTATTTCCTTCTCTATCTCCCGCCCCAGAGCCTTCTTCTGAAGATACACTCGCGAGACAATCGGATGTGACAGTATCTACAAATGCTACCCTGTATGCGGAGTATAAAGGCTTTTTTGTATACGTGCTAACTTCAATTACTCTAACAATTTGGGCCAGTTGGTCATTAATCCCAGATTCAACATTGAACTATTTGTCTATATATTATTACCCTGACAAGTATTGGTCGCTTGCTATACCAGCATATTTCCTAATGGGAATGCTTTTTACTTACATCGCCCATGTTCTTTATAACACTGAAATAGAGACTATACCTTTGGATGATATTCGAAACTTCGTAGATGAGAACGCAGTCTCTGCAGGTTGTGAATCAATTCCTTTCCCAAATTCTTCAGAATTAATTTCCCCTCCAATGACTTCCTCCAAATCTGCTGAACCCTGGGTTTGGAGGTACGGCAGTGGAGTGCGAGACTTGCCAATCAGCATAACAAACGAAGTACTCTACGGTAATGAGTGAATGGTTCTATTGAGTCGTATTAATAATGTAATATAGATGTATATAGATGTATATGAAGGAAAATAGACAATGAACTTAATTACTCATATGACCAGTGTAAAATAGACTGATTTCTCCAGCCAAATGTTGATTCCAACTAGATGAGGGATAGTTAAGAGGGGCATGGATAACGGAAACTCTTGTAAATGAGCCTTCTAAATCCTCGAGTAAAATCTAAGTGAAATATTTAAAACTATATAAACTATATAAACTATACAATGCAGTAATCTGCTCTAATCTGATTTCATCTCAACTCTATTGAGTCAAGATACTATGTAACATTACTTGGAGAAGTTTTATTTGCGTATCATACACCGTATAAGCTCAAATTCCTTCTAGTCTCATTATCAAAAGAACCTATAATTTGCAACCAAACTTCTTCTCCAATCATTTGTCTGTATGCCTGCAATATTTGTGCAAACTTGTTCGCCAACTCCTCAGGAGCTCCTGGATAATTTCCAATGCAATCAATAAATATTGAAAGATTCTTTCTACCTTGTTGATTTGACAAGCCACCGAATCCTAAATCAGGATTGGCGTTGATAATATTCAACATTCCTTCATATGCAGTTTCCTTTTCATTGTTATCAACTAAATATAATACTTGTCCACACCACTGCAAAATGAACTCTTGAAGTCTAGGGGCAATCATTGCTGCACCTTGCGTTGTAAGACCCAATCTACCTAAACAAATGGAAGCGTTTTCAAGTACTGTTTGTTGAGTGTCAGAAGAATTCATTACTGGGATTAATAGGTCAAGTAAATTTGGAATAAAGCCTTCCAAGTCTGAAAATTGTAACCTCATGCATATTTCACCTAGAGACCAAATTGCATTGTTGTAAACTGGAAATGAATTATATGTTCTGTTGTTTATTTCATTCCCAATGGATACAAAAATGCTATGAAAGTATGGCTTCACCAAAGGTTCCATCACAAATATGGCTAAATCTCCAAGTAATGCATATGCGGATTGCCTCACATCATCAGTATAGTCTTCTAAGCATACAAGCAAGATTTCCATCAAGTTCGCTGGATTTTGTTGAATCAATTCAATAGAGTGACTACCGAATCCCTGTATCAAGCCATCTACCAAATCCAAACTAGTGACCATGAAATCCTTTTCAGGTGGCTCAATGTTGATATTTGTTTGGCATTGCTGGTCTTGCTGAATACAGTTCGATAGAATATTAATAGCTCTGGCATACACAGGGACAGCATATGGTACAAATAAGTCTTGTAGCGTAGCTGCAACACTAGCCATGCATTCTAACAAGGGCCATAAATCAGTGTCATCATCTTTGAGACTATGCCATTTTTCCAAAAGCAGCGGGAGTAATGCATTGATGTATGATGGGTCAGAAGATAAAACTTCGTATCCCATTTTCTCGATAAAAGTTTGAACACAATCGTACAAAATTATCATATTTTTACGTTGATAAGTTTGGAAACATTTAGTAAAATGTTCCAAAAGGGGGCCCAAGTAGAATTGAATTACAGAAGATTCAGCTTCCTCGATGAAGCCAGAGAGCGCTGAACATGCAGCTTCCTGGACAACTTTCTTGGGATCCAAAGCGCATGTAACCACAGATTGAAATGTTGGCTGGAAAAAGTTGGAATATTCTCCATGAGCTTCGGCACATACCCAGCTAGCGTATCTGGATAATGTCCAACAGGTAATTTGCCTAACTCTTGGTTGCTGATCTTGGAGCCTCTCCACAAGGAAGGGAACTAAAGTTGGTAATTTATCAGCTTCTAACTCCATGCATGATTTGGAAACTGCACCAAATGCTAAAATGGATGCTTCACGAGTTGGCCAGTTTTCGGACACTATTCTTTCCTGGAGTATAGGAAGAGTCACATGGAGAACTTCACCAGGAAGATTTATAGAGAGCACGTCCAACGTGGATGCAGCACATTTTCTAAGAGACCATTCAGATAATTCATCATCGTCATCCGAATCAGAATCATCGTCATAGTCATCATCATCTTCATCATCAGAGTTGCTTCCATTACTATTGCCTTTTTTCTTTTCCTTACTAGTTTCTGTGGTATGAGTCTTGGCCTTCACGTTCTGGGGTTTGATATCTTCATCTTTGTCCTTAACTTCCGCATTATCCCTTTCGTCTACCACACTCATTAAAAATATGTCTTCCTCCAGGTATACCATTTTTTCAAGTAAGACTGGTAGAATGAGTGCCAACTTTGGCTTAAAGACAGCCTGGTCTAACTCTGGTGTAGAAGTGCTTGCCAATGCTAATAAAAACTCACAAGCCTCAATAGCAACATCTTCATCGGAATCTTGCATAGAATGCAAGCAGTAGTTGATCACACCATCCAAATGAGGATGTAATTTGTCTGCTCTAGCATTAAGGATCAGCGAGAATGCTGTACAAACATTTCTACGAACTTCACTATCCAGATCAGATGCTAGTTGGAAAAGTTTACCCAAGAAGGTATCTAAATGCACCAAGAACAGTTGACTTTGCAAGGGCACAAATTGGTTCAAGCAATGGACTGCTTGTGCTCTTACTTTAGAATTAGCACTGGAATCACACAAGTGAAGCAATTGTGGGATCAAGCTCGATAATGGATGGTTCCCATTACCATAATCTCTATCCAATGCCAGAGCTGAATCTTCACTGATCTTAGCGAGTGCTCCTATGGCAGCTGTGCTCACTGAAGTATCTACATTGGTCGATCCCAGCATTTCTGCTAATCTACCGATCACTTCTGGCCATCTTTCATAACCATATATGCTAAATAAACTCGTGATAACGTTTCCGGTAATGTTCCGTACCATGTTCTCATCGGAATATAAGCCTTCCAATACATGCTGCAATAAGAAGCCTCTCTCCTTCACATTATCCAGTTTCAATACCAAATTCTTAAGGATCAATCCGGCAGAAGCCCTGATATCAGATCTGGCTTCCACCACTACTACACTGCCAATTTTTCCAATTAAGATAAGCAACAAATAATTTTCAATTTCAGGCTGGAGCTTGGCCAGATCCAACTCATCGTTGGCAGCCCTTCTCTCATTGTCAGAAGAAGATAGCGTCGCGCGAAGTATATTTTGAAGGTGCTCTAAGGCAGAAGGGTTAGGCGACCAACTCATACTGTTCAATATTAGCTATTCGACGGCTATTTGTCGGTTCACTTGTGTGTTTGCTATTCTTCTTCTTACGTTTTTTTTTTTTTTTATGATGTTCGGTTTTTTTTCCTCGCGATGATTTTTGTGCGGCTGACGCTGCTCAGTGCTAAGAGATCTGGTTGCACATGGAGAGAGAAAGGGCATAGGTATGTACTATGTATGTATTATGTATGTACTGAAAGCAGTATATAGTGTTCGCATGAGTGGAGTAAGTGTCTAAGATTTCAGTGCTAAAACTGGGCTTAGGGAGATGTGGAATCAACTGAGTCGTTGCACTTGGCTGTTTGTAGTGTCCCATAAGCTTCGAAGCGCTCCTGGTAATAATTATCAAACGGTAAAAGCTCACCTGTACAAAGGAAAGTATAGGTCTTCGCACATACGTAACAGTAATAAACAGTAAGTTCCAAAGAGTGCATTTGAATGTAAATACAGCTGCTTTAGGTTTCCTTTTGCTTCCCATTCTTTCCAGGCTCTCCATCTACTACTCTCTGTAGAATACCAGTGCATGGCACTATGCAGTCTCTCGATAAATACAAGCTCTGGAACACTTTCAACTTTCATCTACATTCTCTTTACTAGCTCCTCGACTTTGCTATTGTACAAATTTATTACTTTTTTAATGCTATTATTCTTCTTCACCTTTCTGTCTCTACTCTATATGCTATTTATCGAAGGATACCGTTCAACTCTTCTAGTCTTTCCGCTAACTCGTCAAATTTGCCTAGTATTGGCACAAACATGTCATGGATGGACTTTTCTTTAGTCCCCTTCTCAACAAGCGATGCTGTACTTGTTGAAGGAGTAAATGTATCGTTAGAAGTTCCGACACAATCATCGTCAAGGTCGGATGATTGTCTATTCTTGTTGTAATCCGAAGGAATTTGTCTACTATTATCGTCGATGTTATCGTTGATTTTCTCGTTATTGTTGCCGTCGTTATTGCTGCTTGATATTCTTGCAAGGGATATTTCAGAGGATTCCCTTTGGCTAAGTTGGTCTCCTCCATTACTTGCGTATATGCTTAAATCATCCCTCAGCAGTTCTATTCCGAACATAATCTTTTCCATATCGGAATAATTTAAATCATCTTGGATGTTGAACAGTTCTTGAATGTCTGATGTTACTTGGTTAAGTCTTTCGAGAATTACCGACCTTCGTATGGCTCTGACACTGGAGCCCCCATTTTCGTTGCTCTCCCTTGGTGAAGAATAGTTGGGAGAGTCTTGCTGTCCTGGAGGTGTATCTGGTGAGTAGGACCCAATGGAATCCATATCATTGGACTTCATTTGTGGTGGTGCAAGCTGAGGAATGCTGGACATGTATTGTGATTGTTGTATGGTAGGTGTAGAATTGGGGGTAATTGTCTTATAGCTGAATGGAGAGCTTTCTACGTCTTGGAGGCTTTCCCTGGGTATGTTATTGGCATTAACATCGGTAGCTTTAGCAGTAGCGTTGCTCTTCTTGCTATTCTTTGCAACTACTAATGGAACTTCTGGGAAAATATCACTCAACACTTCACTCCCTTGCTTCTCTACAATAGGTGGTGCCAACCCTAACGATCCCGCAGGTATGCTAAATATTTCGTGAGGGAACACCTGGGCTGGGGTATTCTTCTGTCTTATGTCAGATTTGCTGCTGCCCTCTATGCTCCCTTCATCTTCGGAATCAACATTGATAACAACTTTCTCTACGCTAACATCCCCAATTTGTTCAAATGTGACCGACTTCAATTTAGTTCCCGATATTATTTGAACCTCATCTTCATTCAGATTTTCCTGTTTTTCCAACTCTTCGTTTTTAAAGCAATTTAATCTTGCTAGTCTCTCTCCATATGTTTCCAAACATTCTGCGGGGACGAACCCTATCTTTCCATCTTCGTCATCCGATACTTCATTGACTTTCTCCTGCTTGGTTAGCTTCTGTATGAGCCACCAGTAGTTATCCTCATCATTCAACAAATAAACCGGTTCATCTCTGGATAATGTACAATGCAGCGGGTCGGGACCTGAAAAGTCGTATAGTCCATAAAGCTTATCTGGATCTATTTCTCTTGGAGGTGATCTTGGAGGAGAAGGTGGGATGAAGTCGTCATCCTCATCGAACTGTTCTCCACCGTATGCATGCCCACTAGCGTGGACGTCTTCTTCCTCATCAATATATGTATCTTCCTCCTCAAAATCGCCTTCACTTTCATCGTCATGCTCGTATCCGTTGTCTGAGCCATAGTCATACTCGTCGTAGTAGCCGTGTGACTCTCTGCTGGGGCTTTCTGAATCAGAAAACTCCATTTGAGTGATTCCTTTGAAGGTCAACCGTTGTGGCTCGGAACGAGACTGGGTTAACATCTGGGTTACTTGGGGCAGCGGAGACTTCAGGTTCCTTTTGCTACTGCTACTGTTCACCTCTGGGCTGGCGCTTCTATTAATTCTTCTCCTTTCTTCGTAAATCCCCTCAGTATTAATTTCATCGTTTCCGTTTGCTACTTGACTTATATACAGCAACACAGAATCGACATTCAGCTTCCCCAACCCCAGTAAGTTTCGATTTATTATGACTGAAGATGCCTGAGAATGCTGCGTGGAAGTCGAAGACGTCACTGAAAGTTTCCGTAGATCAGGTTCTAGCTTGTCCATGTTATTTTATGTGTCTAGTTGTTGTGTGCGTCTGGGGTCTTGTAGGGAACAAAGTCACCTCGTATTGGTTCTACTCAGATGAAAAGGAGGGAAAGGTATGTATCTATAATCAGGCAAGAAACCAAAAAAAGAAAACTGAAAATTGAAATACTAGTACTATTTAATGTGTGTTTTTGCCTGTATACCGGTGGTTGATACTCAGTGTTGCGAGCTTGCTTCTAATTTATTATTGTTATGTTGTGTTTGTCCTGAGTGGCCTTCTCTACAAGACTCTTAATTTTACCCTCTCAGATGTAGATCTCACTTTGCCTATTTTGGTAGTGTCCTGGGCTAGCTGAGCAAGGGAAATAAAATAATCACGTTATATAAAGAATGAACTAGATTCTAGAAAGAAAGAGATCAAAATGTGAACTAGTCTCACCTTAGAATGCCCTGAAACACCTCTATGATTATAAGAGAAAAATAGCGATTGTTGTTTTTCGCAGAGAGGAAACCAAAAAAAAAAAGAAAAAAAAAAAAATATTATTTCTGATTTCGGCATTTTCATTTAAGAAGCGTAATGAGCTAAACGTTAAAAGTTTATTACGACAACAGAATTAGAAAATAGAAGGATGTGATTTCGAGCTCTCTGGTAGTCGGGATTGTTGGTGAAGGACAGGCATACGCTGATAATGAGTTTGGTTCCTGCTATGGGGACTGGGTCACCGGCGCTAGCTGGTTTGTATCCAATCTGTCGTTTGTTCTATTGCGTATGGCTTGTTGTCTTATTGCATTCAAAGACGCTTAAATAAGCGATCTTTCATTTTATTTTTTTTTTTTTACTGTTTGTTTTTACTGTTTTTTGTGCGCTATTGTCAGAATTGGTTAGTGGTGCACACCGTGCATAATCAACAGGAGAGTAAACAAAACCCGAAGCAAGAATACATCAGGGTTGCCATAGTAACATATTTTGGCGACTTTCTGAAACACTCCAAAGCGACTGGTATATCATAACCCGCGTACTGAGAAGATGTACTTACCTTCACATATATATACACGACTCTCTCTTACCCACATGATATGTTCACTGGAACTGCCTGTACCTTAAAATCCACATCTCTGCCTTATGCGCAAGTCTTACTCATGAAGCGCGTGCGACATGCACGTTAACATAAGATGAGGGAACGGCTCTACGAGTGGTTAATTATCTAACAAAAAATAAACTTACATAGGGGCATCGCAGGCACTAAAATTCGCGTTCCTTAGACAAGCCTGCAATTTGGTAAGTGTTTCACTTTAGAACAGACAAACATTGCTATTTTTTAGGTTTATTTTTTGACTAATAGGAGATCTGAGAAAGAGATCTGAAAAGGGGAGGAATGACTTGGAACACTCGCGTGATGCACGATAGGAAACTTTAGACGTGGATATCTGCCGTAGAGCTAGAAATCTGTCTTGTATGTAAAGCACAGGATGATAATTTTTTCAGTTGACACATTCGTAGTGCCCAATTGCGTTCTTGAACAAGTTTCTTATCTTGCTTCTCTAACTCTCTGTCTGTTTCTAAGTCCCTGCCTGTTGCTCGCTACGCTCTATCTCAGTAAAAAAAAGCAGCAAGACGATAAGATCATCAGTTGACACATTCGTAGTGCCGAGTTGCATTCATGTGCTGTGCTAGTTTCCTTATCTCGCTTCTCTAATTCCCTGCCTGTTGCTAATTACTTGTCTGATCGTGTGTACAATCACTTACTTCAGATTAACTGGATGAGCCTATCGCCGCCTCGTATTGAAAGTCTAGATTTTGAGCCTACTACTACTAAACAGCTCTATCTACGACCAAAGTTCAAGAAATCGAATCTTATCTTTTCTAAATGTGTATAATCTATATGCAAAGCTTCTAATTACATGCGCCCATTTAAAGATTGCAAGTTACTAATTACTTGAGAGCAAGTTCTCCCTTTCTTCATCTTCAAATGAGATTCTTTCGTAGCTTAATCTGCTTCCACTCTTCTTAGCAAGTCTTGCTTCATATAAATAAACTCTCTTCTTTATTCTTTTCAATTGCCACTTGACTGGGATGAATGGTAATACTCCCTCCCTCTCCTCGTGGAGCCTAACTTCTAACCAGATTATTACTAAGAGCCAGTAAGCACAGTATGACCCTACACTGCCATAAGTCGCAGAATTGGTCCAACCGAAAATAGCATTGAACACCATCCACCATCCGTCTGTTAACCCATTGCAGCAATTGACATGCCAAACAGATTTTCCTATGTCATAAGATCCAGGTCCAGATCCTGTTTCACTGACATCAAGGCCACCACATGCACGAACAAATTGTTCTAATTCCAAAAACCATACTCCACGGCTGGTAAGTCCAGCACTCACCATGTAAAGGAAACAGGTCAGGAAAATTAAAAAATACTGTAAAGAAAGATGGTTCCCTCCTTTGTAGAGTAAATACCCGATAACCGCCCCAAAGGCTATTCCTGCTACAATTGATAATGGGATAGTCGAAGGTGGGGAGGACATTCCAATACCTCCAATGAAAACAACAGCCTCAAGGCCCTCTCTGAGAGTGGTCACAAATGGAAGGATGGCAAGGAAGTACTTCTTAGTGAACTTTTTTCCTCCTCTGCCATGCTTCTTTTTAATAGGAGCAACAATATCGCTATCATTGCTGATCAATAGAGAAGTACTACTGGTATCAGGCTCATCACTGAGAGCCGCAGCAGGTTGCAGCTCAAGTGTGGTACCTGTGTTCCCGTCACTGTATGCATCACCTAACTTTTTCCACCACTTTACCTTCATCACTTTGTTTATACGTAACAACCCAACACCCATGATCGTTATAATAAAACTTGATAATAATGAGAATACACCTTCCCATACCCTTTCAGTGTAGGACCAGTAGTCTCTGCCTAAAAAATAGAAAGTGCATACAAAAATTACCCCTATGATAAAACAGACGACCAATCCTAATATAGCGCCGAACCATACCTGAAGGATCATGGATCTCTTTACTTTGTTTGCACTAGTGCTATCATTATTATACTCTGGTGCATTGGGGCCAGCAGTCGGCGACTGAGCGAATCTTTGATGAATAAATGCAAGTAAAACTGATACAATGATCGCAGTTTCGAGGGTCTCTCGAAATATGATAAAGAAAATTTGTATAGAAAAATAATCTTCAAGCATTTCTAAACATTAGTAGGTATACTTTCGTGAAATGTTATAAGGTTCTAGTGTAGATCAGTGATGGAGTTGCATGGTTGATGACAAGAAAAAAAAACTAGTACACGATAGGCCCTGATGGGCGGTGTACGGGCTACTGTCTGCAGGAATCAATTTAGTGCCATAATTTCTATGCAACACTATCATCCAGCTACTTCCTCAGAACTTAGCTATGTACTGTATTTTCGATTGTTGATATAAGAGTATCCTCTTGCTTTCTTCAACAGGATCAGCTCATCTCTGTGACCTGCAGCAGAGAATTTCATTCTGAAAAAGAAAAGTAAAGAGTTCTATGCGATTGCGCTCTTACTAATTTTACATATGAAACAAGCACTTTTGAATCTATTTCTTTCATTCTTTTCTAAACAAATCTAAATATTAATTTAATGAATAATATCAATAACTCTCACGGGCCATAGTTACCTAAGGCTGTTTACAATATACTCATTCAAGACGAGCTCACTGAGCCGCTAAATTTAGGGACACCCTATTTTTCCGCACCCACAAAGATTAGGGGCTTCGAAAAATTCATTGTAAGAGAAGAACACACCAGTAATTACACAGCAACAGCAAACACTCAACATAGCGTTAGACTAAGCTGGTGGGAAGTCAACAACTGCAGTCAAACAGGTAATAAATTTATCATCCTTGGTGAATGCCTTGGCATTGATGATATACTTACCTGGTGGAACTTCATTTGGAATCTCAACTTCCTTGGTAATAGTTTGCTTCCCCTTTTTGATAGGACACTCTAAATCGACTTTCAGGATTTCTTCACATAAATCAAATGTCTGATGGATAAGACGGATGTAACCGTATCTGACATCAACATCTACGTAGGCACCTTCAGCAACGTCTTCATTTAAATATCCTTCAGCGATAAAAGTTAAGTTAGCGCCTCTAGCCGGTGGATTAGGATCGATCGAGACAAGCTGTAAGTTCAAAATTTGTGGGGAGTGCACTTCGCACTGAACAATAGGGGAGTCACCAGGGACTGGTCTATCGTCAAGACCGAAAGCGTTTTGAAATGTAGATATTTCAACTTCGGTGACTTTGGATCCAAAAAGGTTAGCTGCCTTCTGTAAGAATGGCTGAATTGGTTCTATAATGGACAAAGCATTTGTGGTAGAAACATATGTAGCAATGGTAGCTACGAAAATCTTATTAATAGCGACCATCGGGAAAATGTGTGTAATGTATAAGTAGCGATAGAGAGAGTTTCTTAAAGTAAGTTTTCTTTTCTTTTCTTATAGGTAAATAGAAGTAAACTGAGCAATTACCCTTTATATAGATAAAATTATCTTACGAAAGTTAAAACAGTAGCAATGAAAGAAGTAAAACAAGTGAAGGTTAATAAAAAGAGATGATAGCCATAATTAATCTTAGGTCATTGTACAATCCCCTCCCCCGAAAGGCTGATCATGGCTATATGCAGGTTATTCTGGGTTTAGACAGCCCTGAACGAGCCACACAATGATGCTTCTTGAGTACTACCACTTTGATATAGATATAACTATTGAAATTACTGGATCCTGACGTTTGTATTTCTGAACCGAAAACTTGATCTTTATATGTAATTTAAAGAGTATAGTGAACCAAATAATCTATATCTTGCTCCTCATATGTTAATGGTCGAATCTCTGGAAATGATTTTCCGCTCGGAATACCACAATCTCAACAATATTTAGTTTGTTCCTGCTTTAGCAATTGACGTTGCTGTGGTGTAAGGATGTGTAGATTAGTATGGGAAGCCGTCAAGGAACTCCGTCCAGTACAGCTACAATGTTAGTATCTAAATTATCAGCAGTTCAATCTCAAATATATTCTATACTATATTTTATGTACCAGTAACAATTGCTTGATTTCTATCATTACTATTATTATTATTATTATTATTATTATTATTATTATTATTATTATTATTATTATTATTATTATTATTATATTTTATGACGGCCATATCCTTTTTATTATGCACTGATCACCAAATTAGCTGTCATAGTATCGAACCTTTCTTTACCCAATTTTGTCTGGATTCTCAATAATTCATTCACTAAGGCTTCTCCTTCTGGCTTCTTTGCTAATTGCTGTAGCTTTTCTTCGTTAAGTCTCCAAAGAATGGAATCACTTGCAGTGGTATAGGTGATTTCGCTGTACGACAGACCAGCAGAATTATCTGATAAATCACCGAATGCAGTTAAAGGTAAAATTGAAGAATGCAATTCACGTCCATTTCCGTTCTCAAACTTTAATATAGAACGAACCAATCCGCTTTCTACTAAAAAGAATGCTGGTGTATCCACAGCGGTAGCATAAAACGTAACACCCTCTGGTATTTGTTCTTTGATAAAATATTGAGTCAAATTGGACCAAAATTCTTCATTTTTTGAAGAGAGTCCTGCAAATGTAATCATGATTAACGGAAGTGGTTGCTTTTTGAAAGACAGATCTGAGACAGAGTAGTATCTATTTTGCATTTTCTGTTCATCAGTTGCTGTTCTTGTTGCAGCTTGAACCACTTGAGTGGTACGTGGAGTACCGAAGGTGCCTTCAAATTGTGAAATCATCAGTGGCTTATGCAAAGAATTTGACTTTCCTCTAGTATTGTTTCCACTTCCAGGGCTGCTTCCAAGTTGAATCGCCTTTGGAACACTTTTCTGCTGTTTCTTCTTTATTGACTTGTAGGTAGACAAGAAAGAATTCTCGCACCATTCCAAAGCATAATTTAAAGTGCTAAACAACTGAATCGAAAGTTCACTCTCATTATCCCATAATCCAGCATCTCTAAGGGCCTTCACAATCAGATCATCGTCGTTAACAGATGAGATGATCAATTGAGTCTCCTTTTCGTTGGTCAAGTTTAAAATTCTTCTAAAACCTTCGGCTGCCGAGAAATCAATAGACACAACCCCTCTCATATCCAAGATTAAAAACTTAATTGGTGTTTCATTGAATTCCTTATCGTCAAATCTGGTACGAATTTCCGTCTCTGCTCCTCCAATAGAGCCAAAGAAGACAGTTCCCTGTAACTTTACTACACAGATTTGATTACCAACATCCTTAAGAAAGTCTTGTTGCTTAGGATGTCTCAAAACTGTAGAACGAGCTACAACACCAGTATAAATTCCGCTTATCACAGGTCTTCTTGCTGCCTCAACAACGAAACTTAAACATGCAAGCAAAATCCCCACGAGAACACCATAAACGAAGTCCCAAGCTCCCATAACAACAACAATTATTATAATCGTGCTATATTCTATTCTTTTCAATCTACCCCAAGTGTCGTAAAGGGATTCCTTCAATAACTCATAACCCAACAAGTAAATTAATGATCCAACGACACATACAGGAATGTATCCAATAACAACTGGTCCTGCCATCATGACGGCACCAGTAGCTACAGCCAAAAGTATACCTGCAAGTCTATCATCAGCTCCAGCTCTAACAAACAAAACAGAGTTAGTATATACCAAATAATTTTGAATGGAACCAATGAGCCCAGAAAGTGCATTGGAATATCCATGAGCAACCAATTCTCTATCAACATCGAATTGATCCATACCCACAGATACTGCCAATGCAGGAACATTAATAGGGACATGAAGTATACCAAAAAATGTCAAGGCCAACATAGATGGAACTTGCTTTAAAATACACCACCAATCAACCAATTGAAACTTATACAACTCGTAGAATCCATACCAAGGTTCATTGTCTTCCACAGCAGGAAATACCCAACCTGCATCTCTTGCCAAGTTCAAATCCCAGAATGGGACAACTGCTACAATTACATGGAAAGCAAAGAACACCCCAATAAAGAAAAGTGGGACAAGCAAGGAGTTGTGAATCTTATGTTGCAATAAAATCAATACCACTGCCAATAACAAAGGTATAGTCCATTGCATAAGAGCTAAGTGGTCCAAGAACAAAAATTGGAAAGTGGGCCAGTCATAGAATAGACCTCCTTCCAACCTTGAGCTGACTTCTATTCCGGTAACTACCAAGAAGTATCCAACACCCCCAATACACCCAACAAGAATATGTCTTGGGAAAAACCCTACGAAAGCTCCCAATTTCAATTTACCCAAAATGAAGAACACCATACCAGTAACAACAGATGATATGGCATATGTTACAATCGTTGTTGCGATGATTGCGTCTTGATTCTCAGTCCCACCACCCATGTCATTCATGATGGAGAATGCCATGGAATGGAAAAACGGTGTAACCTCAATCATTTCAGATCCAATTCCAGATTTGAATGCAGATCCCCCAAGGGAAAAGACCAATTGAGAGACGATGGTAGACATATAAAACATGGATAATCCAGCGGGAGCTAAATGAGCGAATATGGCTTCTGAGATAGGGAACATAATCATACCATAAGACAACCCATCCAAAATATTAAGCAAAGTTCCAAGAAAAACCGCTGGTAGGTATTTCACTGGCTTTAAGATATACTTCTCATATTTCGAATGCGAAGTCTCTGGTGGATGGTGACTATTGGCAAAGGTTTCATAGCCACTGTCAATTGTACCGCTAGATCCTTTACCAGAGTCGTGACTACCGAATGGATTAGTAAACAGTAACGATTCGACTTCAGAGCTGCCATACGGTTTATATTGATTTGAAAGAATCAACGGGGAGGCATCAGTGGAGCCAGTCTCTAAACCAGTAGAACCAATGTCAGCCGCATGGGCACCTGTGACGCTCTTGCCAAAGTGCTTGCTTAAGGCAGCCTCAGCACCCTTGATGGGAATTGGTGGCGAGCTGCTCATTTTATGTTCAAAAGCATCTTCTTCCACAGCGCTTGCTGATCCACTCCGACTTCCATAAACCTCTTCATAGCTATCATCATCGGTTACCCCAATACTGGCCAAGTTAGCCGTTTGCTCGTGTACCTGTATACCGGAATGCACAGCAGGGGAGTTTATATTGTTCACGCTACCCGAAAATACATAACTTCTTCCACCGAATTCAAAAGGATTTGGCGATGCTGATGAAAAACTGCCCACCCCAAAAGCTTCTGATATCGAATACTTTCTTCTGTCGGGCGTAGCTATTGACTTAGATTGCGTTTGATTATTACTGAAACTCATCTCGACAATAAAAGTCGCAAATTAATTCAATTCTACTTAAATGAAGAAAAGAACCTATAATTGCTAGTTGGACCAAGAAGAACCAAACAAGAATAAATATCAAGGTTGGGCTTTTTGGTTATGAATTTCGGGTGAATAATTTTTCTTTCATTATTTTAATTTTTTTTTTTCAAACTTAATTTTTCGAATACGGGGGGGTTTATTGTTTTTTTAGGCGCTACTCTCGCCATTTCTTGCATTTAGCGAATATTTGACTGCAATAAGTATGAAAAAAAAGTTACCAAAAGGAAAGAGAGGACGTAGAGTGTAAGCGAGGAGCGGTTAGAGAGCCGATGGAATCTTCAGGAGATGAATTAAGAGCTCTCAGAACTGAATGGAAGGTGATGAAAAATCAAATAACGTGATAAGAAGAAATGTAAAACTTTATTTACTTGATGTGGTTCCAACGAAAAATAGAATGCTCTACCTTGAAGAGTGTAAAGACAGAGTGGTTGAGCAGAAACACCCCTCCCCTCCGCACTTGCCAATTTATTACACTGGTGTGGAAAATACCGGTAATGCAGAAACCTTACGCTAAGAATGGTATCATTCAGCTTATGAAAGGCTGCAGCAGTGCGATCAATGTCCTGCGGAATATTTGTTCTTCCTTATCTTACGCACTGTGGTTGGCCTGAGATAAAGCGCACCAATTTGTGGTATTTTTTTTTTCGGTTTCACAGGGTCTATGGTTTATGTGATATTCGGGATGAGGTGAATTCGAGTTTAGGCCCGAAACACGTTAAAAGATCAGAGGAGGAAAAGAAAAGTAGGCAAATGATAGAAACGGGGGCTGCCCAGCTGCTGTCTGAAACACACTGGGGTGCTACTTCATGTTACGAGAGATGCCCTTCCACTGGCTTATAATGACAGTGCACCGCATTCCACATACATCTAATGAAAGTTCCTCGATTCTTTTCATAAAAGAGAGGGATTATTTGAGAATAAGGTTTCTGTAGGGAATGCAATTTACACCAGACTGCTTCAAACCTGTCAAATTCGAGGTGTAACAATAAAATATATAGGACTTTCAATCTTGTAGACAGAACGCTGGCGTACTTATTAGCTGAAACACTACATGAAACGAACAGAGCTTGTCAGAAAAATAATGGCAGCAGCAACTCATTACCCAGAAGAAGGCAATATCTTGAATTTCAGCAGTAGATCTTCCTCTACATTCACACTCTGCCTAACGGAGTAAGTGGCACTAACACCAGATTGACACTTTTACATTGTCTTCCCCATATTTCCTCTGCAGCACATTCACGTATTCAGATACATGCAGGACGCGATGAACTTATTCCTAAGATGGTTTACCTAAGAACAATTAGCGTATTTTTTTGAGCAGAAAGCGACAAGTGCATAACCGGATGCGTCTCTATTCGTGCTTTCTCATTCAAAACCTCTTCTCCCCCACCTTATGCCTTTTTTTCTATGCTGCATTGCCTCTCTTTCCTCTCGTAGCTCTCTGGTAGCGAAAGAAAAACGAATCAGTGTGCGCATCTCATGGGGGTGATAAAAAAAGAAAAGAAAAGAAAAAAACCAAAAAGAGGAAAACTGTAAAAATAATAATAATGATAAATTCAAATGCTCTTCTTTCCTTAAACTGGCATTCTTATTTATTTGCTTATAATGGAATCGTTGGAGTCAGACAAACTGAGTTCAGCTAGTCCTCATATTGGTGGCGTCGTGCAGCCGCCTCTGCTATTTCAAATACAAGCTCAAACACTGCAGCAGAATGTAGTTCGTCCCCAAGTTTCCAATGCAGCATTGAACTCATTGCGTAAGAGATCTGTCTCGATGAATTCAAATTCCTCTTTAACACCAGCACACAGAATGTCGATAATATCGCTTGGATCGCCTAGAAATTCGATCGTCTCGGTGGATGATGCACTCCGCACTACCCACACGAGGAACAATAGCTGTACGAGCTTAACTTCAGTATCATCTCCTGTTGCTTCTAACTTAGGGAATAGTGGTGGAACCAATCTTGGTGGAAATCTTTCACATAATTTAGTCGCAGCGAAAAAGTCTCCTCATTCCAACCCCATTACCAGCCTATTCCATTCCGGAAGTAGCACTGATATTACTGTTTTACTTTCAGATGATGACGTGTCGGATCATTTATCGCAGCCTATACTCCATAAGAGATTTAAACTTAAAGATGATTTCCAGTTTAAATACGATGCTCTTGAACCTTCAACTCCTCCCCAGCCAGCTGGGAAGATATCTTCACCGCTCACAGAACTGCCTTTAGATGCAGGATCACGTATCATGCATGGTACCAATTTGGCCCCAGAGGAGCGGGTTCCACCGAGGGACCTAAATCCATCTCCATCTTCCAATGCAGATTCCTCGGAGAACAATAATCTCCATAAAAAATCAAAGGTGCAGCAACTTTTACAATTGCCGAAGGCTCCTAATATGCTACTTAAAAAGAGGAATTTATTCTCCAAAGACTTGCAGTATGAGATATCAAACCGTAAGCTGGAAACAGTTTTCGTGCGAAGCACTGCGGAAAATAATAAATCAACACTCGGTGGTTCTAAGACAACTAATCCTAAGAATGATGAAACTTCAGCTACTGGTGCTGGTGCTGGTGCTTCTACTTCTGCTTCTGCTTCTATTAAGAGTGTTGCTTCCAGGATAATCCCAAATAATGAAAATACAATGGAGCAGCAAAACAGCTTAATAACTAAACTAAATCGGAAATGGAATAAGTCTAACTCGATATTAGACAAATTCCCCGGCAAAAAAATCGAATTGCAAAGAGAGAGAAAGAGATCCAGGGCAATACTTGAATCTGATTCTGATGATAACTACGACCTTTAATGACCTAATGACAAATATTTATAATGTATAACTAAAAAATAATTCTTAATTGAATATTGTAGACGTTACAAATAATTGAATATGCAATGGTGTTGATACTTCTATATTCCACTATGTTCTTATTCTTACAGCTCCCCCTTCAGTTGTTCAGTTATTTTGAAAACAGACCTATGCGTTTAACTCTTTACACTTACTTATTTCAAAAGATAACGTCATCTTCAACTTTTGTACTCAAGTCGTCAAAAAATGGCATTTTTAAAACTTCTTTTGCAGAAGATCTCTTTACTGGATCCATTCTGAAAGTTCCGTGTAACATCTGAATGAAGTCGACATGATCTCTATAGTTTTCTAACTCTGCACTGGAGCCAGATGGCCTTACAAAGTTATCTCCTTTTTCATTCAAAATTTTTAGCGTATCTGAAACCACGCTATCTTGAGGAAATGTACCATTTTCCCATTCAAACTTTAAGAAATCCGCTATTACTTCAGTTAGCTTCTTGCCATTGGTATTGACATTTGGTAGACTTACTTCCAACCCGCACCCATGCAATTCAGCGCATTGCTGTAACTTTTCCAAGCCAAATACTAGCACAAGTTCTAAAAGCGCATCTATATCATCTGGCGAATTAAATAATGGAAATTTTCTGGATATAAATGAAAGTCCAATGATACCCGCAGACCATATATCAAGCTTAGTCAGCTGGTTGGTACACTTGAAAAGGACTTCGGGAGCTCTAAATCCTCTTGTGCCCGCCCTATTTGCTCTACGTGGGGGCCTTTGATCCTGTTTCGGATAAGCAGCCCTAACGTTATGTCTTTTTGTATTTCGAGACAATTGGTGTCTCTCTTTCGACAAACAAGGACACAATATTGATTTACTGCTACTACTGGAGTGTTGTAGGTGTTGTTGCTGTTGAGTTTCCATTTTTTCTGCTAATCCAAAGTCTACCAACACCCCCTTTCCTTTGAATGGGTCGTACAAGAAGTTTGTTGGCTTTAAATCTCTATGAATGACATCTTTGTCATGAATAAAGGACAAAGCATGCAATAATTCCCACATATACTTCTTGATACCCTTTATCGGCAAGTCTCGATAAAAATCACGATAGTCTGCATGTTGGTAGTATGGCATGATCGCTATAACTTGATCCTGATATCGCAATATATCGAGAAGCGGCGCGACATGAGAGTTTCCTGTTAAAAGGAAAAGAAGCTTCAATTCGTTATGAATTCTATTTGGAGACGACGTCACGTAAATTTGTTTGAGTGCAACTATCGGATTCTTCTTCTTTGAGTGTGCAGATGTTAAGCTCTTCTTCTTTGTCTTGCGAAGTGGTGGTGACTTCCATATTTCAGAACCAAGCTGAATAGCCCCATTAATGGCCTCAGCCTTGTAGACGGTGGAGAAGGTACCTTCACCAATTTTGTCTATAAGTCTATAGTTTGACGATAAAGTAGGAAACACTATTTCCAACTTATGCATTTCTTCAAGTACATCAAGTGGAACTTCATCGATTTCATCTGATGCCGAATGTTCTGTCATTCTCTCTTCCAGGTCTTGTGCTGCGGTATCAGTTACTTCTTTCATAAGAGCAATTTCCTCCCCTTCTTCTTCTTCATCGTCACCATCATCATCTTGTTCGTCGTCCTCATGTTCATCATTTCCGTCACCTTCATCATCATCAGCTAGCTGGTTCTCTGCAACTGCTGTACTGCCAGTTTCGTTGTCCGATTCTGATACAATAGTCACATGTGTTGCATTTATCTTTTCCAAGTTATTTTTCTTGATAAATGGAGACTTTATCGACTGACGACCAATATTTGTTTGAACATTTTCATCATATTTCAACTTTTTGGCATCGTTAAACGGGTCATCTTCGGATATTGGTCGCTTTGATATAGACGACGCGTTTTTAAGTGGAAACGAATTGTCTGACAATTCCTTGTTGGGCGATAGCTTCTCTTTCAATAATTTCAAGGGTAAGTAGAAGTCAACCATTTTGGCATCCAATAGCTCAAAAAAATCAACGAGAAGTACAACTTACAGCACAGTAATAGCTACCCAAAAGTGTATGTGCAAATAACGGTCTGTTTTCTGTAAACCAAAGTTTGTTCCATCGTGATCTAAAGGTAAACAAAAAGCGAGGGGCGGGGCATCAAACCACAAAATGTTAAAAATGTGTGAGCTAAGAGATGAAGTACATTATAGTGACAGGAAAGTAGTGAACTTTGGAATAGAACGAAAGAGAGAAGAGAAGAGAAAGAATACGAATACAGAGAGCTGGAATATTCAAGGTCCAAAGGAGAATCTTGCAATATGAATAGTTTATACCATACTTGATTGGCCAGTCCGATTGAACTGGATTGGGTCAGCGAGTACTTCGGCAGGGGATTTTCAACACCGAAACTCATACATAGCAGCAAATTTCTACCTTTATAGTGATTTAAGCTCGTTAAAGTACATTTTCAGCAAATATACTTGGAAACAGTCATCTATAGTTTAAAATTGGTACTCTGCTAATTAAGGTTGCACCCAAGCAAGACGATGTTAAGATCCTGCATACACACCTTACACAAAACAGCCCTACTGTCTTCCACTCTCAAAGTCGGTTGAAATTTTTTCTAGATTTTTTTTCACTTGTCCAATGGTCATAAGATCGTTTTCTTCTTCATCTATCTGGCAATCTTGTATATAATGTTTCCTGCTAGTAGAAGTATAACGATATCGTCCAATGTGACATTGAACCTGGTTCGTACCTTAGCTCGTGTGAGGTACGCCTACCCAAGAGGTTATACCCCAGAGGTTGACCCAAAGACACACAAAAAGAAGGACCATCGTACTTGGTTCAGAAGACATTTAAAGGCCTGGTTAGGACCTATGAACATAAGGGGAGAATATTACCAGAATAAGTACTACTACCCTCCTCAAGAACACAAGCCTAAGTATATCGACCAAACCGGCGTTACCTTGGTGACCGGTCACCAAACGAAAGGTGGTGACGACGCTAAGGCTGGTGGAGCTAGGGGCCGTTTTGCTAGTGACTTCTCTGGTAATGCACAGTTTCAACCATTCCCAGAAAATCCTGCATGCAGGACCAACTTGATGATTTCCAATGAGTTAAAGGAAAAGATTCAAGAGGAGTTATCAGTCAATGGACTACACCCACAACAAGTGGCACATAAATATGGTATTAAGATTCCAAGAGTTGAAGCCATATCCAAATTGCAAGAAATACAAAAGCAATGGCAAGAACAAGTATGTATACATTCGAAGAAATAAAAAAAAAAAATTCTGTGCGACCGGGACGGTGAAAAATCTACCACACTAGAAGATGAAGTGATTTCGAAGTTGGAATTCACTGTAAATATAATGATGAGATTGCTTTAAAAAATTTTCGATTAGTCTTGAAGACATAAACACATGGTTAGAATTTTATGCCCTGATATTTACACTCCAAAAGAGAAAATCACTTCATTCCAAAGTAAGAATATTTTTCATGTTCCACCAATCAAACAAGTTTGTCTCTCTTTTTCTGAATTTCCTGCAGGAACGGTTGCAATTATTTCTCTTTTTAGAACCACTTACTAACAATTACTCCTAGAATAAAATAACACCAGAGTTAGAAAATTTTGGCAAGGTTATGTACAAATTGTTCCCATTATATGAACCACCCGTAAATGCCGAAAATTTGACAGAAATCCCTACACCATCGAAAACTTTGCACCAAAGATTCTTGACAATTTCTGAATCTGAGCCTTTTGGACCAGTTGATGCGGCTAAATTGTTTGATTTGGAACCTGCTCAACAAACCTTGGACAATTTGACTGAAATTGAAGAAGCTGGAGGAGATTCCTCCAAATTAAGTAAAGTAAAGCAAAACAAAGTCTTGGTTGGTGCTCAAAAGAAGGATGATAGAACATTCTTCAAGTTCACCCACTCTAAGGTCGGAGAAGTTGGTCATAGATATGGTGCAGGAATAAGGGACACCAAGAAAGACAGAAGAATCGGATTCAACGCCGAAGGTAAAATGGTGAATATGTAAATAGAGATATAATAAATTAATGTTAGCACCTGTTCAATTATAAAAGAAGAAGTAAGTAGTACTGTAGATACGGTGTTATCGTTTGTAGTAGAGTCTATTGGCAAGATGATGCTCTCTGCCTTCACTCTCGAATTTAATTTTGCACCCATTGCTGAGGGAGACTACCATAAGAAATCGTAGAGCATATTTACCACATTTTCTCCTTAAAAGAGCATCAAACTAGGGCAAAAGCACCAGAATGCAGTAAGAAGGCAATTGCAACTACAATATACCACATCCTTCACCTACTGGTGTGTATACTCCTCATCCCACTCCCCTGCTTCCTACTACTGACCGTTCCTCTCTGCATACAATCTTCCTTTCTATTTTAGGATCTTTTCTGGTTTTCGCACGCTGAACACGTCTTTTTGAAAAATACCGAACGCTCTGGAGGTGAAGGAAAAATTTGGAGGTCAAGATCAAAGAAAATAAAAATTGAAGAAAAAAAAATTCAAAATTGTACAACACGTAGCTGCAACGCACAACAACAACAACACCAACATAGTAGAGTTGCTTAAGTAATATTGTAAGACGTGAAAATGCTATTCTACATTGCATCGACCCTTAGTTTGTTAATCTCAGTGGTTTCAGGTTCTGCCTTAACTTTCACATTGGGGGCTCAGGAAACCTCATGTTTCTACATTTTCACCACGCAGCCTAGTACATCAGTAAGCTTTTATTTTGCTGTTCAAAGTGGTGGTGCCTTTGATGTGGATTACACCATCAAAAACCCAAGAGGTGAAGTGATTGTCAGTGAAGATAAGCAAAGACAAGGAGACTTTTTCTTCACTGCCGATGCTACTGGTGAATACGAATTTTGCTTCGCCAACGAAATGTCAACATTTGCTGAAAAGGTTGTTGATTTCGAAATTAAATTCGAAGAAGAAGATGGGTACAATTTCAGAGCCAACATGCCTGAACAACCAAATGCGAAACCAATTGCGCACGTCGAGAGTATGCAGCAAACTGTAGACTCTATTGACCAACAATTAGACGGATTAGCAAGAACCTTACAATATTACAAGACCAGAAACAATAGAAATCAAGCTACCGTGAAGTCTACGGAACTGAGAATTTATTACTTCAGTATTTTCGAAGTTTTATTGATGGTAGGAATGGCCTTCTTGCAAATCACCATTGTTCAATTATTCTTCAAGGGAAGTAGAAAACAATTAGTTTGATATGCGTGAAGGAAGTAAATAGAAACCAAAACCAGAACCCTAAAGCAAACGACTTAAAAAAAGTAATATAAAATGAAACAATTTTGAAACATACTTTTGTATACAGTATTATCAACGATGTAGATATCCAGGAAATGTGTCAATGTCCCACATTTGACTCAACTACGTAGATATTCGGAAAGTGGACCAATGTCCCAATCCAATTTACACATTCTTTGTATACAGTATTATCAACTATGTACTTCAGGAAGTGGATTAAAGTCCCACATTTGACACGGCTATGTAGGAAGTGGATCAATGTCCCACATTTGCAAAAGTTCTCCTTTCGCGAGGCGAACCAATCCGTCCTTGTGGATATCGTCACTATGGATTATTTATTGTAGAGGAAAGAGCTTGTGGACCTACAAATGTCTGAAACAGCACACGCTGTGTCATCACCTACATGAATACTTGATACTTAGATCCGTTATTATTATACATTGTGCAAAATCCATATATCTATATCTATATGTGTAATACTGGCGTAAAGCCTTTCCTCCAACTTTAAATTTACTCATTGATTGGACAGTTTCTTAAATACTCAGCCTTATTTCTTAAAACTCTAACTGATTTGAAAAAGATTTCCTCTGGTGACATGGCTCCAGTGGATTCGACATTGAATATGAAGTGATCTCTTCTTCTTCCCAACTTGACTTTTCCGTCAAACTCTGGATGCCTCAAGACTTCTCTAGAAACAGTATCCCTTCTTGAATCTTTCACGTAAGCTTCATCATCTTTAACACCAATAACACCCGGTGGGAAACACTTTTGAAACTTTTGAGTCAATTCCTTTCCCTTAATGGGTTCTATAATATTTATCACTGGCATTAATCTATAGGAAGCAGTAGCGACAGGTGAAAACTTAGCATGGTCGCTGCCAACACCCAATATACAGTGAGCTCTTAACGAGATTTCTTGTCCTGGTCTCAACTTAGCTAAAAGGATATCTGGATCGGATGCAACTACTGGGTTATTCTTGAAAAGCTCAATCTGTCTTCCTTGTGGTTCAAACTTTAAGTCCCTAGCATAGACATGAGCATTGTTATATAATTCCTTTGGATCAGTTGAACCAGAAGGTGGATGAGGGTTTTTAGTGCACTTGACATCCAAAGATAAGACGATAGTGTTTTCATCGGTAAACCTATCCTTCTCATCTAATGATGGATCAATCCAAGTTAATGAATCTGGGTCAACCTTTAATGGGATGAGCCCAATTCTATGGGCCAATACTTCATCTTGAATGACCGAAGTATTGTTGAAAACATAGACAGTTTCTGCAGCTACTGATGGGACTTCAGAAATCATAATTCTACGAAATGCATTGGCGACAGAGGTGTCTATGTGAACTAAATCGAAGTTAGCAGTTCTTTCAGTTAAATGCGAAATATCAATTTCGAAAGTGTCTTTGAACTTTTCAATGTCCCAGGCATGATCGTCTCCCGAGGAATGCCCTGGGAAATCAGTTGAAGTAGTGTTTGTCACTCTGTTATATTCTATGCCAACCAAAGTATCAGACATCTTGCGATATGTACGTATATATGTGCTGTGAACAGAGAAGAACGTGCACTGCTTTACCTTGAATGCACTGAAATTTCTCACGATGAGATGTCCAAAAAAATGTAAAAAAAAAAAAGAGTGTAAATTTACTAAGCGTCAATCACGTGATTGAACTTAACATCATATACGGTAGCACCGTTTGCAACTGGTAGAGTTATATTAACAGTTGGCGATAAATCTCCGACTCAGTGGTTGAAAATGCAGCATTCTGCGTAAGGTTACCAACATAAGTTCATCAATGCAATAAAGAAAAGCTAGATGGTGCAGAGGTATGCTTCTTATAGAACTATACTTATCTGCTTCTCTTTTAGATTTACTTGAAAGATAAATCAACTTTAGTTTTCATTAATGTATATATATGTATCTATAAAATCCTTAGATTCCCCATTCCAACTTGGTACACATTGAAGTGTTCCCATTGTGCGTACTTGCGAAATCTTGTTTATCCTAAATTTATGCTTTTAGCCTATTTGTATGGAGCCTTAACGTATAGTAAGAAAAATCGGTAGTGTCGGTCATACACACAGTAAGTATAAGTGAGATCTCAAACCCCAGGGAAGGCACCAGGTATCGTTACTGGTTCATTAGGTCTACTGGTGTTATTTACATTCTCGTTTCCTAAACCTTCAACGGTCAAGTCGCCGGCGGCTCTCCTAGTTGCAAAATTTATACCAATCATTTGAAATTTATGCTCGTATTTTAAGACTTTCTTCACGTTGCTGATTATGTCAAGGCTAAGCAAGTCAACGTTTCCATTGTATCCATCGTCTCTGAGGGCCGGGGATATGTAATTCTCTTCTTCGTGATTGTCACCATTGCTATTCTTTTTCATAGCTTGCAAAATTTTACTATCATCCACTACACACATCAATCCATGATAAGTGATCTGAACTACAAAAATGAAAAAATCTAAAACGAGTAGCTCTAGGCGTGAATAAGGCAATCTTTCTCCAATGAATTGGATTGTTAACCCACCATACAACATATTTAACACACCGCTTCCAGCACCCTGTGTTACATCGTACTCATTGGAATTACCCTCAGCAAGGAAGCCATGTGCACTGTTGACTTCAGCGCTAAGCAGCACCTGGGGTGCAATCTTATATGCACCCCATATTAAATGGCAAACAAAGCAAAACAAGTTTGAAGCAAATACTCCCAATAATAAGAACTTTGCCATGGCTCTTTTGTTCTCATCTGATAGTATTACGTTTGGCGAGGGGACTGGGTATGGATTGGATATAGAAAATTGTGCAAAACCTCTAATAATAAATCTGAACATGGAAATGTCTCTCAAGTAAGCAAGTACAATAAGAATGTAACCAATTCCTTTAAAGATCCTTCTCAAGTCTTCTAAAAAGAACTTTTTTCTTTTATATAGTACCGAGGCATTATTCTCTATTATTTCTTCTGTAGTTGGATAGATAGAAGTAGAAAAAGATCTGAACTGTTCTTCCAAGGACATGCTGTTAAAAAAGAAGGGAATCAAATGCTAAAGTCACACTTTTCTATACTCTGGCTATTTAGACAAATACTATTAATTTTGTATGGTGAAAGAGCGTTTTTTCTTTTTAAATAGAACTGTATACTAAGGAACTTTAACGGAATAAGTAATCGCAACGAAATGGAGTGATTTTGACGAAGTTTGCTGGAAATAATGAGGTGGTGTACTTCGTTAGGGCCAGTGAGCAAGAGCGTTAATGAAGTCTACGTTAGTAAGAGAGATACAGGCACAAAAGCACGACTATATGCAGACAAGATTTATATACAGGATCAACCAACATCAAATTGGAAGAGTGTCAGCATAAGGTACTTATGCTAGTTAACAGAATTTCTCTTTAAGGATCAAAACTACCTCCAGGGCTTTAGGTTTTATCGTGATCAGTTGTTTACCAACATTGATCACGTTATATGAAATTTTATAGCATATTCTTTAATTTCATAGAATGCTCAACTCAATTGTGATACCTCAAAAAATATGGCCCGCATTAGAGAGAATAGTGAGGTAATCACCACTACATATTCCTCTGATGATTTTATGCAGATTGGAATAATATCGGGTATTATTTATCGCCTTTTCTTCACCTATTGTGTACACATAGTGGCTCATTCGGCGGATCGAAGTGCATATAGCTTAATTTCTATCTGAAGAAGTAATTGGATTTACAGATGACGGGCCAAGCGAACAAAACATTCGCCATACTTGTAATTTTGCATACCAATTGTTCGGCTAGATTTTTCATTTAACCGCGGACGCAAACTACTTCTAAACGAGGATTGATGTAATCGAAATACACTAAGAGTTAGAGGAATTGAATATCTAAAATGTAAATAGATCTAAAAAATACAACTAGGTTACGAGTTTACTGATACGGACAAGACACGTAACGGACCAAATGTTTACGACTCCCAGCCCTTCCTGCATTATATTATCCAGTGGTGAAAGTTAAAAGACATTGATCAACGAAAAAATACTACACCCCTTCATGTACTGTATGCCCCTATCATATTTTCTTGGGACCAGCATAAAAAATACTACTTTAAGTTTCTATTATCCTTTTAATACGCCTCGGACTTCATACGGTCCAATGTCCTCGAGCTTGCCAAGCATAGAGTGAACAGATCAATGTGCCAAATACGAATTAGCTAAACTTTAATATCAATCACGATTTACACTGCAAGAAGTAAGTTTAACAAGAATCCAATTAAAGTACGAGTGACAAAAAATATCACCATTGTTCTGCAATTAAAGTTTCTTCGAATCAAACTGGAAAGCAAAGTAACACACTGAGCCCAGTGATGGTAAACACTGAGATTTCTATTAGGTATAATGAGACCACTATACGAGAAAGCATAGCCAACGGACTTGATTAACGGCCAAAGCTTACTCCGGTGTCAACAATTCCGTGGATATAAGACCAATTCAGAATAATCGAAATGTGGGACCCCGGCTTGCGTGCCGGCAATTTGGGCCGAAGTCAATATTTTCAAATATCAATTATGAGCTTACTTTTATGGATATCAAGGAAGTGTTTTCGCAAGTGAGGAGTGAGGAGCCAGCTTCATATGTTAGGGCATGCAGATGACATACCACGGTCTCTTTCGCTGTGTAAAGTAATTAGAACTCACAAATTACATCTAGTGATAATGTGCCGTCGTATTTAGTTGGAGTCATTATGCTACCGTTGCATTACAAGGGTCTAATACAATACAAAGTCAGCGTTTCCCGTTACATTCACTTGATAAGAAATCAGCTTAAAATTATTTTCTTACTCAACGAATCATTCCAGGGGACAGCTTTTTCTATTGTTGCATGGAGCCCAAGTCTTGAAAACGCAAGAAATATGCAAGGTTTGATGAAATAATGCCGAGGACCTTTCCAAAAAAAAAAATAACTAAAAAATAAATGATCTAGATTAGTAGAGACTGTCTTTATGCATCGTTCCACTTTTATTCAGCTCAAAAGAAAGTTCATTTAGGAAGGTGAAAGTACAAGGGTATCGGTAATTTCAACGTCTTTATTGTTATTTACGGCATTTAGCATTGGGCGTGGAATACTCCTGCCTTAAGAAAAAGAAACAAAAAAAAGCTGGTACGTACATATACATCTACATTATAGACCATCGTTATGCATAAATAGCACCTGAAGCAAGCATATACGCGTACCGACGCATTATTAGAATTACCTGAAACAGTATTGTATCTAAATTTGTTGGTGTTTTTTTTTTTGGTCTTCAAGTCTTAAAGTCATTTCTTGAAAGTAGAATGTCAGCCATGGCTAGCATATCCTTCTGTTTTTCTTTCTTTCTGATTTCCTTAGTCTATGTATTTTCTTGCTAAGCTTTGAGGTATTTTTCTCTCTGTTCTGTCAAGAGAAGAGATTTTTCATGTGGTGGCAAGTGACCTTTTGTGGCACCAGCAAAGAATCTACTAAAAAATAATTGTGCATGACGCGATGTGCATTATGCACCTTTACTTTTAATTACAGTATTTTTTTCTACTTCCTACTAGATACTATTTGCACCCAATATGTTGATATCTATTGTACTTGTTAATTGTCAAAATCAGCGCTATGTAAATATAGACTGACTTTACTCTTCTGACTTAAAATTTACATCAAATACGATAAGAAGTATAGAATTAAACTTTCCGTTGTTGTATTATTTATTTATATCAAATGTTTCCTATGACCGTTGTATTATTTCCTTACTACTAATTTGTTGGTTCCTCTTTTTATTTCTCAGCGCATTTTCTGCATACCCATCACATTTTCTATTTGACTTTAGGCAGTTGTTACAACCTGGCTTCCCTTCATCGCATTTCACTCTCCTCCTCTTACACGTAAGACAGCCTGTCCTGGTTCTAGTATGCATTATCTTTTTCCTTCGTATTACTCTGTCTTGCTGGTGTGAATAAGGCGCTTCGTTTGACCGCGTCTGATATGGCAGATTAACGTGAAATGGATTACGAAAATCATATGGACTTTCCAAAGTAGTGACTGGATATCTACGGAAGTCAGGAGCTACTTCTTGAATCGAGCCCGAGGGACTATTCGCCATAAGAATATAGGGACCGGGTATAGCTCCAGGCATAACTTGAACCATATTACAGTACATGCCGTTGACCTGGTTCGGGTATACCCCATTGACTACTGTCTGCAAATTATAAAATTGCTGAAACCCTTGTTGGTTAGGATGTACATATAGTGGTTGTTGGCTGTGCTGTATACTTTGGCTTCCTTGAATAGGAAGTGAGTGGGGAAGATATCGATTTTGGAAGTGATGTTGAATTGGTAAATGCTGGTTCTCTAACAAGGCATTTTGTATATGAGGATTATGAACTGCTGCCAGGGGTATATTTGACACCCGATTTGAATCCATTTTCATTTCTATAGTATCAGATATGGAGCTATTAGCACGCGAACTAGGAGGCAGATTCGTTCCCTCACTAATGGAATCGAAAATGTCATCAGAGCAATATTGTGACTTTGGAGTGATATCACTGCAACTACTGTCAGTTCTAAGAGCACCGGCAATAAATTCTGAAACTGGAGGAAGGAGCATTAAAGAATGAGCAGTGAGGGTGGAAACTTTCTTTTTTTTCTTTGCCGACTGTAAGATGCTTAAAGTTGATCTAAAAAAAACTAAACTCTATATAGAGAAATGATTTTGGAGCAGACTTATTGCCTTTTATTTCAAACTTTAAAATTGGGGCTCAAGATGGAAAAGGTGTAATTATTCCTAAATCCCGTTTCTCCAAACTACATGTATATGCACAAAGTGCACTGGAAAACGGTAACAATAGTAGCGAATAGGGAAAGTTCATAAAATTATGCGACTTGTGAGTATCGTATAATTGCGACAAAGTTTTTCTCGCATTCATTTCCCGATTAAGATCCAAGAGGAATTATTTTTAACGCATGAATTTGCATTGTACACTGCTACTATTTCAGATTAAAGTTGGCGGCAGTGCTGGGCTCCACCAAATCGAAAGGCAGACACTATCCGCCTTTCTTTCCCCTGTAAAGTGATGGTCATCTCCCTTTGATTGTAAAGCTTACCTTCACATTTGCATGCAACATCTTACTTGCATAAGGTGAACAATAGTGAGAGTATCATGCAAATCAACATAGTAAAAGATAAACAAAAAAAAAAAGAAGACATCTGGATGAATGCAATGCAATGCACTTGCCTATCAGCATGCAATGTTCACACTTATCTGACTGTTATGAGAATTTGATCTGGGCACTTTTTATTGTTCTCACTTCTCTGTTCGTTCCATTTCGAACGCCTGCGTACCCCGAAATAAGCATTTTCATTGTTAAATGTTTCAAAGATCTGACCGTAGCTGCATGAACAAAGTGCATCGGGGTGAAGCAATATGCAAAAGCAACCTTTACCAAAATACAGTTTATAAAATAATTATCAAATACTTATTTATTGTAGATTTATATATACAGTCTATATTTGTGAATATTCAGCTCCTATTTTCTATGCTTAATCGACTGAACTAAGTCTCCGCCTAGAAGGTTAATTTGATTGAATATAGCTTCCTTATTAATAATACATTCTTCTTTGTCAATCGGCTTAACGTTTAAGCCTAATCCAACTCTGAATTTCTTTTTAGTGTTAGTTGCTGGAACAAACAAACCAGCAATTACGTTCAGAGCGCCATCGGACAGTAACCCTGTGAACTTCTTTGTTGAAAATATAATAATGTTTCCAAACATTTTACTCAACTCTTTGTAAAATTCTTGGACTAAATCATATGAGCCGCATATGTCATCTGGGAAACTTGATTCTGTTCCTATAAGATTTTTGAACTTGTTTGCAGGCAAGATCCCAGACAGAGAGGTCAACGAGTTGGTCTTTACCTTGATAGTAAAGTCGTAGTCTTTCAATGCTGGAGTGAAAATTAATGAAATTGTCGATTCGTCGATTTCGGATTGCAGCTGTTGTTGCTGTTTAATTAAAGTGATGGACAATCTGGCCAATGCAGTCAATCTGCTTGCAATTGGTAAAGTTAATTCATTACTCCACAAAATTCCTGATGGGTCATCTTTCAGTCCAATGAATAATTGAGTCTTAATCCCATTTGGATCAACTTTACGTATCTTTTGGAAGTTCAGCTCAATAATTCTATATGCTGGAATGGTTAATCTATCTGTTAATTTATTGGCTTGTTTTAATTCTTCCTCAGGAGTCAATTCATCTATCGTAGTTTGACTCTTCACAAGATCTAAGATCACAGGATCCTCTTTCCAATTCCAAGTAGACAAGAAGTTTAAAATGGATAAAAATCCTGTTTCAGTCAGATGAGGAATGGAATAAGGTGCAGGGTCCACAAATGGTTTCAAAGCGATTAACTCAATCAATTCATCATTCATGTGCTTTAACAATAAATGGCTGTCAAGCCAGTGCTTGAAGATTCTAACGGTAGAACTATAGTAATGGAAATGATGCGATAATGATGTAATAGTCCTAGTGTGCTTGATACTACCAATATATTTTTGGTTGAATCTTAAGTAAGTGTCTTGAACAATTGCCTTCTCATTAGGGGTGGCGTTCTCAATTGCTCTCAAGTATAATATTTCATCTCTTTCAGTCAATATCCTCATTTTGAATCCAAATCCTTCCGGAGTCAAGATATTCAAGCAGCAAACATTGAAATTGAATGGGATGAAGTCATCCTTAGTAATAAATGCTTTATAAACAGTATCTTCGAGCAACTCGCAAAATTTTAATAACATTGCACTTTTAGTCTTTTCCAAAGAATTGATTTCATCGGGCCATTTGGTAGATGATTCAAATTGTAAGATAATCTCGTTCCAAAAATCAGGTGATGCAGTTGCGAATGGAACAGGCTGTAATAATGATGTGTAACGTAATGCAGGGGAAGCACCTGGAGAAAGTGACTTAATTTGAAGTGGTACTCCATCCAAGTTGGATAATACGCGTGAAAACCCATCCAAGGAGTTTCTCAACAAGTTATATCCATTGTTTCCACCAGACAAAGGAGTTGGCAATAATCCATTAAACAAGCTACTTTCACTATACAAATGTTCAGAAATCCCTTCCAACAATTTAGCATCCAAGACATACTTCATGATACTTAATACAATCGGCTCTCCCTTTTTATTGGATTGCTGCCAAACCACACAGTGCTGAATAGTACCGTCTTTAAATCTTCTTAAAGAGGCCCTATTACCCCAAAAGCTTCTAAATTTCGAGCCTTCTTCGGTATCTGTTTGGTTTGGGCCCTTGGTTACTAACTTTTCACACTCTTCAGGGTTCAATGTCAACCCAATAATGAACTTATTGTTGGTGCTAGCACTTGGCTTTCTCTTATTTATGCCAAAAGCCGTAGTCTCTTTTTCCACTTTAATGTTAATTCCATGCACTCTATCTCCTAGCCCAGTTTTCAATATCAAGTATATCTTATGCCTAAGCCATCTTTCCAATGTAATAAACATGATTTTTTCAATTGCTCCAAAGGATTGAGCAATCTCTTCAGGAAACGTCAAACTTGCAACTAAATCATATTTTAATTGGTTAATATTAGACTTGGATAGTAAAATAGGATCGAATCTATCTTTAACTACATCGTTTAATAATACGAGGGTCTCTATAGCCTTTTGTCTTAAATATTGGTACAGAGAAGGGGTCATTTTCCACAAGACATTCAATTTAATATTTTTATCGAAAATTGTTGGAGTATTGAACCCTTCTGAAGAATACTTGCTGTTTGAACTTTCACCAATTAGAGATGAAAAGCTTAAGTACCCACTGTTTAAGTCCTGCGTGGCCAAATATTTGATAGTACCTTTAAAAAGTTGATAAGATGAGAAGCCGTGTAATAAGATCTTATTTCCATTGACACCTCCACCTTGGAGCAAAGCAGACATAAGAATAGCAAACTCAAAATGTCCGAATCCACCGTCATTGAAAGATGATGATAAGCCTCTTTGCATGAGCCAGAGTCTACCAAGTATGCAAGCATCCTTAAACGCTTCCGCAGATTTCTTCAGTGTGTACAAGAACTTCAAGTAATAGTCGTAAGATGTAGACGAAAGGAGTGACGAATTATATATTGGTGTAGCAGGGAGTTCGCCCTTTTCTGTTGTATCAATTCTAATACAATTTTTATCAGGTAAAACTTTCTTAGCATCGAAAATCCCAAATGGAAAACCTACAACCAAATTGATTGTGAATTTTGTCTTGTGAAAGTGTAAATCTTCTTCGTTATCGGTATGTATACTTTCGAGTTTTAATACTGGGCATAGAACATCTCCATTCAAGAAATGGTACAGAATTTTGACTGGTAGATGATTTCGTTTCAGTAAAGGAATTAAATGTTCCACGAGCCAAGCCAAATAGAAAGAACGTTTATAGAATGCCCTATAATTAAGGTAATCTTTAGGTTGAAATAATTCCAGAGGCATTGTTAATGCAATATCAATACTGTTCATATTGTAATTATTTGTATTTGAGTTAATTCCTGTCTTTAATCCAAAAGACCCTACTAACAGGACATCTTGAGGAGGCAAGTAAGCAAATTTGTAGTTTGCTTTGGTGGGCTTTGGTTCTGGCCATGGAATGGCAACTTTCTTCTTACTAGAGGCGAATTTGGATTCAGCTTGTTCTAAAGTTAATGGTTCATTGGTGGCGGGTACTTGAGAAATCAAATCGTGAAGTCTGTGCAATACTTTTTCAATCTTGGCCACGTGACTTTCCTTCAATTTGACTTCCTTTATTAACTCATCAATTTGAAGCTTAAAGATATTAGATTTGAAGAGTTCTGCGGTCTCTCTTGCTACTTGAATCTCTTGAGCTGAAAGTTGCTTTCTTTGCTTCTTGGATGGCTTTCCATGGGGAAAGACTTCATTCTTCTTAGATGCAGGATTTTCATCCTCTCCTTCGCTTTCTTCATCTTCATCTTCCGATTCTTCAGACAGTGGCACCGAGACATCAACGGAATCACTCACCTTTTCGGGCTCGAAGGTGTCTATATTACTGAATTCCACCTTCTTGACTCTTTTATCTACAGGGTGCCCATTTTCAAGCTGTCTTTTGGCCATTTTCCTATGAAAATTATTTTTATAAATTCAGTTCTTTTGCAGTTAAATTTACTATGTATGAGTCTTCAGAGCAGTTGAGCGGCAATGGATACTCGAATCAGACTTCTTGGACCTGGATATAGTTATAGATACAGGGAGACAGATAGATAGCTGATTATAATAGATGAATCTATATTTATATTTATAACTATGACTGTATGTCCCGGGGGCCTTGAAACTGTCTACTGAATAGTCCGCCTACTAAGGTAACTCATCTAACTAATTTTTTTTTCTTGAGCTCAAAGTGAAGAGAACGGTTTTGTGCAACATTACTAGATGGGATGGGATGTGCACGACAAGTTTGGTGAAGAGTAGACCGCGTGATTAAAGTCACGTGATTCTATATAATATATCTGTATTTGCATACAACTAGGCTATTACAGGACGGACGTGATGGCCGTGGGATAAGATCAAATGGAAGAAGAGAGAAGCAACTGTTTTGTATATCTATCCCCTAATTTTCTTTGAGGCAAGAAAAAGAAGAAGAAGATGTATAGTAAAAATGCAGGCTATAAAGTCCATCCTACTGTAGAAAGTACTTAGGTTAGTAAGATTTTGGGTTTCGTTCGAAAGCTCCTAGACATCGATGCCAACTACAACTAACACTAACACTATCCTGGCTACATATCTCTCTATCCCGAGCTAGTTTTCGGACCAGGCTCATTTTTTGCAATATACCTTCTTCTAGTACGATATCGTTTAGACCTGCATATTATCAAATCTATACGCTGAGGTCCTAGAGAAAAGGTTTAGGTATTTTAAACTTTTCATTTTCTTTGAAGTCTTTCTTTCTATATTGGCTTTGAAGTTTGAAGATGTACTACTCTGAAGAATTGAACCTTCCTAGAACAGATCCCACACGCTGGTTACTAAAAACCGATAAATTAGGTAGGGAAACTTGGCATTATGAGGATAGCGCTGACACTCCTGCTAAACAGACGAATTTCGTCAAATGGTTGTTGAAAGTTGACTCTTTCCCCACACCAAAGTATGAATATCCCATTGCTGCGAACCACCCAAAGTATTCAGCCATTGACTCAGCTAAGAGAGGAGCCGACTTCTTCTCCTTATTGCAAGACGAGAATTCGGGAATCTTTCCTTGTCAGTACAAGGGTCCCATGTTTATGATGATAGGGTATGTTACTTCGTGCTTGTACACAGGAACAGAAATACCCACACCTTTCAAAACCGAAATGATTCGGTATATAGTCAATAATTCTCACCCAGTTGATGGAGGTTGGGGTTTACATTCTTCGGATAAGCTGACATGTTTTGGAACTTCGATGAATTATGTGTGCCTTAGGTTACTTGGTTTAGAAGCGGATCATCCAGTTTGTGTAAAAGCAAGAAAAACCTTACATAGACTTGGTGGTGCATTGGGGAATCCGCATTGGGGGAAAGCCTGGTTATCCATTTTAAACATTTATGAATGGGAAGGAGTTAACCCAGCACCTCCTGAATTGTGGCTCATGCCTTATGATTCATTCCCAATTCACCCTGGTAGATGGTGGGTCCATACTAGAGCTATTTACTTGCCCTTAAGCTACATTTCGACCAATAAATTGAAATGTGGGTTAACACCTCTTTTATCAGAACTCAGAAATGAAATCTACGTGCAGGACTACTCTAGTATTGACTTTGCAAAGCACAGAAACACCGTGTGTGGTGTTGATTTGTATTATCCTCATACCAAATTGCTCGACACTATGAACTGGTCGCTTGTTAAATATGGAGACTGGTTGCGACCTAATTGGTTATTGGAAAAATCCAATAAAAAAGTCTATGAATTGATTGAAATGGAATGCAAGAACACTGACTATCTTTGCATTGCACCCATTAACTTTGCGTTCAATATGATTGTTACGTATCATAGAGAGGGGCCCAATTCCCAAGCATTTGATCGATTTAAGGACAGAATGAATGATGTAGTTTTCCATGGACCTCAGGGAATGTGTGTAATGGGTACCAATGGGGTCCAAGTATGGGACGTAGCATTTATGGTTCAATATTTCTTCATGGCAGGATTAGCTGAAGATCCAAAGTACTATGACACCATTGTTAGGGGGTTTAAATTCTTGATTAGGTCGCAGTTCGATACCGAATGTGTCCCAGGCTCTATGAGAGACAAGAGAATTGGAGGCTGGCCATTTTCCACAAAAGATCAGGGATATACTGTTAGTGATTGTACCGCTGAGGCCATGAAGGCAATTATAATGGTAGGAAACCATCCCAAATATGCTCATTTGAAAAAGGAATTTGTTGTGGATAAGAACTTGTACGAGGCAGTTGACGTAATCTTGAACATTCAAAATAAATCGTCATTCGAGTTTGGATCGTTCTCGTCTTATGAGAAAATCAGAGCAACCCCACTTTTGGAAAAATTGAACCCTGCTGAGGTATTCAATAATATCATGGTTGAATACCCCTATGTAGAGTGTACAGATTCCTCTGTACTAGGATTAACGTATTTTGCTAAATATTATCCGGAGCACAGAAAGTATGAGATCAAGGATGCAATAAGAAATGCAATTCAGTATATTACTGAGTCGCAAGACCCACATGACGGATCCTGGTATGGGTGCTGGGGTGTTTGCTTTACCTATGCATCAATGTTTGCCTTGGAAGCGTACCACTCAGTGGGGCAAAACTATTCTAATAGTAAACCGGTTCGTAAGGGCTGTGACTTCCTTATTTCCAAACAGAGAGAAGACGGCGGATGGTCTGAGTCGATGAAGAGTTGTGAAACACACACATATGTATCACTGGAAAAATCATTGGTTGTTCAAACCGCCTGGGCATTAATTGGCTTGATTCTAGCTGACTATCCGGATAAGGCACCTATAGAAAGAGGTATTGAACTATTGATAAGTAGACAACTTCCAAGTGGAGAGTGGAAATTTGAAGAAATAGAGGGTGTTTTTAACCATAGCTGTGCCATTGAATATCCCAACTATCGGTTTTTGTTCCCAATCAAAGCGTTGGGCTTGTATCATCAGCTGTACGGAGCCAAGTAAGTTGAACGTAACCATGTAAAAAAGATCTAGAGCATTTTATTCGGAAACGGATAAGATTAGACAAGATAATAGCAATGAACACTTTCCCGTATTCAAATACATGTAGATTTTTATAGTTCGTTCTGTTTTCAGCCAGTTTAGTATTGGCCAGTTTGCAGCCTACGGCTACTGATTCAAATCCCTTTTGAACATTTCAGTGGGCGAAATAAACAACATCATACCTAAAGTAGCACCTCCAAAAGGCAGAATATTCTTTTTGGCACTTGACTCCACTTTTACGTTCCAGCTGGACATTCCTTACATACATCCCAGCTGCATTCTTAATAACCTTAACATGGACGAGTCAGCCGTCCCTCGCCAAGATGTTTAATTCTCAAATCCCGATATGCAACCATTTCGGATCTTAACTTATGCGCAAGATGCACCCAGACACCAGTATACTCTGGCCTTTGGTCTTAAATAATTCTTGGCCAAGTATACCTTAATTTCTCCACCTTTCACGTCTCCATTTCTTATTGCACTTGTTGCCCAATGAGTTTTCCTCTTCTCTTTCAACAGCAACTTGTTTCGTTTGGATGAAATCTATTAGCTAAAAAACTTCGGAATTTCTATTTCCGATCCCGGACAAGCCCGCTAAAAATTTTTTTCACCAAGTCTTCCACCTGGATTAAGAAGGGAAGCACCATCAGAATAACAGGACAGTCTTACGCTATTTACAAACTAAAGAGTAACCTACGATCTACAATTCTGTAAAAAATTCTATCAAAAAATGCATGTATATATATAAAACCTTTCAAACTAAAAACTAATGTATAAAATAGGGCAACTGCCTAGCTAAAACTAAGAACCATCAAGAATCTTTGTAGTCGATCTTATTTTTGATCTTGTTCTTTCTCTTCGGAGACAGGTTCAACTTGGTGCTCAGAAACTTCTTCTTTGTTATCTTCACCCTTGTTCTTGTGATCTTTACCCTTGTGACTCTTACCCTTGGCCTTGTGGTCCTTACTCTTGTGTTCACCTTTGTGTTGCTTGGCTTCACCTTCTTGGACCTTTACTTCATCCTTGGTTTCACCTTCATGATGCTTACCCTTGTGCTCGCCTTTAAGTTGCTTGGCTTCACCTTCTTGGCCCTTTACTTCATCCTTGGATTCACCTTCGTGATGCTTACCCTTGGCTCCTTCACCTTTGTGTCCCTTACCCTTGGCTCCCTTGTGACCCTTACCCTTTAATTCTTCACCTTCGGCGTGGAATTCTTCTTGGTGATGAGCTTGACCTTTCTCTTGGTCCTTAGAGTTTTGGTGGTGTTGACCTGGGAAACGTTCGGCTTCTACGTCTTCATCGTCATCTTTGTGGTGAGGCTTCTTGTGCTTTGGCTTGTAACCGTGGTGACGACCACCTTCTTGCATACGGAAGTCATGGTGTGGACGACCGTGGTGACCCCTGGAGGAGAACATTTCCATTTGTTTGCATTCGTAAGCTCTTCCTAAACCGAAGAAGACAAATGCAGAAAGAGCGATGATGGTGAGGAAAACGACTCTCTTTAAAGTGAATCTCTTCTTACGCTTACCAGCGAATGGATGATAGTATGGGTCATTGGATTGAGCAGCAAAGACTCCATGAGGTGGTGGTGGAGGTGGTGGAGCTGGGAATCCGAATCCATGTTGGTGGTGGTGTCCACGAGCACCAAAGGCATGGTGGTGGTGGTGTGGAGGTGCAGGTGGGAATTGAGCATAGTATGCGGCATATGGACCTTGAGCAAAGTGCTTGAAGTGCTTACCACCTCTTCCTCTACCGAAAAATTGTCCTTTACCACCGTGCCTCTTTCCGTGGTAGAGAGGAGTTTCTTCGTCGGAATCAACTTCTGTCTCTAATTCGAATTCGCTCGACTTTTCATCAACGGCTGGGCCCTTTTCTAAATCTTCAACACCATAGACTGGTGGATCTTGCTTGTTATCAAATGACATCTTTGAAATTATCTTTATAATGACTTTGTATAGTAGAAAGAAAAAAAAAATAGACATAAAAAATTCGAACAAATGGGGAATGCCTCTGTATTTATACACATGCAACGCGGTGTTCCTTTTCAAATTTCAAATGCCGAACTTTTTGACGGATTTGCCGTTTTCCCTAGAAAAAGAAAAAGAAACTTCAAAAATGCGAGAAAAAATAAATTGCGGAAGGCTAGGTGCATGCGTATGACAAGAAAGGGCTTTGGATTTTTGAATTTGAAATAGGGACAATAGAGGACAATTTCCGGTCAAAGAAAGAAGGGGGTGATAGAGTATGAAATTTATTTAGACTCCTGCTTTCAATACGATTCAAATGAGTGTACGGATAGCTAAGTTGATAACATGACCCTTTATTGGAATAGGTCAAAAAAACTAAGCAATTTAACACCATTTCTCGTAAGTCACCCACACAAGTTAGTGGTATGCCGGATATCTGCATAACGGGAAAGAGCAAAAAAAAAAAATAACAAAAAAAAAAACAAATGTAAGGTGCATAAAAGTTAGAGTTCAAATGCCGGTTGTAATCGTGATTGGCTAGAGTGGAAATAAGGGAAGATTCACGTACTAATTTGGGATACATCATAGATAATGTTGTGGGGCGTCGCATATATGAAATATGCAAGAGTTCGGGATTTATGTGTCAAGGGGATGATATGTTGAGCTGCTTACGGTGCTTGAGTAAACATTAACTAATGTGTACTGGTGCCAAGGTTCCCTCCTTTGTAATATACTATATTACAATTAAACTGTTTCAACTTATGAAGAGTCGAAGCTACCCCTCAGTCGATCTCATTCTTTGCTAGTCAGGTTTTTTTTTTTTTCACTTGTGCAATCAGCTACAGGTGTAGCAAGGCTTTTTTTCGACATCTTTTCTCTCATTTTATTTGAACGACTGCCCAAAAAAAAATAGGGCACATGCAGAAAAGGGCTTTGAGCCAGTCACCTTGTAACCCGAATGCGACAATATGCCAAAAAAAAAAAAAAAAAAAACCACCACAGCCATATCTTTATTAATGCACGATGACATATTTATTTAAAAAAACTTTTTGCTCAAATTATCTCACCTTACAGAAGTATGTCGTCTTTTTTTTTAGTGTATATATATGCTCATATCTATATTTATATTCATGTCTATATTTATGTCCATATCTATATCTATACCGTCGCGGCTATTTCTGTTTACAGTAGTTCACTAGCTTCTCTTCGTAAAGCTGAACGAATTTATCAATCACATGTTTGGAGTCAGATTTGCTCATTAATTCTGCAAACTCGGGCCGACAGCAAACGACGATATTGAGCCCATTCTCTCTAGTACTAGTAACATTGAAAACAAAATTATAAGCCAACCCTGTGTTACCCCCAAACCATGCATTTTCAAATTTCCAGTTAGATTGTTTGCCAGTTTCAGTGACTAAGCCTAAGTTTGAAATTTGCTTGGTAAATCTATCATGCGACCCAATTTTGTTCCTGTACATTTCCCAGATGTTCAAATAGGGGTATAGTCCTATTCTTTTGAAGCATTGCTTTGAATCTACAGACAGGTGGAGTGATTCGTGGAAGTCTTGCATGAGTGGTATTAGCTCTGTTTGAGGGTAAATTTGAGGAAGTGTAGAAATGTGCCCTGTAACAAGGCACCCATACTGGAAATAAGTCTCATCAGCACCATCTACTTGAGGCAAATGCTTCCGCCCATTGGCAGCAGTGAGAAGGCTTGTGCTCCATTCTACTGCATTTTCATTATCTTGCCCAATCTCTTTGTAGAACGTATTTGCCAAAGTAGCATTCCCGATAATCGCTAAATATGAAGTCAACGCTATTTTATTAGACTTGCAAAAAGCTAGTATTGCTTTCAAGTCTGCCACACTAATATTAACTAGGTTGTAGTGGGTGCTTAAATCCGTGGTGGTCTGCTTATATTGAAAGTTTCTAATATGTCCACTCTTCTTGGTGGTCCATTTAAAATACAAATCTTTGACGGAATGTGGAACATATGACCCTAGTATGGTCGTAACCTTGTCATATAAACTTGGTTCAAATAAATCTGATAGCTCCTCTGCAGCAATTGGCACTTCTTTCTCACGGCCATTTGCAAATAGCTCGGGATTTGCATTTTCGTTATTTATTACGTGAGCAGAGTTCTTTTCAGAGTTGTCTAATTCATCGAGCAAATCTTTATGAAACTGAACCCCAGCTTGCCCATCAAAGACAGCATGCTCAAAATATACACATATATACTGACTCTTCTCTTTCCCTTCTTCCACTTCAAATACAATAATTCTCCAAGTAGGTAACTCTATATTTACAGGACACATCAACTTGTTCACGTGATCAAATACCTTTTCATCAAATTGGGCTACCTTTACGTATGTAACTACATCATTGAATTTAAAGGGTTCGACATGTCTAACCGTGAAATTCTTTCCCTGGTATAGCTCATCGTCTTCTCTACTTGATCCCTCATTTCTGAAAAAGTTTAGCGAAGCCACTGGAGTTTTGCTAATGAAGGAAGTAAGGGCCCTTGCAAGTAATTCTTGAGTGAAGTTCTTATTGTATTTTGCTACAATGTTAAAGTTAGTGTAGTACTTCTCCTGATTCCTACATATAAAGTGCCTCTCATAGTATCCAGGGACTCTGCTGGCAATCATATTCGAATCCTGGATATCTATGAAGTGATTTGGGTATGGAAAGGATATTCTGTTCACAGGTATTGTAGGGGTATTTATGACTATTACATTGGGTGAAAGTTTATCTAGCGCGCTATTCAGAAGAGGTAATTTTATGCGAAACGGGAGAGTGCACCCTACTACTTAGTAGATTTCCATAGTATTGCTTATGTTACGGTAATATTAAGAAGGGAGGAAGAGGAGATTTGAGTAGCTTAGTCAATGATATATAAGAAGATTGAGACAATATTTAGGTAGTCAAGTAAATTCTCTACTGGCAAAGGCTTCAGGTTTCTCGATATACTGTGGACCCATCTTAGGATAACTGCAATGTTGGCTTTCCCTGTGTGCCAATTCAGCTTAGCATACTGCCTTATTAAGCACATTGAAAGAGAACATTTATGTATATTTCGCTAGAGTCTAATGTGATCACCATTTCTATGGTCCAGTATTTCTTCATCACCTCGTCTGGAGCGAGTCGCAGAAGAGTTCTCGTAGACGCATATAAATTATGCGCTTAAAAATCTCCATACTGAGTGAAATTATGAACAAACCGACCCTACAAATGAACTACTACAATATAAACTTTTCAAACAGTACGATGAGTTTGTTTACTATTTAGCAACCTCTTCTTCTTAGAGTACAGAAATGAGTGCAGAAAGCCCCAAATTCGATCTTCAAAATGTCGACTATTCAACCTATTTGGTCACTGATAGTACAATGATCCCTGAATCGTCTACCTTTCTCAAGCAAGTGGAAGATAGCATCAAAGGAGGAGCAACCATAGTCCAATTGCGCGAGAAGTCTCTACTGACTTTGGAGTTTATTGCAAGAGCAGAAAAAGTTCATCAAATGACAAAAAGAGCAGGTATCCCACTTCTTATCAACGACAGGATTGATGTAGCATTAGCAATTGACTGCGAAGGTGTCCATATTGGACAGGATGACATGCCAGCTAAGCTTGCTAGGAAGATTCTAGGCGAAGATAAAATCATTGGCATTACATGTTCTAACCCTGGAGAAGTTGAAGTTGTTTGCCAAGAGCAGATTGCCGACTATGTAGGCTTAGGAACCGTCTACCAAACGAATACGAAGAAGGATACCAAGACTCCACATGGAATAGGTCCAATCGGGATTAGACAAATGCTCAGGGTCTTGAATATTCATAATTCGTCAGAGGCAGGTACTGGGAAGCAGATCAAATCTGTTGCCATTGGAGGAGTCAATCACACCAATGCAAGTAAAGTACTCTTCCAGTGTAAATACAAAAATGAGACCCTTGATGGCCTTGCCATAGTTTCTTGCATCATGGCTGCACAAGACGCTAAGTCAGCCACTGAAACGTTTATTGAAAGAGCCAATTCAAAATTTGTACATAATGATCTTGACTCAGCTAGTATTTCTCCAAAGTCTATTACCGAGAAACACCCCTTGGTACATCATATTACCAACAACGTAGTTAAGAATTTCAGCGCAAATGTGACGTTAGCCATTGGGGGCTCTCCTATTATGTCTGAATTGGCAGAAGAATTTCAGGAATTTTCAGAGAAGTTCGAAAACCTTTCTTTAGTATTGAACTTAGGTACACCCATCCCGAGCCAAGTGGAACTCTTCAAACATGCAATAGTGACTTACAATGAAACTAAGACACCGATAGTCTTTGATCCTGTTGCGGCAGGAGCCTCTGAAGCAAGGTTGAATGTGTGTAAACAGTTATTAAATGCCGGACATATGACCGTAATAAAGGGCAATCTCGGAGAGATCCTGGCGATTTACAAACTAACCACAGAGTATGGTACTAAAATCGACAAAGTAACAGAAGTTGCTATGCGTGGGGTTGATTCTGCGGGAGAATTGCGGGAACATGATATCTTCAAAATTGCCCAGGCAATTATTGAAGACTTTGCATGTATTGTAGTAATTACTGGAGAGATTAACTATGTATGTAGAGTTGATGGCCATGGACTGCTTGAGGTCGAGAAGGTCCAAGGAGGATCTCCCGTTATGGGATTAATAACTGGGACAGGTTGCTCCTTGGGAAGCACCATAGCAGCATACCTTGGTGCCAGCTCGAGCAATCAGTTCTCTGCAACAGTGGCTGCTGTTCGTATATACAACGAGGCTGGCCGCACTGCTGCGATTAGCAGTTCCAAAAACCTCGAAGAGGTGCCCAAACCTGCTGCTTTTCAAAGTCATTTTATAGATACTCTTTATACATTGAGTACTAGATAATTATAGCTAAAGCAGCAATATACGATTTCTTAAACGACTTTTTTAGACCCCATGTACTGAATGATTTCCGTTAACTTGACAATAATAGCCTATCGGCATGTTGCAGCATTTATGCACCTGCATATAGCACATCATCATATTTTTTTGTCTCTCTTTTTCGTGCGCGTTGCCCCCAGAGGGTCAAACAAAAAGAAGAGATACACCATCACCAAACGCTAGACTATCTCCGTATCAGTGTAATGGAATGGTTATTGAGGCAAAAAGCTCTAACAAAGGTGGAGGGGCTAGGGGTGGAAAGCCCCGACAACAACCGAAAGTAAATCGACCATCGCCAATTTCGAGTATATCCAAAATTGGTTCGTTGAATAGGTTCCCTGATAAGGAATATGCTAATGATTTGCTTCACCAAGTTGCCAAACTTACCGCTCCTTTGATCCACGAACGTGGATTCAAAGTTGGGACGTTGTGCGAAATGTATCCAAAAAGCGGAAATTTGTTGGGTTTAAATGTTAATGGAGGACAGAAGATTTTACTTAGGTTACGGTATCATTCTAATAGTAGGCTGTTCTTACCAATGGGCGACTTGATAGGAACCTTTTTGCATGAGTTGACCCATAATTTGTATGGAGCGCATGATGCGAAATTCTATAAATATTTGGATGAGTTGAAAGAGAGGTACGAATATTTACAGATGCGCGGAAGCAGCGCCTCGATGAATGGGTATGTGTGTGAGGAGGAAAAGTTGGGTGGAAGCCAAGGAGGTTTCTACGTTTCGGAACGAGAAAAGCGGATCAGGGCAGTTTCTAAGGTTAAATACATAGGTGAAAGCAAAAAGCTAGGTGGTGGGGGTATCCAAAAAGCTGGTAATGGTGCCAGGAGCAAAATGAGTATAAGGGAATTGATGTTAGAAGCTGCTGAACGAAGAGCTAGGGATTCCAAGTGGTGTCCATCAGAGAGAAGAGAGAAGGAAGCTGAACCTGATGACGAAGAATTGGATATAGTCCCCGTGCTAGATGATGAAATTAGTGAACTACCTGGTGGCTTAAGAAAAGAATTCGTAGATATCGTAGATTTGACCAGTGAAATGGATGAAACTCCACAAGAGATCGTAGTAATTGACGCATCTGAGGAGGGGAAGAAGCTAGAAACTAGTGAAATGAAACCCATTTTGAAGAGGCTGAACCTGGGAAACAAATCTGGAGAAAGCCGGCTGGTTTCATTTGGATTACTACCATCATTGGAGGAGGGCGAATTCAAAGCAGAGAAGAGAAATGTACACCAAGATCACAATAATGGCCAAATTTACTACGTAACTTCAACGTCACCTAGAAGTTTTTTTCAGGAAGGTGAAAAGTACCCCAGAAGGAAGCTAGTTGCAGATTTGGACTTTAATCAGATTATACATTATAGCCCCAAGGAGAAAAATACTCCTTATACTCCTCCACAGGCAAAAAGCTCAAAGGAAATTCTCGATAGAAATGAGAATGATACCACGGCAACAAGCAACATACCGCACCCTAAAGCTAAGAAAGGAGGAGCCGATAATACACAAAAGAAATCAAAAGGCAAACTACAGAACGACGAGAAGGATAAAGAGCTGGACTCACATTCTAGATCTGTATTGCCAAGCCCGGTAGTATCAAAACCTAAACGAGGAAATGCGAAGAAACCAGAATCACACCATAAAGCTACTACAAAGAAGAAACCTGCAAAGCGGAAACTGGCCAAGGCAGAAGAAACGAAATCGGATCAACCCAGGAAAGTAGTTCGATCTGTAGAATTTAGCGATTTACTTGACTGAGCTAATCTATGTACTATAATATCGCAAACTGAATAAGACAATTTAACAAGACCAACATTTTGCAGCCAGAGAATTCTCTATCTATGTAATATGCAAGTAAGCGCCAACTAGCCACTTTTGTGAAAGCAAAAAAGATAATATGTCTGGTATACTTTTATGGCCCTCGGTCCTCTTAAGATTTCATTTCTACTAGGTGGTCAAATACACATAGGGTATGATTACTTTCCAGCATTATGGTATGCGGGAGTGTATCTCTGCCTCACCGCTACTAAAAGCAAGCATGATTTATAGTGAGACTCCTAAAATAAAATCACGTGCATTTTTTGTCTCATGAAGTGAATAGTTCGACATGCTATTTACTTTTTGATTTTCGTGATGTTAAAAGTTACATAGGCCTTACTCTTCTTCCATAAGTACATACCAACAAGTAATAAAGATGTCTGCGGCAGATTTAAGAAAGAAAGCCTTGTCAGGTCTGGCTGCGGAGAATGTTCGTCCATCCTCTCCGCTTCCTAATATGGAAAGAGATGGACCAAATTCATCGATCAGTTCTGGAGCCACTACCCCAACGAGAATGATCAAGACTGATTCAGTCATCAACTTGACCAAACCTTCATTATACGGGATTTACAACGACAATTCGCTACTCAACTTGAGCAAAGACGATTTCGAAGACGGTGGCATGTACGTTACACCTCCAACGCTGAAGCAATCTGAAGGCGAACAACTGGAATCGGGTAAAGCAAGCGAGTTTCTTCTGGATTATCCTATACTCAAACTAGTTGGTAAGTTGCTTGTGCTTACTCTGGCTTGCTTTGCTTATAATGAGATTACCAAAAACTTGCACAATTCTCATCTTCAGCTGGGGTTATCTATTCCCAATCAACCACTTCTTTTGGCGAATACTCTATTAACTAAATTTGTTCATAAACTTAGACCGGTGTCGGCAGCTTCAAATAATGTTACATCCACCGTGAGCTGGATAGACTCAGCTCTTGCTTTAATGATCCAGGGGGTTGCAATGGGTTCAATCCATCCATTAGTTGACCAAATATTACCAAAAACATTATCCAAAAGATTAATGTCACTGGCCCCCCGTTCAACTTCATCATCTTCGTCATTTCCAAACCTTTCTACAACTGGAACTGACTTAATTAGATCTTTAATTACCTTTTTAGGACTCCTGTATGCCGTCAGGAAAGTCCAATGGACATCAGCATTACAAGTATCCATTTTGTGGTCACTTTTAAACCCATGTTTATGGTTATTGTTAGACGGTACCATCAGTGGGTTTATAGCCAGTACAATCGGTGCTGGCGTTGCCTGTATCTGCGTTTACCTTCAAAGTTATGAATTGATTGCCATCCAAGGACATGACTATGAGAATTTCGCGGCTATTTGGTTGTTAGTTGCATCATTTTTCTTCTGTGGGTTAATTATCTTTGGAAAGTTAGGGAGAGCTTTATTTTAGAAGACATGTAGAAATAAAAGTAATTAAATAGTAAACAGAGCAAAGGTGTTGTATATGTCGCACAGTGACGACAGAAACAAGAGATATCACAGTCATAAAGAATAAATACCGTAGGTGTTTTATGTTTTTCCTTTCCTCCTTTTTTTTTACTTTTCTACAAGCTCACTCAATAGCATCCTGAAAACTTCAACGTTCAAATTATTAAATCAATGTACTAGTATTCAAGTGAGAAGCAATACCAGAAACAGAATATGCAACTACTTGATCCATCAGCAAGGTACCTACACCAAAAATAAATTTAATATATCTTTTGTATTTGTCCAAAGATGAAATCCTCTTCCACAAATAATTGGGAAATTAGTATCTTATTTCTACCAGCATTTTTGATCTAGCATCTAACAAAGCATACTAAACAAACTGAACCACCCTGAAACAAAAAGCTGTTGCTGCAAGAGAGCTGCATCCTATGTGTATATAATCCTGCATATATACATTCTCCTCCTTTTGTTCTCAGATCCTGTACGTAGACTCGCTTCCATTTTGTGTAATAAATCTTAACCAATTATCATATTTTCTATTACCTTTCGAAAAAAAAAAAAGAGGAAGTGAAACGAAATTAATACAAACATCAAACTCAACCACCATCACCACTTTTAATCAAATATATACAATATGTCTGGTGGACCAGTTCCAATTTGGAAGAAATACACAACCGGTTCCACAGGAATTTGGGAAAAATTTAGACAACTCTTCGTTTTGGTGCCAAATAGATCATCAGGTAACCCAATTGTTGCTTTATATAGAAACCCACCGCCAGGTGCTAGAATAAATGAAGCTAAGGCCTTCAAGGAACAAGTAACATTGCCTGCAGGTGATATCAGAGGAAATTCATACGCAAAGAGAGATTACAGAAGAAACTATCCACAAGTGCACTCATTCGATCAAACTAAAGTTTCAGGTTTGTTACAATTGGGTTCAGCCGACAAGCCAAGAATTTCCATTGGTAACAAAGGTACTCAAGAATTGGCCGTCTACAGTGAAAATAGCGAAGGTGTCAGTCTTTCCACAACTTTGACTCAAGTATCTCCAAACGTAGTAAAGGGAGAATTATTGGGTAACTCCGGTGAGCCAATCGTTGCACCTGCTTTAAGAAAGTTCGAGTGGACCATCTTAAGGGAACCACAACATGGTATGTACACTGAAGACTACCCATGTCGTATTTTCACCGACGTTAAATCAGCTAACTGAAAACTCTGTTTTTCTGAGGAGAGGAAATAGAACGACTACTGCATGGAGTCTGTAAGAGGGTGTGGTGTGTGTGTTATTGCATATTGATATATACTAGATTATAAATAATTTTATATAAACAAAAAATAAAAGAAAGGTTACTATTAGAAGTGATGTAGAGGCCACATCCTGGTGTAGGGTTCCGATATGGAACGTGCAGCAAAAATGAGTTAGCCGACAACCTCCTAAGGGGTAATGAACCAAAGTATTGACACATTTTGTATTGTGTATGTCCATATCAATAGGTGCATATGCATGCTCTGTGCATATATTTGAGATAGAGAGTTCCTACCGTTCCTCGTATGTAGTATCACCACATCTTTGTCTGCTCAAATTGCAGCAAATAATATGCTCCCTCTTGCTATAGCATGCAAGTATGCTCGATTGTGCTTAATTAAGTGGTCTACATGTATCCTTGTATGACCGATTCTCCTTATTTCACTGGTCTGAACTTAGCCGCAGGGAATATTCGGGATAGGCCATACAAATTAAACCAAACTATGAGGTATCGTATCCCGCTATTCTTTTCAGCAGCATCCAATCCATCCCATTCTGATAGTGTTGCATTGGTTTCGCATGGGTGTACGAAAAAGCTCACCAAATTGTTGACAGGGTTCATTTCAAGAGAGGTAGCTCCAGCAGCATCTTCGGAAATTACAGATACATATTTTCTGCTCAACTTGTCAAAGTCTTGTATGGGAATTGGGTCTTGAAGTCCTTCAAACACATTAAAGTATAATACTGGAACATTGTGAAATTTATCGTATCTGATGGTAAAGTTCACCACGAGAGTGTCCTGTATGTAAATTGTACCATAGATATGGAGCTCATCGCCAAGCACAGGGTTCAGGTGAGTTCGACGGCACAGCCCTTTTACGTAGCCACATAAGTTGTCCTTGAGCAACTCATTGAATTCTGGTAGTGATTCATTGAATTGAGTGATTGAAAGAGCCATTAATTTAGCAGCAAGTGAATAAAGAATGGCTCATGCTGAGGAAAAGATTAGAATGGTGGTCCCGTTTTCGTGAGTACTCGCCAGTAAAATAAAGTCGCACTCACCCGGCTGACTCCCCATACACCCCAGTATCCCCAGAAAATCATGTCCCCTAAAATGAAATTAGCTGCTTACATTACCTCGAAATGATATTTCACTATAACTAAAATACCAGTATTTACCTTTTATATGCATGTATTCATTTCCACTACAGACTACCTAACTTATCTCCATCATTTGTTTCTCAATTCTTTTCGCTTTTTTCTATTTTATTTATCTGTTCTTTATTGATGCACTACAAAATTCCTTCGATCCTTGATCCCTAAATTTTCAGGCATAAACTTTAATATTTGAATGATTTAACGACCAAGTCCTAAAATCTTGGCCACATACTAAGAGATTATTCAATTTTTCTTCTGAGTGAGCCCTCATTTAGCATCAGTTTTTTCTGGTTCTTCTTTCGTAGGAGTCGACTCATTCAATAAATTCAGTTTACCGTTGTACAATATTCCTGCGTTGCTACCACTTATGGAGCTTCTGTTGTACATTTCTTTTACTTTTTCCGCATTGGGGTGTCTCAATGGGATCCCGCCTGGAATTGTGTGCTTATTACCATCCTGTTTTTGCATTGCATAATCACCGCTATCGAAATACTTCTTGTCTTGGAATTTTGATGTTAAAATCTGTTGAGTGGTTGGCAATTTACCATACATCTTATATATACGTAATTCTTGAGGAGATAACTTAGACAAATCTAAGTTTTGAGTATTCTTTGGGGGCCCTAATGGGTCTTCTTCATCCATTGACATATTTAACAATTAACTTGGGTTTTGGCAAAAGAGATTTGTGTGATATTAACCAAAAAAAAGAACCTAAGAGGATGATAATGGGTTGAGAACGGCAATTCATTTAAGACTTTAAATTTCAAATTTTGGATTCTGGCTTTGTGTAAGTAAGTCACGTGCTTGGTTATTAGCCTTTAGGCTAGTACAGTCACTAAGCTCCCCTCTCTCCACTCTACGGAATGTCTTGTTTTGGGTTTTGATGATTAATGAAGGATTGGGGTTCATATCTGTCCTCAGCACAGTTGCATTTTATAGAGTCTGTAGTTGAAATCTTTTGGAAATGATTGATATAAGCAATTAAGAGCGTATGGACAGAGAGTAGAGAAGGCGGCTGCGAAAAGTAATGCTAGAATGTGTGAAGTAGTTGCATATATCTGTTGTCGAATGGTACTACTATTATGCTCTATGGTGGGGTACGAGTATATTTCTTTAAAATTATGTGAACAAGGAAGTTTGTATGGACTTCTTTGAGCTTCTATGGATGAAAAGCAGCAATTTGCGCCTAAGCAAAATAGGGCTGCACCTTGTAAGAATAGCTTAAAATGAAAACAATACCATGTATCAAATTTTGTTCAGCTTACCTACTCTTTTTAATTGCTCAATTTGGTTCATCGCTCTTCCTATGTAGATTTTTGTACTTCTAGCAAGCAATCCTATATTTGAAGCATTATTTTATACTAACTTTCTTAAATTTGGTAAGATAATTGTAACTATAATTATCAAAAGGTCAACTAAATATACAATCAAATCTATTAAATCCCATGGCGAATTGGATACATGCAAATTGAAGCTGAATGAATCTAGCCTATGGCCCTTCGTATAACTGTGTGCATCTGATTCGTAATTTATAATTAAGTACAAATCTAACTCTTCCCCTTCTTCTTCCTGAATGAATTTATATGATAGATCCACATCAAAGGGCTCAGTTGCGGGCCAGCAAAGTTTCACATAAAGTGTATCGTCAGATTTGAATGTTTGGTCGTTATAATTATTTAACTTCACCAAAAGGGTATGAGGTAATGCAAGTTTATCATTGTACTGCACGTTAACTGCCGACTTTGAAACACTAATTTGCTTAAATTTATTTCCAATTGGATAATCTTTCAATAATGAATGTGTTTCATTTACCATTGGAGCATGTACTGGTGATTCCAAATGTTGAACATAAGATGATGGGTGTGCAGGAATATTATAATAGTGAGGTATTGGTAAAAGAATTGTTTCAGTATTGGCACTTACTAAACCAATGAGGCAGATAAGCGAGATGGCATGTGTAATGAGGAACATATTTTATATTCGAGCCATATGGAAAAGAAAGGATGAAAGTAGTAATGAACTTTTCAATTTCTCTGGAGATACGTCATCGCGATATAGATTGTAACGAAATCAAATGCCTAACACGCGCGTAACGAAATGTTCGCACACTGTTGAAGCATTATGTTGCATATATTAGTTATTGTGAATAAATATTTAATTAGGTCGAAAGTATATACGTATGTAGTCACTGCTTTCGGTAGTGTAATTTCAAGCTCTTTGCAAGTGGGATATATTGAAGTTACTTGTAAAGGTGTATTTGGTCATTATAGTTACTCGAGTAGCTCTAATCCAAACTTTTCGATGGCCAGTTTCCCCACTAGAACGAACTGTTCCTTCGTGGAATTGGTAGTATCTCTCAGAGTATCCCAAATTGCTAATTTTAATCTATGTAGGCTGAAATCATCTTCTAGGATTTTGGTAAAACTTCGATAAGACTCCAAATTCATCTGGAATCCAGAGAGCTCAAGGTTCTTTAGTTTAGGAAACGATTGTGAATTAAACTTACTTAATTGCTTCGTCAGAAGCAATTTCCTCCATGTAGAATCGGTGTGTTGATCGAAAGAAAGCAAGAACGTTTCTAAAGTGTCCAATGAATAGTAAGATAACTCAGCAACTTCACCCTCTCCCCCACTTTCTCTATCACGTAGTACTACATTTCCCTTTGGATCTTCTAAAAATTTACCAAACCTTTCCAGAAGGATAAATGGATGATTTTCAATGTATTTGAGTTTCAAAGATTTCAAGTTCCGGCTCAAATTGAACTGAGCTAGCGTAAACGGATATTCCCAAGTGCAATTCAATAAGTTCAACTCTAGTAACGAACAACAAATATTAGCACTCTCACTCCAATTGAAATGATAGGAATCCAACAGCAATTTAGTTAGCAATTTAAAGTCATGTAAATGTGCCAAGTCAAATATACGCGGACTGTTTGAAGCTGTTCTACTTAGTTTAAGAATATTCTTGGGATTGGGTTCATGCTGAAGGTCCTGCGTTTCATTGTGACCCTTCTCGTAATAAAGACAAAGCTCTTTAATATAACTAGAAGTCCGATATTTGAGCCAATTTGAAGAGTTGGCACTATTGATCAGAAGATGCGTCAATCGGGGGAATCTCAAATGAAGTATTGAGAATATATCAATCTGCCATTCTCCGTATGAATAGAAATCTACAAGTCGTATATACTCAGGCAACGAGAATAAGTCAAACCGGGGCTCTTCCTTTTTCAGTATAAGCTCATACCAATTAGTCTTCACCTTGTTAAAAATAATGGGCGACAATTCTGACCTATAGTGTCGATTCATGCAGCTGAACTTTATCACATCACTTCTAGATAAGAGCGAGAGTATTCTGAAAATGAGATCGTTTGGCAAGTCCAAAAAATATCCCCTTCTGGCCCTTTTTCTATCCCTATTTTCATTTGCTACTATTTCTATATCGCTTTTAGTAGCCAGGTGAACCCTTTTCATTTATATATACAAACAAACTCAAGATATTATGGAAGTATACGTGACTAGTTTTGAAAACCTTTCAGTATTTCGATTCTGGAGAGATTATGCAAAAATGCGGATCTCGGCCTTTGCTGCATATGATTGCATATTGCAAATTTTAGGCTGTTTTGTATGACACATTTTAAGACTAAAGAAAATCGTTAACAAAAATCTTGGGTAGAAAAACTAGCCTAACACTCATACTGACGTGAGAGTAAGGAACAGCTGCAGGATATAGACGTCTTGGTCTTATATCTGGTGTAAAAGCTAGTCACAGATCCATCAGATACCTTCTCAGATACTGCGAAATTTGATTGTACTACTGTACTACTGTACTTAGTTTCTGCAGGAAAAAGAAAGCCTGTCGAGATTCGCTAGCTTCGGCTTCTTCCTGGCGTGGAGAATAAGTCACAGCTTTGATCTGAAAGGCTAAAGTGTTCCTTATACAATCCGCTAGAGGCAAGAAGAAGAAGAATAAGAAGAGGAAAGAAGGAGAAAGAAGAAGAAAAATATCACAAGCAAAGAGGAGAGTAAGTAATTTTCTCGTGATCTTTCTAGTCTAGGTCGATTGCATTCTACTAGTTGCATTATTGCTATACATAATCCCATCAACATAATTTCATCCTCTTCCAAATGATACGAGTAACTACATCTATAGTACAGGCTATATTGGTGGATTTGCAAATCATACAAAATAACCCATTCTCAATTATCACATCCCCTGATACTTATAATCCTCCATTTACAAATTCTCTTGATGTTTGGTACAATGTAACTGATGGTATTCCTCATCACCATGAAGAAAGCTGGGGCTTTATAGGGTTAGCCATACTTTTCGCGGGGTTTGACGTATTGTATAGTATGTTTCGCTTGTTTGCCGCTGGTTTAATAGGGGGTACTATGATATGTGTATGCATGACAGCATTTTTATGGATTGTAGTCACCTTGAAATATAGATGGCAAATGTTGAAGCGCTTTGGTGAAATTGATTGGACAATAGTGTGTTAAACATGGAAATTTGAACGGTGAACAAAAAAATCTTCTACAGGATATATATAGACATAGGGCTTGCTTCTTAGTAGAAACATTATCTAATGTACAAATTCCTATACTAATTCTATTCTGAGTTCATGGGTCTGGTAAAGCTCTAGAAGCTTTCCGAACTTCAATGTTTAGATGCACTACTCGAGAGCAATAGAGAGAAAAGGCAGAGAGAAGGGTAGAGATAGACTCGTTCTCGTTTTTTTTTTTGGTATGGCTATTTCAACTTTAAACTACTTACTCCTTCCTTCCTTTTGAATGAATGTACACATGAGCAATTAGACACAGATATAGATTAAAGCCACTACTTACAGGGATACAAGGAAATCTTTGAGAAGAATCCAAATCACGATGTCTAATTTCTCTACAATGCTATCTTTCTCACTCATTAATTCATTCTCCGATGACCATTAAATCTAGAGTGTTTTTTTTTTCCTTTAATGGTATTCACAGCAACCGTTCATGTTGTATATCAAACTCCTGCTTAGCTGCAGTCGTGTGAGTTGAGCCTTTCCTCTACATATTTATTCTTTGTGGAGAATTCGCCTGAGACGGTATATAGACAAATTTTAGCCTGCGACCTTAGGCGAATCGCAACTTTTTCGAATACCGAACATAGTGACTTCGGGAATATCACAACAGTCTTCTTCTTCGTAATTCTAAAGGTACGCCGTTGCTTATTTGTTGCTACTAAAGTATTCCAGCGTTGATCTGCATTATTACTACAAATGCTTGGTCAAAGAAAACCGGCTTCAAATTTATATTATACAATAATGGACGTGGAGAAACATTCAGGAAAAACTTCTTCTCCAGTTTCAAGTCGGAGTAAGAGCTCTCGCGCGGAGAAACAATCGTCATCATCATCAATGTACTCAAACATTGTGTACTCCACCGTTGTATTGGTCATTACTATCCTAGCTATTCGATCGCAGTTACCATCAGAATTTAATGCTCTGTCGTTGTCGCCAGCGCCTATATCTCGCATAGTTACATCGTTGAGAGAACTCTCTCACGATGTTTTTAGATTTTTTCCAAGGCAGGAAATACAATCATCCAACCTACCCCACCTACCAAATAATCGAGATGATTTTTTTCTGGACCCAGTAGAAAGATTTGATGTAGATGGCAATAGGCCGTTAGGTTTTATTATAGTGGGACTAGTGATTTTGTTCATGGGAATTATCATAGGACTATAGACTTCATCGCTCCATTAATTTTTGTACATATATTAACATTTCCAGCACGACCAAATAGTGATTTTTTCCTCAGGTCACTTTTCATGTTTCGGTTTTCTAAGATCACCTACACCACCTTTCAGCATTAGTTTTCTTTTTATTTGGGACCTCCATCATGGCGAAATAAAAGAACTTAACGAAAATGAAAATATCGTAGAAAGGGGCTAAATGAGCGACTTGTTTTGTTCCAGCAGTTTTTTTTCACTTAACCTGTGTTTGTTCATCGGCTGGTTCCTTGAAAATGCCGATATTGCCATACTCACTTTCACAGTACGAAATTGTGTAGAGGCATTAGTTGTGGATGGATAAGATAAACATCATGTATGTTGCTTGAATTTTTATTCTGTGGCTGCTTATCTATTCGCTCGCATGTATTATCTTCACTATAAACTGTACCGAGCCAATCGCCCGTGCGAACCTATTTAATGTCTAGCGGTTGAATGAAAGTTGTTATCTTGCATATCAAGATGAAATTGCATGTTGTCTCTAACGCAGGAAATGTAATAATGCTTTCGAGCGTAGCAGTGACATTTCGCTGCTATTTTTCTGACTTTACATTTTTGGTCGAGACGATGTCTTTTAGAGCTATTGCTGCCTGGCTTTATATTGGCTGACTATAGGATATCTAAAATTTAAGTGCTATGCAACCGTTACAATAGAGGTACATTATTATTGTAACCTTTATTCGTTCCAATTAGTAAACATCAAGAAGAATGTTTTTTTGTACCTGTACTTGAACCATTCTATACGTAGGAAAGTCTACAATTCACCTTCTGTGCGTAAAATCCTTGAATGGAACTACTTTGTGCGTAAGGTTCATCTTTGCGAACTCATTTACTGATATATATGCTAATATTTTCAATGTATAAAGGTACTTGAAGTATAGATATGGTTTTGAGATCAAGTCTAATAGTTAGTTATTAATACCTTCCAATTTATCTTTCAGGTAGGAATCCGCACCTCCACCGTAAGCAAGGTATGAAGACCAATGTGATACATTCGGCAGAGACGAGGCAACAGTAATACTCAATATCTCCGGTTGCTACAAAAGCTTACCATTTAGATTCAGAGAAAACTTCTGTCAAGCAATCTGGAAGCTGACGCTTTTACATATGTATCAAAGTGGTTAACTCTTCACTTCTTTAGCCTTGGTGCTTCAGTATCTCAAAACCATTAATCTATGCTTTACAAACACGTCGAAGTGGTTCATCCATATCACTAGTATCAATGGCGTATATGACCACAAATAAATTGAACATAATGAGGTTGATTTATCTGCTCTTAACTGAAATATTGCTTGATTCAGGTACTGTAAATAAACGTAATTGCACTAAAATTATAACGGCTCTTTTGTTGATACTAGATGAAAAAGTATTGGCCCCTTTGCAGGATCTTCATTTGGAGAAAGCTAGTGTAGATCTGAAAACTTCATTTAAAATAGTGGAGGATGCTCAACTTTACTCACTATAGAGGAACAGAAGTTGGTATTGCCTTAGGTAGAATGATCATCTTCTTTACCGTTCAAATGAAGGATTTCTCACAATGGGAAACAGTGTTTCAGATGCTGTGATCAAGGGAATATTGAAGATATGGTATTTTAATATAATTCTATATAATCCATGTTATTATAGATGCATCTCTTTCTATATCAACTGTAAGTCATATTGTGCAAATGCAATAAACTTCGAAATTTGCAACTTCTGCTCTAATTTCAGAAATTCGCATATTCTTCCTAGGGAGTTTATTGAATCATTTAGTTGCATGGTTTACTCGCATCAAATGTCAAATCCAAAATTGAATTGCGAGTACATCATATTAAGCATATTACAGCAAATGGAACGAGAGATCTTACAACTAACAAATTTGCAATATTATTTCTTCATCAGATCCTCATTCCTACTCCAGCGCTTGCAATATATAATATAATGATAGCAGATAGCCTAAAGCTTTCAAGCAACTCTTATCTTGTTTGTACGCTGTAAGTCAGCAATGGTTACTACCAAAAAGTTACTTAACATGGTTACGAAAGAAAAACTACTTCCTCTACCTCAGAAAACAATCAGCTCAATTTTCAGCAACTTTGATAATTTTTTTGGCTTTTGAACTTTAACGAAATCTGACCTCTTGATGTTAGTGGATGTATTCAGCAGTTGTATCAGTTTAGCTTCTATTTTTTTTAGAACCTTACATATTTTCACTCTTAGCCATGACGATGTTCCCCATAAATATTATGGACTTGATTATGTCACAATCTCCTACTTGGCCTTTATTATTGCAAGAAAGTACGATTATAGTAATTGTTTATATAATCTTTTAGGTAGATGATGGACCAGAACTTGACTAGCGTCGATGTATGAAAAGTAAGCCGCACAGAAAAAGCTGCAACTTTCCTGTTTTTTCACTGTAAAGCTTATGTAATCTTTGGAATTCTTAAACCGACCCTGGTCCCATAGCTGTTCGTTGATGTATAGCAGCTTAAAGTCGTTGTTATCTTTGGGCCACATTCTATTATCTAGGCTTTATTTTTAATATGGTCCAAGAAATGAAAAAAGTCTTAAACTTCATTAAAATTATTGCCAAGAAGTAAGCATTATACTATTACGCCAAGGTGAATATGCTATATGTAACGTACTAGCCCTATATTAAGATATAAAAATCACCGATTTTGAAAGTTCCTTCTGAAGAATAGTCACTGCAGTGAAATGAATCTGTTTGGATTTAATCTCTCACTTGTTAAAACACAAGGTTTTAATTAAGAAGTATTGCGTAAATTTTTAAACTATCTCAAAGACTTGGATTCACTTCCGATTACTTTTTTGGAAAGAGAACTTTATCCAACTATTGTTGGATACGAGGTAATTCTGTTGGAAGACATGTATACTTTGACTCAATTATACTGCTACCACCTTGATTGAAATAAGTCATTGAACTATCACTATTGTAGGATAAGAGTTTCCGGGGGAATCGGACAGTCTTACTCCACTATCTTCTTCGTTCTCTCTTCTTGAAATCAATTTCATGCGCCAGGCATGCTTTACTCCATGCAAATTAGGTTCTACTTACCTTATGGAATGGGCCGCCGTGCTAGTCAATGGCAGCAAAGCAGAAATGGCAAAAATTCAAGATTCACTGGCCGTTTTCCAAATGTAGTATCTGATAAGGAATCAGAACTATTTCCGTAATCTCGAGTGAAGATAACTCTTTAACATATAAAGTCTTGTATCATCTTCTATTCATCACTAACTTTTTCTGTCTCAACACTATTGGCATCAACAAGCATCGAAATGTCGAAGTCATTGAATCCTATCACCAGTATTAACAGTACATATAGTCGGAAACAAGTGGAAGATCATGAAGTTGATTTAGCTGCTCTTGAATCAAGAGTTGTTTCTATCGGGGAGGTGGGTGCTTCATTAACCAGTGATCAGAAATATTTCATTTTACAAAGATTAAATTACGACAATTTAATTAATTTGGAAGACTTGCCAGCCACTGCAACATTCATGATTGAAAAAATTGAACATTTGGAAATTTCCGAAGCGGTAGAAATCCTACAAGAAGTCATTGAAGAATTTGATGATGATTTCAATTTTCCAGAGGGGGATTTGGATTTAATCAAGAGACTATTAGCATTAGCTCCTTTGAATGAGGGCAGGGATGTCAAATCCAAGCTAGAAGTACAATTAAATTCAAAAAAGCTTGATGAAAAGACACTGCCTAGTTTAGAGGAAAACTATCAAGAAGAAAGTAATAATTTGGGCGAGAAAGAATTCGAATCTCAAGAAATTGTAGACTGGAATTTACAAGTTAGATTAGAGGCTGCTCTTAATGCTTATTATTCCCCATATCCTGAAGTTAGAGCAGTTACTGAACCATTCGATGATCCCAAAATCCCATGTGAAACTTTGAGAGCATATGTGATTGGAATAGTCTGGTTGGGCATAGGTGCATTCATTAATCAATACTTCTCTCAAAGACAGCCTAGTATATCCTTGAGTGCCAATGTTGCCCAAGTTTTCCTTTACCCAAGTGGTTTATTATGGTACTATGTTTTTCCCGATGTTACAGTTCCACTTGGTAAATTTTCGTTTAGATTGAACCCTGGACCTTGGACTTACAAGGAACAAATGTTTGCAACCATTATTTATACCATTGCAAATGGTAACCAATACATTGCTTATAATATATATACACAAAAAGTCAAACTATTCTATGGAAATACTTGGGTTACTTGGGGTTATCAAGTCTTATTGTCTCTTTCTACAAATTTCATGGGTTTTGGATTCGCAGGTATCTTAAGGAGATTTGCATGTTACCCTGTGAAAGCAATTTGGCCAACTGTCCTACCAACACTTGCTTTGAATAGAGCATTACTTAGTCCTGATAGAAAGGAAAACATTAATGGATGGACAATTTCAAGATATAACTATTTCTTCACTCTTTTTGGTGCATCTTTCCTTTATTTTTGGATCCCTGATTACTTGTTTCAAGCATTATCAACATTCAATTGGATGACTTGGATTAAACCTGACAATTTCAATCTTGCAATGATTACTGGAAGTGTCCTGGGTCTTGGTTTCAACCCAGTTCCAACTTTTGATTTTAATATCTTGTTGTTCAACTCTCCTTTGGTTTATCCTTGGTACACACAGGCATACACAATAGCTGGAATGTTGATTGCATTCCCGATTATCTGTGCTATTTATTGGACAAATAGTAAATGGGCTGGTTACCTCCCGATCAATTCTAATGGATTATGGGATAACACTGGAAAACCGTATTCTGTGAGAAAAGTTTTGGATGAGAAAGGTTTATTTGACCAAAAAAAATACGATCTTTATGGTCCTCCTTTTTACACTGCTGCTAATTTGGTTGTGTATGGTACATTCTTTGCAATGTATCCATTTACTGTATTTTATGAATCGATAATTAGATGGAGAGTAATTAAAAATATTTTCACTCAGGTATATGAAACTATAAAGGACTATAGAAAGCCAATTCTAGAGACCATGAATGATCCACATTGCAGAATGATGTCACGTTATAAAGAAGTCCCAGAGTGGTGCTTTATTGTCGTCTTAGTGATTTCAATAGTTTTGGGTATATTATGTGTTGAGTTGTTTCCTACAAATACTCCTGTTTGGGCAATTTTCTTCGCAGTCGGTATCAACTTTGTCTTCCTTATTCCATTGAATTTGCTTGCAAGTTCCACCGGATTTATTTTTGGTTTAAATGTTTTAGTTGAATTAATCATTGGATATGCTCTCCCAGGTAACTCTCAAGCCCTAATGATTATTAAAGCTTTTGGTTACAACATTGATGGACAAGCTCAAAACTATGTTATTGATCAAAAAATGGCTCATTATGCGAAGATCCCACCTCGTGCTCTTTTCCGTGGACAAATACTTGCAGTATTTGTTGGTAGTTTCATCGGTTTGGCAGTTATGAATTGGCAAATTAGCAGCATGGCAGATATTTGTCAACCCCACAATAAGCAGAAATTCACTTGTCCAAGTCCAAGGACCTATTTCTCTGCATCGGTGATTTGGGGTACAATTGGTCCTAAAAGAGTTTTTGGTGGATTATATCCAGTTTTGCAATATTGTTTCTTAATTGGTTTCTTATTAGTTTTTCCAGCTGTCGCCTTTAAATGGTATGCTCCTAGACAATGGTCTAGAAATTTTCAACCATCTATTTTTATGGGTGGATTTTTAAACTACGCACCATATAACTTGTCATATTACACAGGTGGTGCATACTTATCCTTTACGTTTATGTATTACATCAAAAAGAAGTACTTGACATGGTGGGAAAGGTATAACTTTCTTCTGTACGCAGGAATAGAAGCTGGTATTGCCTTTAGTAGTATTATTATCTTTTTTGCAGTACAATATCATGACAAATCAATTTCCTGGTGGGGTAATAATGTCATGTACGCAGGAATCGATGGAGGCAACGCTCCACAATCTCGACTTTTTGCTACTGAAGATGCACCTGATGGTTACTTTGGACCAAGAGTTGGTCATTTTCCATAATTAAATTTTATTAAGAGAAATTACATAAATATGAAACTTTATTTTGTTCTAAAGTTTCGTGAATAAATGCTACAGAATTCATTCTTACTTCATATCGTATGCATGCGCCGCACATGTAAAGTGCTGCATTTTTTTCCTACTTCAGAAACCTTACGTAATCTTCAGAAGTTCACACATCAACTATCGATACGACGGTGATAAAGCTTGATGCAAACTGTATCTCCAAATTTGGTGGCTCTCCATTCACTTATGCTTGTGTTCAAAATGAATAAAAATGCCAAAGTAAACAGTAGCTAAGTATATTGAGGGAAATGGGTTTGACTCTTTTTTAAGTAAAACTTTCTCTCTTGGTCTTACCAATTTGATGTGGTACTTAATACTAATTGAAGGGTGCAATTCATTCTCATCTGGCTATAATTAGAAAGAATATCTGCCTTTCTCAGTATTGATTCAGTCAATGAATTTTCACAAGTTAATGGCTCTCTACTTCATCTCTTTTTTCATGTAGTGAACTCAAGAAGTTAATTTAGTAGGTTTTGCGTCTAGTTTTATTTCAAATGACGTTGAAGAAATTTTCTTAACTAGCGATAAAAAAATGCTTTATCTTAGAGTATTATGACTATGAAATACTAATTTTGGATGGTTCGTCAGTGCTACTAATTTACCCTGAAAAAAATTGATACACTCAATTTTTTTAAGATCTTGGCATCTTAACCAAAGTTATTTCTGATTTTGTATATATGGTGACTTCAGTTTCTCAAGAATAGCTTATTCAAAGGATTAGTAGCCTTTATTGGAAAGTCATTGCGTTAAATTTGAAGAAGACAACCAACTTCTGGGTAAGAATAGGGACTAGTAATCTCGTGTGCCAATGGTAGGCAGAATATTATTCGTCTCGGTACGCGGATTTTTTCCCTGTGCCACAAATAAAAGATTGGTCTTAGAAGGGTATACGGAAATTTACATACAATCAGTAATGTTTCTTGATATTTTTCTTATTAGGTCTTTCTGCTCTTACCCTCTATTGGTATGCTCAGTGGATATGGGTTTGACTCGTTCATCAAACTATATTCACCTACAAGCTTTTGAATTATATTATTTATAAAAAGAATTAATAACAGGACAATGTAGTTGCTTACGCATTGGGATCTGTAACAAAAGCATTCATTATGGTGGTTGTCTTTAGTGGAAATAGAAATTAATTCATTCTCGGCAAAATTATCATCTTCTGCAGCACTGTACTGATTATTTGAATTCCAGTAGGAGTAAGGCCCTCGTTCAAGGGTTACCTTCCACAGTTTCTCCTTCTACCTCTTCAGTTGCTTCTGATAGTATTTTGGATAAAGAGTTTGTAGTTACCGCAAATAATTTGTAGACAATTAATAAAAATCTTTAGTTTGTATTATAAAGCTAAACGTTTCTAAATTTTTGAACTATGAAATTAATGGGTCTCACTGAGATTCAGACACAAATGGTTTCAACGTTAATCATTTTGTGTTCTATGCGAATCGATGAATCTTACCTTGTCAAGCTTCACTCCACATCTTGGAGGTTTCTGCGAAGAAATAATCTTGGCGAACTATTTCTCTTCTTGATGCATAATGGGTTAAGTATTTCATAGGATTTGTAAAGTGACCATCCATCACATCTATTGGAAAATCACCGACAGTTTTGTGAGTACATTGTTAAAAAACTGCACGGCTCGGTATTGTCTAGAAAAGGATCAACATTAAAGTATCTAGATCTTGAAGTTCGCTATCGAGGGAACGAGTAATCGATAATTTTAGGAAAATAGAGAGAAATTATTTCTTAAATGTGTTTTTTTTTTTGTTTAGACTAAGAAATCACTTGAAATGAGTTGAACGCCCTGTGGAGGAAAATAAGTGAAGTTGACTCCTCTCCTTGTGTGAAAAATATTAACCCGGAGTTCTCCCAAGGATTTCACTTTTATAGGTAAGCGGCACAACTTAGTATGTATCATTTCTAAAATATAAGCTTATATTGTTCGACAAATCGCCCATAAGTAGTCTTGGCTCTGTAATTAGATTAGTCTTGAGAGCCAAAGGCAGTGGCATTATTGATATGAGAAAAGATGTTCAAGCGCTAAGCATGTTCTTTTTTTTGTTGGTGCCTCCCATGACGATTTTATTGAAAGCCGTGCTCAACCTGGCTGCAAAGTAATATCGGTAATATTTCTTGGAGAATCGGTGATATCAATCGATGATAACGATAAGAACCACAATAATATTGCTAGGCACTTCTTGGACTTTTCATGAGATAAAGGGATTAATTAGATTATAAAACACCATGTGTTGGCATCTATTTTGAATTTTTTTAAAATGATCATCAGATTCAACAAAGACAAAATGTCGAAAAACTTGAATCCTATCACTAGTATTACTAGTGCATATAGTAGAAAACAGGTTGAAGACCACGAGATTGACTTGGCTGCTTTTGCTTCAAGAGCAATTTCGATTGGCGAGGTAGGTGCTAATTTAACAAGTGATCAAAAATTCTTTATTTTACAAAGATTGAATTATGATAATTTGATAAGCTTAGAAGATTTACCAGTTGCTGCAACGTTTATGATTGAGAAGATCGAAAATTTGGAAATTTCTGAAGCTCTCGAAATCTTAAGAGAAGTCATTGTAGAATTTGACGACGATTTTAATTTCCCAGAGGAGGATTTGAATTTAATTAAAAGATTAATCGCTTTAGCTCCTTCAAATGAAGGTAAAGATATCAAAACTAAGTTGGAATTCCAAATTGACTCGAAAAAGTCTGATCTGAAAACGCTGACCGATTCACAAGAAGATGTTGTAGAAAACTATAATAGTTCAGAAGAAAATGGTACGAACTTCTATGAGATTGTTGATTGGAATTTACAAGTTCGTTTGGAAGCTGCAATCAATGCTTACCATTCTCCGTATCCAGAAGTCAGATCAGTTACTGATCCATATGATGATCCAAGTACCCCTGCTGAAACATTGAGGGCGTATGTAATTGGAATAATTTGGTTGGCTATTGGTGCATTTATTAATCAATTTTTCTCTCAAAGACAACCTGGGATATCTTTGAGTACCTCTGTTGCACAAATATTTCTTTATCCAAGTGGTGAGTTATGGTATCGTATATTTCCTGATGTTACTGTTCCACTTGGTAAATTTTCCTTCAGATTGAATCCTGGACCTTGGACTTATAAAGAACAAATGTTTGCAACTGTAATCTTTTCAGTTGCAGCCGGTACTCAATATATCTCCTACAATGTATACACGCAAAAAATATACTACGGTAACGAGTGGGTAACTTGGGGATACCAAGTCTTGTTATCACTTTCTACTAACTTTTTAGGTTTTGGATTTGCTGGTATCTTAAGGAGATTTGCATGTTATCCTGTTAAAGCAATTTGGCCAGTTATTTTACCAACGATTGCATTGAATCGAGCATTACTTCACCCTGAGAGAAAAGAAAATATTAATGGATGGACTATTTCAAGATACTTTTTCTTTTTTAGCACATTTGGAGGATCGTTCCTTTACTTTTGGTTTCCTAACTATTTGTTTGGTGCATTGTCGTATTTTAATTGGATGACTTGGATTAAGCCTGACAATTTTAATCTTGCTATGATCACTGGGAGTATTAAGGGTCTTGGCTTAAACCCAATTCCAACCTTTGATCTTAACATGATATTCATGAACTCTCCTTTGGTTGTTCCTTGGTATACACAAGCAAATACTTACGCTAGAATGCTCCTTGCATTCCCAATTATTTGTGCAATTTTTTGGACAAATAGCAAGTGGGCAGGGTTCATGCCGATCAATTCCAACGCCCTTTTTGATAATAAGGGGAAAAGGTACCAAGTCAGCAAAATTTTGAACGATAAGGGGCTACTTGATAAGGAAAATTATGAGAAATATGGACCTCCATTTTATTCTGCCGCTAATTTAGTTGTTTATGGTACATTCTTTGCAATTTATCCATTCTCAGTATTCTATGAAGTAATAGTAAGATGGAAAGCACTTAAAGATAATTGTATCCAAGTCTATCGCACTATCAAAGACTTTAGAACACCTATTCTTGAAAAACTCAATGATCCTCATTGCAGAATGATGTCACGTTATAAAGAAGTCCCGGAATGGTGCTTCCTTGTTATATTAGTGATTTCAATTGTTTTAGCGATTTTATGTGTGGAATTGTATCCAACAGAAACACCTGTGTGGGCAATTTTCTTTGCAATTGGTATTAATTTTGTATTCTTAATTCCTTTAACATTACTTCAAAGTTCCACTGGTTGGGGTTTTGGTTTAAATGTCTTGGTTGAATTGATTATTGGATATGCTCTCCCAGGTAACTCTCAAGCCCTAATGATTATTAAAGCTTTTGGTTACAACATTGATGGACAAGCTCAGAACTATATTTCGGATCAAAAAATGGCTCATTATGCGAAGATCCCACCTCGTGCTCTTTTCCGTGGACAAATACTTGCAGTTTTCGTTGGTAGTTTCATCGGTTTGGCAGTTATGAATTGGCAAATTAGTAGCATGAAAGATATTTGCGATCCTAATAATAGACAGAAATTTACCTGCCCAGGTGCAACCACTTACTTTTCAGCTTCAGTTCTCTGGGGTACAATCGGTCCTAAAAAGGTTTTTGGAGGATTATATCCTGTTTTACAATATTGTTTCTTAATTGGTTTCTTGTTGGTTTTCCCAGCTCTTGCTTTCAAATGGTATGCTCCAAGAAAATGGTCTAGAAACTTTCAACCATCTATTTTTATGGGTGGGTTTTTAAACTACGCACCATATAACTTGTCTTATTACACAGGTAGTTTGTATCTTTCATTTGCATTCATGTACTATGTCAAAAAGAAGTACTTGACATGGTGGGAAAAATATAATTTCATTCTTTCAGGTGGTGTTGAGGCTGGTTTGGCTTTTAGTGGAATTATCATTTTCTTTGCTGTGCAATACCATGACAAGTCAATCTCTTGGTGGGGTAATAATGTCTCTTATGAAGGGATTGACGGAGGAAACCCTCCACAGTCTCGACTTTTTGCAGCAGAAGATGCACCTGATGGCTATTTTGGTCCCAGAATCGGCCACTTCCCATGAATTAACGGTTTAAATTACAATATTCAATGGAGTGGTCTTTAAGATGCTGCGAATTAAACTCAGAGTTCAGGAAGCTGTGAGGAATGGCGCATGACAGAATGGCTAAGGATTGCAACTATGTTACCTATCTCAATAAAATATTTTCCTTTGTATTAGCATTTGAGCCTCTCACAATGCATAGGTGTAGTTTCATTATGGGTGCAGACAAGCTGTGCGGCTCGATTCAGTTCATCTGCTTTTGAAGTAAAATTTGGGGTTAATAATTTTTCCCCATTGCGTTATCTTGGAAAATATTTCGACAGGTAAATAAGAATTGAAACATTTGATACCAAATAAGGTTATTAATACGAGTTAAACATGTGTCAATTTTGTTAAAATCTATTTATATGTTCATTCCTTGTGATGACGTACGGATCTTCAGTATTATAACAACAATATGCACCACCATAACGAACTTTATTCCATACGCATTTGACAGTAGAAATTTGGCGCTTTTGAAATGGGATACCATTATTCTCCTCCAAGAAAGTTGAAAATGACCGGTGTACTCAGCAAGATCTGGATCGTGAATTTGGTATATTCAGATCTATATTTAGAGAATGTTTGCTATCCAATCATTGCAATGCATATTTCGCTTAAATGTCTAATGAGCTGCAGCAGGTACTCAATTTCGATTTGAGAGTAGCACTTCATGCTGCAACTCTAGCTTTACCATTGAGATTTTTAAGTAGTCAATTTCAGTTATGATAACAAGTCATATGGAATTCTGCAGAGATCCTAATTTCAATAAAATCCACATTTTACCTCACACTTTCATTACCTATATTGGGAGGATGTGCTAGAAGCCGTGTTGCCTTGTGGCTGCAAAATGAATCAATTCTTGATGGTTCTAGGTCATAAAAACAATATTTGACGACTCAATGATAAGAACAACAAGTGAGGGATGCAAATCAATGGGGCCACAATTCTGATAAGGAGCCTATCCAAAAATGTATTTAAGGAAGATTTCCTTAACTATTTCTCGCTAATGTTTTCCAGTTGGTCTCAATCAATCAAAACTCTAAATTGAAACAATTAAGACTATGTCTGATCACTTGAATCCCATCACTAGTATTTCTAGTGCATATAGTCACAAGCAAGTTGAAGACCATGAGGTCGATTTAGCTGCCCTTAACTCTAGAGCAATATCAATTGGTGATGTAGGTACCTCTTTAACCAGTGACCAAAAGCTCTTCATCTTGCAAAGATTGAACTATGAAAAATTGACAAGTCTCGAAGATCTTCCTATTGGTGCAATATTTATGATTGAAAAGATCGAAAATTTGGAAATTACCGATGCTCTCGAAATCTTAAAGGAAGTGATTGTTGATTTTGATGATGATTTCAATTTCCCAGAGAGAGATTTAGATTTAATCAAAAGATTGATCGCCTTAACTCCCCTAAACGAAGAGAAGCCTACTAAGTCTAAACTTGAGCACCATTTCGATACGAAAGTTGAAGAAAAGAAATTCCTCACGAGTGCACAGGAAATCTATGTTGAGGATGAGAACATCTTAAATGGGGATGTTCACAAGGCACATGAAATTGTCGATTGGCACTTACAGGTTCGTTTAGAAGCGGCGATTAATGCTTATCATTCTCCATATCCAGAAGTTAGATCGGTGACAGATCCATATGACGATGAATCTATTCCTTGTGAAACTTTTAGAGCCTACGTAATTGGAATTATTTGGCTAGGAATCGGTTCCTTTATCAATCAATATTTCGCCGAAAGACAACCTGGTATAGGCTTGGGTGGGTCTGTTGCTCAGCTTTTCATGTATCCAAGTGGTGAGTTATGGTATCGTATTTTTCCCAATATTACTATTCCACTTGGTAAATACTCATTTGGATTGAATCCTGGACCATGGACATATAAAGAACAAATGTTTGCAACTGTGATTTTTTCAGTCGCTGCTGGTGGACAATATATTTCAAGTAATATTTATACTCAGAAGATGGAAATGTTTTACGGAAATCAGTGGGTAACTTGGGGTTATCAAGTCTTATTATCACTTTCTACGAACTTTTTAGGTTTTGGATTTGCCGGTGTGTTAAGAAGATTCGCATGTTATCCTGTTAAAGCGATCTGGCCAACCTTACTACCAACACTTGCTTTAAATCGAGCTTTATTGAGTCCTGAAAGAAAAGAAAATATCAATGGGTGGACCATATCGAGATACTACTTCTTTTTCAGCACATTTGGAGGATCGTTCCTTTACTTTTGGTTCCCTAACTATTTGTTTGGTGCATTATCATATTTTAATTGGATGACTTGGATTAAACCTGATAATTTTAATCTTGCAATGATTACAGGGAGTATCAAAGGTCTCGGATTGAATCCAATTCCAAGCTTTGATCTTAACATCGTTCTTGGAAGTGCATTGGTTGTTCCATGGTATAATCAGATTAACTCATACACTGGAATGTTGATTTCAATGCCAATCATCTGCGCCATATACTGGACAAATAGTAAATGGACTGGATACCTCCCAATCAATTCTAATGGTTTATTTGATAACACTGGAAGGCCATATTCTGTCAGAAAAATTTTAGACAAAAAAGGTATATTTGATCAGCAAAAGTATGATCAGTACGGACCTCCATTTTATTCTGCCGCTAATTTAGTGGTTTATGGTACATTCTTTGCAATTTACCCATTTTCTGTATTTTATGAATCAATAATTAGGTGGAGGGAAATCAAAAATTCTTTTATCAAGGCATATGACACTATTAAGGATTATAGAAAACCTATTCTAGAGACCATGAATGATCCACACTGCAGAATGATGTCACGTTATAAAGAAGTCCCAGAGTGGTGCTTCCTGATTATATTAGTGATCTCAATAGTTTTAGCGATTTTATGTGTGGAATTGTATCCAACAGAAACGCCTGTCTGGGCAATTTTCTTTGCAGTCGCTATCAATTTTGTGTTCTTGATTCCATTAACTTTACTTGCTAGTTCCACAGGATACAGTTTTGGTTTAAATGTCTTGGTCGAATTGATTATTGGATATGCTCTCCCAGGTAACTCTCAAGCTTTAATGATTATCAAGGCATTTGGTTACAACATTGATGGACAAGCTCAAAATTATATCTCAGATCAAAAAATGGCTCACTACGCAAAGGTCCCGCCTCGTGCTCTCTTTAGAGGTCAAATAATTGCAGTATTTATAGGAAGTTTTATTAGTTTGGCAGTTGTCAATTGGCAGATTGATAGCATGAAAGATCTTTGTGATCCTACCAATAGACAAAAATTTACATGTCCTGGTACAAGGACATTTTTCTCTGCATCAGTGATTTGGGGTACTATCGGTCCTAAAAGAGTTTTTGGAGGATTATATCCTGTTTTACAGTATTGTTTCTTAATTGGGTTCTTATTGGTTTTCCCAGCTCTTGCTTTCAAATGGTATGCTCCAAGAAAATGGTCTAGAAACTTTCAACCATCCATTTTTATCGGTGGATTTATGGGTTTCGCTCCGTATAACTTGAGTTACTCCACAGGCGGTTTGTATTTATCTTATTTATTCATGGTTTACATTAAAAAGAGGTACTTGACATGGTGGGAAAAGTATAATTTCATTCTTTCAAGTGGTCTTGAGGCTGGTATGGCTTTTAGTGGAATTATCATATTCTTTGCTGTGCAGTATCATGATAAGTCAATCTCTTGGTGGGGCAATAATGTCTCTTATGAAGGGATTGACGGAGGAAACCCTCCACAGTCTCGACTTTTTGCAGCAGAAGATGCACCCGATGGCTATTTTGGTCCCAGAATCGGTCACTTTCCATAATCAAATTCAGTGGAAGCTTTTATATTTAACTAGTGTTTAATAAATTTTGTGTCCAAGTATGCAGATGCTGAAATTTTACATATGAACACTCTCTACACATTTGTCAAATAACATAAAATTCATCTTAAAAATATTGCCATTGCCAGTGAAATAGAATTCACATGATGAATTAGTTATCTTGGACTACTTTCTATGTTTTTTGGACCTGAATTTGTGAATCTTTATGTGAAATAGCGTTGGAGTGTCTGCGTGCACATTTGTTGTAAAGTTCCTCTTTTAACTTCTGGCATGAGCGCATATAGATTTTAGCTAATATGGGAAAATGAAGTCTTCTGGATCGTGACATGTGCCAAATTAACTCAGTAGACTTATAAAAAAGTTGAGGGTTTTTAGACATCATGCTAGTCGATAAGCCAAACTTTACAATTCACCCTTCCAATTTAGATCATCTACAGAAATGCAACTATCTGACTAAAGTCAAAACATATTGCACCAACATTATAAACAATATTGACATATTCGCATGCAACTAAAAAAAAAGACATATGTTATCTGCTATCCTGTATGTAAAAATGGCTGCAAACTCAATTTTTATGCAAGATTATGCAATGTAAGCCATGCTGATGCATGTTGAGCCCAAAGCATTATCTTGGTGTATATCTACTTAGAGATTTTTACATTATAGTATGATCGGTGAGAATTCCTCTACTTCTTGAAAGTTTAGCTTGTCTAGGACTGCTATCCAGAGCTCCTCTATCCTAAATGTTCTAAGCCTCATTAAATGAGGCTCAATTCATTCTCAAACTCTTGCAATTTCACTGTAAAGATATTCAAAAGTGGTGCCGTACAGTTTCAAATTGAGCAGCAAGAGGGTAAAGTATAATTCGTGGCTCTGCTTATTTGCTGTTTCATATAGAAGTACATATGAATCAGTATTGTTTTCAAAATTTTAAACTCTTAATACGAACAGAGTAGGTTGCCTTAAGAATAATGTGGCTGTAAACTGTGGAAATTCAAGTTTCAGTTATAAATATTTATCTTAAGCGTCAAAATGTAAACATTGCTAAAATAAGTTGTACATCTATATAACTAAGAAGTTTCTGTCATGTAATTATACCTAGTCGGCGATGATCGCTAACGAAGCGTTAAAATGAGAAAGACAGTATTTATCTTCATATCGTGCATTCTGTGTTTCAAGCTAGTTAACTCCTCTGGCTTAAACAACTTGAATAGTGAATCATCTTTGGAGATTATCGAAATTCAATCGAGAAGTCTAGAGTCAGAAGAAAACGAAATTGAAAATAATCCATCAATTGGATATGATTTGGAAATTTTAAATCCACTGCTGAATCTTCCAACCCCTACAATTTCATATGTCAATTCATCTTCCACCACATCCTCATCACCTGTGATTTCTGCAACGTCTTCATTACCAATTACCACTAGTGAAACAATTCAAGTTGGCTATCCTTATATTCCAGGAATTTACTATGGAGATACACCTCTAGTTACAGAGTTATTGCTCAATCACACATTTGAAAATAGTTATGGTGTTCCATTTACTTTCACCTACAAGCCACCAGCTGGATTAGAATTTAATCGAGTAATTCTAACTTTAAATAATCTGATTACAAATTATCAATACGATAGATTGGCTCATTTAAGCTTCAATGGTGCGGAAATCTGGAGGTCTTCTACAATAGAACCTTACGGCAGTAAAACGGTTGTCAAATCTTCTTATAATAAAGATGTTTCAATTTATTTGAAGCTTTTCCAAGAAGAATCTTTTGTGAGGTTTGATCTTGGGAATATAATATCATCCAGGTTGCAGGGAGCTCCAAATATTCAAGTATATATCAGTTATTACAATGTTGATTTGGAAGATGCAAATGACATTCCAATAAATGTTGGAGGAGATCTGATCGATATAGCTGGTCGACCAAGTATTTTCTCAACTGCAAAGCATGCATCAAGAGTGTATCCATTAACAAATATAACAAGTGATTCAGAGTCTGATGTTCCTCTTCCCGAAAATTCAATTCATGTTAAATTGCCAACGGATATTCCTCGCAATACTACTAGATTAATTCTTTCCATTTTTGCTTCTGGGAATTCTAACGAAGAATTTTGGTATTCAAATACATTTCAGGAATACACAAACATATTTCAAGATGACGGGGTTAAATTATATGGATATGGGCCTGGGAGGTTAGTCGAGGTCTATTACAACTCCCAAAAAGTTGCCACACAGTCTCCACAACCATTTATCTTCACTGGGGGGTTCTCACCTGATCTTTGGATTCCAATAGTAGCAAATGATGCATTTGATCTACCAAGTATAGATATAGATTTAACCGCGTTATTACCAGAAGTCTGGGGTGACAGTGGTTACATCGATATTTTGGTTACCAACGGCACTTCTGAGAGTTCTTCATCAATTGGATCAAATTGGTTGGTCTCAGCCAACCTTCTAACATTTGAGGATGAAAGTGTATATTTTGGAAACGGATCTGTACTTGCAATCACCAATACCAGCGTTGTTGATACGAGAGCAGAAGCAGCAACCCCGGGAGCATTGGATCAATCATTTTTTGGAGTATATCAAGCTTCTATCAGTAGTGAGATTACATTTGAATTAAAAAATGGCTCAATAATTCAAAGCATTATCCAGCTGGATACATATGCATCTATATCGAATATTCAAGCTTTGAGGAATTACTCTTCAACTCAAAGTATCGACCATTTGGGGAATTCTCTGCGAAGTGTAATTATTACTACATTTGATGATGTTGTTCTATTCGAACACAACTCAACTTACGGATACCCATTACAGATCTCATATTCAAGCTTTAACGACTCCAATTCAAATGGATGGTCGGCCATATCTAATGTGAATGTAAATATAACTAAACTCATCGGAATATTCATTGATGGATCTCTTGCTTATGATAGTCAGCTTTTGGAAGTTTCAAGTTCATTATTCGAGCAAACAGCGAAGGAAGGAAACCACGGGAATGGAAGCTCCACCGCTCACTACTCAGTTCAACAATATGATCCATTTACCCCATTTTCATACAATAGAAATGTTCAATCTACAGATAACAAATTGACAGGCGACACAAGTAATGGAGGACTCAATTAGTACAATATTCATTAATCTTAAGCTATTTAATTATTGCAATCTCGGCAAAGAAAAAACTAAATGCACGTAGTTAACAATTTCTTTCTATGGTCTAGTGTAATACGGTGTAATACGCTTTGAACTTTAGTAGCTCCTTCTAGTCAATGCATCATTCTTATTTTTTTTATTTTGTTATGCACCTCCTATACCTGCAATAAATGCCAATGACCAAGTTCTTGACATTCCATTATCAATTTGACTCTCATTCCAGTCATTCCGAGAAAACCATTTCCATGCTTTCTTTGGGTCAGTGAGTGCTAAATTTAGCAATAATATTCCTTTCCAGCCGTCAGGAATTCTATCAATTATAGGTGCCAATATTTGATCCCATTCCTCTTTTACAAACTTGGGACCTCTTATATATGATGAAATTGGCGTTATTGGTAACATATGAATTCCATGAATCCATTCGTTTCCTATTGTACCTCTACCAAAATATGTGGAATAATCTATTTTATTTTCGAATGAGATTCCTGCAACTTTATTCTTGATAAATTGAGGTGGTTGAATCTTATTATCATCAGAATATAGCATGTACATATTCATCGATCTTTTCATTATTGCGAGCATAAGATTTGCTCTATTCTCCATATCTACATTGCCAGTAACATTACCAAAGAGCTTCATACCATAAGCAAAATGGTAATCTTCTGAAGATGATTCCTCGTCCTTTCCATCACCCAGTGCAAATATTCCATGAGCAAATGAATGGCCATGAAACCAATCAAATGAACGGGATTGAGGAAACCACTTATCTGACTCAGAAGATGGATTGGCTACATCCCTTAATAACTCAGTCGCATAAGCTTTGGCACGAGCACCTTCATCACTTTGGAAGTACGTTGGATCAGATTTGGCTACTAAGGCAATTGCATGAATATGGTAACCATAATGAAAATGGTGATCATTATAATTCGAGTTTCCAAAATCTGCTCCTGGGTCGGCAGAGGAGATCAATCCCTTCCAAGTGGTATCGTACACGAGAGGATATTTTTGTCTATTTGTAGCAAATATATCAATTGCTTGTTTTAGTTTTGGGAGTAATTCTGCTGTCAAAGCTTGATTCCGTATTATGTTGGAACAGACAAACAAAATATGAGCAAATTTATCCAAGATCTTTCCTGAAGTGTACATTGAGTCTATGTTAGCCATACCAACTACATCCTGCTTCACTTCAGCTTCAGCTGCTCTAGTGATTAAATCTAAACTGGAGTTGGAATACGAAGATGGTGTTGAGCATCCAGATATTTCTGACCAAGGTTCCCAACTAATTTGAATAGGTAGGTTATTTTCTTCCATAACTAGTTCGTTTGTCACGTATGCTTTCATTACACCTTTTGTTGGAGAATCCAATTTTAATCCAGTCTGCTTACACAGGCTCACCAAGACTTCTTGGTGGTGAGGCAAGCACCACACCAACGTTTTTCCACTTTGAGATTGCCCCTTAAGATTATATAAAAACTTATACTGACCTCTCGAGCCATCTACTGAGCCACTAAGGTTGCAGGAAATGGGGTAACACCCGGCAGTTTCATCATAGAAGTTAGATTCACCTCTACAAATTTGGATAGTACAAGAGCCATTGACTCTATCGCTAACTATATGTTGCGGATCTCTTAAACTTAAATCAGCATTTCCATTAGCGCCACTTACATAGATAGTCCAAACCACCTGATTGAAAAGCATAGCTCTGTACTTCCCATTTCCCACTTTTCTAAAATCTTGAATACCTACCTGAGAACCGATAACTGGGACCTTACCTTGTTCGTATATGGCAGTTACAAACCCCATACCATGAACCAAGGGGAAGGTCATTCCATTCCACTTGGCAATTACAGATAATTTGTTGTGATTTTCAAGTTGAACTTCTTCTCGTGCATTAATATCAGCGGTTGCAAAATACCATGATTTAATTCTTGGTGGATTGAAGTAGAATTGGGCAGGATTAGAATTTGGATCGGGACCGAAAACCCTCTGATTGGCCTCAGTGTGATTGAAGGAAAATCCAATGTCACCTTGACTTGGATCTTTCAGGAACCAAAGAGAATAAGGTAATGTCCAAATTGGAAACGATTGGTCTTCTAAGCATAAATTATTGTAAAAGTTATTAGTTTGAATTGACTCATTCCCTTCAGAGCAGCCTTTTGGTTTCAAATTGTGCTGACGCCTGGGAAATAACGGAAGCGGTTCAGAGCTTGAAATTGGCTTTGAAAAGATATCACTTGAAGATAGTGGGCTGCCACTGTTAGCTGATACCTGGGGAAGTGGAGCTGGAGCTCGATTGTAGCTACCAGAATTTGAAGAGGAAGTAGGTGAAGAAGAGTGTCCAGAAGAGGTCTTATTGTTAAGTTTATTGTCTATTTTTTTCAAGACCTTCTGAAAGTCGGAAAGCCCCATTGCCAATTGATAATAAACTGTAAGTGAATAGCTACGAGAGATTAGAACAAGTAGATACAAGTGAAGCAAGGTTAGCATAATTGTACAGCCCACATACTTGAGAACTGTATACAGGATTATTTTTCAACAGAGAAACCTACTTTAGAATGGTGACGGTTACTAGCTGCATTGATATAAAACCATTCACGATCATATCCACAAAGGGTGAATTGTACGTTGAGAGGATAACTTCTACGAAGCAAATAATAACCGATGAAAAGTTACAAAGGATACTCTGCATAACTTCTAGCACGGAAACTAGTGAAATTTAATGTGCAATGATATTTTTAAAATTCCGCTCTCCTCTTAGCGCAATACCCAAAAGAGAAGAAGAATTCCGTGCCAGATACAGAAGCTCAGTTGTATATAAGGGTACCTATGGGGTATAGATTCCCCTTAGTTGAAATACAATACCTTCAATTCTCTCTTTATACTATACTATTCACTTTGTTAGTTTCATTTGATGCTCATGAAGTTTTTACCCTTGTTAGTAGCTGGAGTCGCATGCGCTCGTCTTCATTCGAATCCCAGTAGTCCTAACCTTATCTACTCAGACATGAAAGCCGAAAGTGACGAGAATCTGGAACCAACGCTAGAAGAAATGTGGGGTGGGTACTGGCCATTTCAAGGAATCAATACCTTTGCACATTTGGAGGATCACAAATGTTTAATTGACAAAGATACAAACTATGATTTGGCAGTTATTGGAGTCCCATTTGATACAGCTACATCTTATAGGCCTGGGGCCAGATTTGGACCTCGTGCGATAAGAGCTGCATCTCAAAGACAGACTTCATTAAGAGGGTATAACCAGCGCGCAGGCATAAATCCTTATACTTCTTGGGCAAAAGTCATTGATTGTGGTGATATTCCAGTTACTCCGATGGACAATGCCTTAGCATTCAAGCAAATGTCTAAGGCATTTGAAGAGCTTTTACATAGAAGAAATGGTACTAGTAGTGGTAAGGCAGCGAACGATATTATTACTCCCCCAAGGTATGTTGCTCTTGGTGGTGACCATTCAGTCTTATTGCCCCATATTCGTGCTTTGCATAAAATTTATGGTAAATTGAATATACTTCATTTCGATGCTCATTTAGATACCTGGGCTCCAGATAAATATCCTTCATTCTGGCATTCGGACCAGCTGGAATTGAACCATGGTTCCATGCTTTGGAAGGCACATGAAGAGGGCCTCACCACCACCCATAATGTCCATGCAGGTTTAAGAACCAAACTCTCTGGCTTGGAGGACTATGAAGATGATGATAATCAGTCATTTACTAGAATTATGGCTGATGACATCTGGATAGATGGGGTGAAATCAGTGATCGATAAGATTTTGAAAGTAATTCCAGCCAACACGCCAACATACTTGTCTATCGATATAGATGTCTTGGATCCTGCGTTCGGGTCTGGGACAGGTACGCAAGAGCCTGGTGGATGGTTGCCTAGAGAATTATTGCATGTTTTGAGATCAATAGATAGTTTAAGTATCGTCGGCGCTGATATAGTTGAAGTATCACCAGCTTTCGATAATGCTGAGATCACTGCCACTAATGGTGCACAAGTTGCGTTTGAAATCTTAACCAGCATGGTTAAAAAGGGTCCCTTGGGTGAATTGGTAGTTGATAGATTGCCAAAGCCTGTAGTTGAAATCTTTCATGCTGATGCTGATAAGACGGAAATTGATTTTGCAATTGAAGAAAAGTTGAAAGAATTGCAAATCATGAAGGAAAAGGTAATGAAAGAGATTGAGAGTATGAGGAATCAAGTGTAATTTTAGTCGAGAAGCTGGATACATAGATAGATAGTTTAGATGAATCAAGAATAAGCTTCAGTTAGCGCTTCCGTAGATTTAAATTTTGCAGCCCACATTCGAATCAACCAAGATCAAGATTCAATCAACTTTCTAATCTCAATGCTCTATACATAGTCTCTCTATCAGAAACTCCGGTGCACTACGTAGAAAAGGAAGGTGGCTCATTGTCATGTACATTATTTTTTTTCTGAGCAGTTCTATTATGTTGCATTATTAGCTCACCCCAAGGTACATTCGAACTAACTAGTCTCGAAAGATGCAGTTTCGCAGCAAGTTCAATTCTTGGTGCATTGAACACCCTCTTCAAGGATGTGGTAGATATACTCCCCCGTTGCAAAAAAAAATATATCAACACTTTTTTCAGCAACACACTCACACTTTAAAAGAAAGAAGCTATCCGTTCCTACATGCTATGTTCATTATTTTTTTTAGATAATGTTTATTCTGGTATTATAAAAAAACTTGGGACACATTCATTACAAATGTGGAATTAAACAATTTAATTAACTTTAAAACTCTTATACTCTACTCTACTATCACATTTTATTATTATTAGCATCCATCGCATCGGAGTAACTCCTCAGCTGGACCATTGACATGAACAGAAAGAGAATTTTTTAAAGGGTTAAGTGTGGTGTGAACAAAAAAAAAGGTAGATAGAAAAACAATCAATCAAACGTAATCAACATCTTGTTCTGACACACTTAAAGTAATAAAACGGCAGCAACGGCAACAGCTCCACCGATAACACCTGCTGGGGCAATGTATCCAGCACCAGCAGCTGATGAAGAAGTAGAGTTACCTGATGAGTTTGAGGCAGCCTTTAAAACGGATTCTTTACCTTCGCCAACTTGAATGTAAACAGTTGAAGTAACTTCAGCAGCGGTCTTGTCAAATTTACCGAATCTGTGAGTACCGGTTTCAGATGAAGATGAAGCTGGTTTGGTCTTGTCGAATCTACCGAACTTGTGAGTGTTGCTAGCAGCGGTACCAGTAACAGTAACGGTAGTGGTATCAGCAGGAGCTTTTTTAGCTGAGGCTACAGCAGCTACAGTCAATCCAAGAACAACAGCAGATAACTTCATTATTATTGTAATTTATTGATATTGATGAAAGAAAGTAAGAAAGAAAGAAGTAACTAATCTGAACTTTCTCTTTTCTTCTTATTATTTATTATTATTTTAATTAGCACAATCCAGCAGGCTAAAAAAAAAAAGAAATTGAGTTTCGCCCAATAAGAACCGGTTTTGAGGGAATTTCCCTAGGATTTTGTGGAACCGGGCTAAATTATGCCGACCAAAAAGGGATGAACAAAAAACACTGATTATGTCATCAGATAGCAATTTGTTGACAAATATTATGTAAGCGTTTGTTTCTATGTGTTTTATTCCTGTACATAAACAGAAAATGTGCTTCCGACGTTCAATTTTTCAGGAAAGTATGTACCCCATGCAGGTGCTTAAATGGATTAGGATACAGTGGATACTAAAACGGACAAACTTGAATGAAAAATACTTCTTGCCGGACATCGCGGGAGAATTGGTGGGATGGCAGGATAAGATAAAGATATGCTTCGAGGCATACAGAGAAGATGAGAAGAAAAAAATCATTCAATTCTACAGCCAATTCTTACCAAAAGAAATTGTGAATCATGAAGCTATCTATGAGCTTGTTGTAGCATCGCTTGTCTACTATTTGACTTTAAGAGGTTGGAAACAGCAGCTTTATTGCTCACTTCCAGCATGGATTGTTCGGAAATAGACGGATAATTTATGTATACGGTAGGTACGTGAACGTCAATTTTTTTTTTTTGCCGATGTATGCGAATTCTGCAGCCTCAGCTTTAGCTATAGCCAGAGCGAGATATTATTGCCGCAATTATACAGTCTTTTCACTGCTGACTACTTGGTGTATGGCCGATATTGAATAGAGGTAATAGCTACTGGTGTAGGAGGTCATAAGGGCTTTGGTCTGTGTCCTCGTAGTAGAGATTAATGTTAAGCTCGCTTTTGCTTCACTCTTTCACACACGCTTTAAATTTTTCACCTTTTGTCTTTCTCTTACAATTTCCTTGACTCTACTTTCATGCAAGTAAATTCTTTCGGGTTTTACGCATATCGGCTCTTCTCACGTCAAATTGATGCTTACTTAATGCGGTTGCAATTCATTTCCAGTTCCAATCTTCAGAGATAATGTATATTAAAAAATGTAAAACTATATAATGTAGAGATGCAGAGTTTGTGGAACCTTTCGGCCCACAATTACGGTCTAAAAGACCATAAATATGATATAATAAATGAGAGATGAGATTCGTTAAAGCGTTCTAGTTCATTGACCTGTGATCAAACTAGCGACGTAAATTAGAGTATTTGGTACCAAATAAATAGAAGATGGAGAGTAGTATAGCAAATTAGAGTTGTGATCTTGGATTTTTTTGTCTTTTTCTTTCTTTTTTTTTTTCTTTTTTTTTTTTTTTCTTTCAGTAGGTCAATCAGAACCTGAAGTTTTGCTGTTGATCTTGTTCAACACCAAATCCAAAGGCGTCACCATAGGTTTGAGGAGCTAATCCTTGATCATCGAAATCTTCTTCTTCTTCTGAAAAGTACTTTGAAATGATATTGAATGCTTTTTCGTAAATCTTTTCATTTTCATTGTTTTGACATTCACTAATCTTTTCCATACCACCAGCTTCTTCAATGTAAAGAGAATTTTCATTAACTCCAGAACCCTTTGATTCTTTATCTAATTCACCCATCTTTAAGATGTTTTCTAAAGCATCTAAGGTGACTTCAATAATTTTGGTATCAGCGATAGATAACAAATCACACAATGGTTTAATACAACCTTGTTGTACCAAATAGCGAATTTGTTCTGGTTTCGTTAAGGCACCTGACAGAGCATTGGAAATTGCCCAACAAGCTTCCTTCTTGGTTTTGTAATCTCCACTAATTAATAATCTAATGATTTGAGGGATTAAGTTGGCATCAATGACAGCCTGGATTTGATCGGTATTACCAGCTGTAATATTAGAAATAGTCCAACATGCTTCTTTACGAATAGTTTCTTTGCTGGAATTCAATAATGGTGATAAAGCTGGGAGAACACCTGCATTGACAACAGTTTGAGTCTGAAGATCGTTACCAGTAACAATGTTACCAATGGCTCTAAGAGCTGGTGTTTGAATTAAAGTCAGTTCATGACCCAATAATTCCACTAATCTTCTTGGAATTCTTGCGTCAACAACTGCTTGAATAGCTTCGGTGGTACCATCAGAAAGATAACTGATTGCCCAACAAGCATCAACTAAAGTTTCCGCATCAAGCAGATAAATCAATTTGGCCAAAGTTGGAATTGCTTGCTGAACAAGGGACCAATCAGGTTGTGGGTTCTTTCCTCTACATAAGTTACTCAAGGTCCAAGTAGCAGTACGGATGAGTGACAATCTGGTTGAATTGAAAAGTGATAAAGCTGGTTCCATTGCTCCGCAGCTCAATACAAAGTCACGATACTCACTAGAATCACCAGCTACATTACCCAAGGCCCAAATGGCTTGTTCCTTAACTTCTAATGATTGGCTGTATAATAATTGAACAAATAATGGAATTGCACCAGAATCTACGACAACTCTTGTTTGGTCAGAATTACCACTAGCAATATTAGTTAAAGCCCAGGCAGCTTCCAATTGTAAAATATCACTGTGACTGGCATCCATGAACTCAACTAACGTTGGAATTACTCCACTTTGAATCACTAAGTTAATAGGTGGGTTATGTTCGCGTGATAAGATTTGTCTAAACTTGACAGTGGCAGCTAATTGTGAATCAAAGTCATTTGCCTGAATCATTTCCATCATACGCGGTAACTCTTGTTGAAGGTCGTTGTAAAACTGGTTTTCGTCAGCAGCTCCACCACCATTCGCATCACCATTCAAATTGGATGATGATGATAATCCTGCACCCAAACCAGCCCCTGAGCCAAGTTGATCGTCCTCATCTTCAGAGTCATTACCTCCACTAGGTGCTGTGAAATTTCTTCTCTTAGATAAGACTTCTTCCCTTTTTTGTTTTCTTAAATCAACCTGATGGTTGTCTCTTCTTCTTCTTAATTCCTCACTCTGGAAACGCTGTTTATTCTTGAAAGTTGTACGACGGTAGTCAGGCACAAATCTAGATGTGGCATCGGAGTCCATGATTCAATAGAAAAACTGATAAAGCAAAGGGTATTAATGCTAAAAGATTATATCAGTCCAGTAGCTTTGGTATAAATATACGTGTATATATAGTTATATTAAGGTATACCAGTATTATTTGTAATAAAAATGATTACTCTTATGTGTTTTTGTTGGATGATTTTGTTATTTTTTGATTTTGGCGTCAAAAAAAGAAAAATTCAAATTTTTCTCTTCACACGAAAATGTAGGTTTGCCCTTGGTCACGTGCAGATATGAGGAGTAAATGTCTTCTTTAAGTATAGGATCTTTCAAACTGAATATTCCTATTATGTTATTGGAGAGGGTATACTCAGTCTAGTCTAAAGGTATAAATAATGGTTGGCAATTATTTTTTCCATGGAGTCCCAGTATGGGAAATATTATGATACCTTCCTACTTTTGGATAGCAAGCAAATTGAGATCAATGCTACCAATCTTTGCACGTGACAAACTGGACAAATGGTTCTATATAGAAGTCCATAGTGTAAATATTATCACCATAGGAAAGAAACCATAGACGCTAGTCTATTCTCAGATCATTCAGTTAGCTCAGCTTACTTAGCTTACTCAGTTTACTCAGTTTCCTCGGTTTTCTCAGTCTGATCTATTGAATCTAATTTAATTAACAGATATGTTTCAACCAAGAGAAAAACTTCATATGTGGGTGTACCGATGTGCTGCTGTTAGCGACTGGCTTTATAGGGCCCAAACGATAGAATTCTACTCTGCAAACAAGTGATAACTATAAGTAGACGATTTCTATGTGTATATGTGCATTGTCTGTTAATCACTTGAATCAAGAAAAATTAAAGTTGCTGTCTGGTTCTTCCTCATTTAATTACGGAATTGACATATCACAACTACAAATATACATAAATGCAATCATAGTGCTACAAATGAGTTATTCCATTCAACAGCTTAAAGATTTAATATTCAGCCAGAAGGAAAGAGTTTACACTCACCCCGGAAACATCCTTACATTCCTACATCATTCTTTATCCCTTTGATGGGTCCGTAGTATCTCCATGTATATCTTAACCACCTTTGCACCCAGATAATCATAAACGTACTGCACATAACACAAACCATCCTAGCCTCTTTCTTTTCAAGCTAGTTTTTTTTCCACTCTCCACAGCTTTTCATTGGAGATCAACACCACTACCTGTACGCTATACACATATCAAATGACATTAGTACGATCATTTAAGCATAACAGTCCGATCCTTGTTTCTAGGCTTGCATCAAATTCGATCAATATTTCCAGGGAATGTGTGCTCGCTTACAGCTGCTTTAATCGTAAACTTCATAGCTCCAAAGTCCAACATCGAAAACCTCAAAGAACTGGGTACAACTCAAGTGACTCTACTATTTATACTGATGATATCTTAACTGATAATAACCCATGGTCCCCGACCTTATACGAGGACTCCGTATTATATAGAAAACCCAGATCAATCCGGTCTATTGAATTACCATCAAATTATAGATTATCATATCAGCCCTTGTATGAAAGTCCCACTGGTAAGTATGTTGGTATAATGAAGAGGCTCACAATTAGTTTTGCAGTTTTAGGAGCCTACGGTGCGAAATTATTTTTCGATTCACCCAACTTTGATGATATTTATGCGGGTATAGTGCTAGCCACATGTGTGACGCCTGCTTTGGTTGTTCAATATAAGACAAGGGACTACGTGAGTAGAATATTCAGATTGTATGACAAGGACAAGCCCCAAACCTTGGAAAATTTATTGGCCGATGAAAAATTGATTGTTGAGAAATTGACATGGTCTGGTGGTAAGACTTATAACCTGCTATTGAAGATTACAGGAAATAATTCCTTGCAGCTCGTTCCTGAGCCCAAAGATAAATTATCCGCTGCGCTAGCTCCCTACGCCAGCTGGAAGGATGTTGACGAGGAAACAAAGATTCCTCGAGTATTCTACGTTGCAGATGATGTCGGAGGTTTAAAGATGGATAGAATATGGGGGATTGTCGAACACAACAGTGGTGTTGACAACGGAAGATACATGGAAGAGGAAGACAAAAGACCACACTAGTCGCTTAGAGTTTCTTCAAGCCTTAGTGTATTTTTGTGTGAACCAGAAGCATTACCATTTGCACATATTTTTCACCCATCCTTTTTTTTTTTTTCTTTCTTTCTTTTTATTTTTCCAAGAAGCTTCCTTTCCTTTCCAAAATAGTTAGCTGATCCCTTGCTGTACTCCCCTCTGTATATAGTTAGTATATGCAAATAAAATAATTAATAAGTAACTAGTTTAGGTTTTGTATGAAACATAAACCGCATCTGTACATACAGAAATCTAATTTTAGCGCCGCACACTATATGCTAAGAAAAATGCACAGAAAAATATTGAACGAATTTGATCAATTAGTGTACACTCCTTCATTTTCGACTTCGGTGCTGGTGCTCATTTCGATTTTCTTTAGCTTTTTTTCCTAACCACAGGTGACTGGAGGCTATATATAATAACTGCTATTTGACGCTGACATTGTCCCGGTTGTGATTTTGGTTTTCCATATTGTACTAGCATAGAAAATATAGAGTTTGGAAATCTCCAAAGATACGTCATATTTTAAAGACCTGTGGACTGCATATATAACTAACATCTTGATCTATCGATGTCGTTCTTTGGCCCACCGAAGGGTCACGGAGGGTTCCACAATCCTCAAAACAAGATGTTTGGAGTAGTCAAACCACATTCGGCGGGTACTACTGGAGCAGCTGGCACTGCATCAAAAAGTTCAAAAGTAGGAAAATCTGAAACAACTCAACCTGAAACAAGTGAGGGACCTAGTGGCGAAGCTAAAGTTGAAGGGGATGATAAGGAAAAGGGTTCAGAAGAGGAAGTAAAACCAGAACCAGAACCAGAAACGGAAACTGAGATAAACACTAGGCTAAATGCGCTATTATATCACACAAGTGACGATACCATTGATCTCTATAGACAGCAGAACAATTCCTCTGATTTGCTCGGAAGGTTATACTATGACGATTATGATAGCGATTCAGTCGCCAGTGATGGAGGAAGTGCACAAATATCTCCTGTTAATTCTGCACAAGGAAGCTTGGCAGAATATTTTACTGGTGCAAGGTTCAACACTGCAAGTATCAGTGAGTTAATCGCAGCAGGAGATTCAGAATCTCCTTCATTAACTCCCGTGGTATCGCCTGCATTTTTATCGCCACACGCTGCACCAGCACCAGGAACCCCAAATCATGCGTTGAAGCTGAATTCTGGCGAATCGACACCCTCGTTTGGTATTGGATCTCGATCTCCATCTGCATCCCGTATACGCCCAGCAGTGCAGCGACTTGCTTCATTTGAACGAGGAGTTTCCTTTGATAGTCTGAATGACGATCACCGTAGATCTCTCACGTTCAAGGTGAAACACCCACACTTTAAATTCCGTAGAAACAATAAGACCTATTTAACAGGATATAATGGAGACCTAGAATCCATTAAATCAATTGAATGGCTCTTCGATGAGATGGTGGTAAATGGTGACACTATAATTGTGCTACAGGTATTGGATGAAAAGTCCTATACGTCCATAGACAAACGTAGAGCCAATGAATCTCTTAGGAGGATCGAGCTTCTCAATAAACATGTCAAAAAGGTGTCATTGGTATTTGAGGTGGTGGTGGGTAAACCTTTAAAGTTACTTCAATCCGCTATTGATGAGTATAATCCTCAAATGATGTCCATTGGTACGCATAATTATGAAGATAAAGAGGGGAAGTTGCATGAACATCACTCGCATAAGTCCTTTTTGTCCAAATCATCAATGTCCAAACACTTTTTAGAATGTGCACTTGTGCCAGTTATCGTGGTTAAACCATTCTATGAGCACGTAGAATTGTTGAGAAAGCCAGTTGATTCTGAAAACTATTTTGCCAACTGGATTGCAGAAAGTGATATCGCCTGGACGTATTCCAAGGATAAGAATGCCAGAAAGAAGAGAGTTACCAGTCCTTTGACTTCAAAGAATAATAGCTCTACGAATTTGGCTGCTATTGAGAGCAGGGGCAGAAGATCTAATAACTCGCATTCCAATTTGCCCTTTCTTGCTCAAGCAGAAAAGACTAGCGATGGCTTGCGGGCCGTTAAGTCGCATGTACCCGACAGTAGAGGTAGGGTTGCAGAGGATCACGAGAATCCTCTACTTTCGGCGGTAAGGTCATCCGAATCAAGATCTAGAAGTACTTCTCGAAGTAGAACTGGACTTCGTAAGTTGTTCGGCCATCATCATTAAATAGAACGTAGAATATACAATAGAACAATTCAATACAAAATGAGTAGAAGAAACTACCTAGTCGAGTACGGTTTTTTTTTTTTTTTAGATCGGATTTTTAGCAACCAAAGTTCTTGAGACATTGCAAGAAGTACCAACTTTAGACCACCACATGTCTCAGAAACCTAGCTTGGGTATAAGCATAGTTATGCCGAAACCTCCAGGCATGGAGTTTACCCTACATTCAGCTCTCAAAAAGGAATAACCTGCCATTAAAACTTGCATAATGCTCCTGCAAAGCCTACATTTCACGTGATAGCTTTGGTTATCATGTTTGCGAGGTTAACCCCGAACAAGTACCAACAACTTCGCTGTATATATGCTTTCTGGCGTGTATTGCATCATTCTTTTTACGGTTATTTTCTTCCTTTAGTTACACTTTTCAAGCTCAATTCAATTACAAAGCATGGGACGTACAGTAGGTAACATTTATGCGCTCACGCTAAACTTTATTTCGCTTGCAGTTTGCAGCTATGGACTTTACGATTCATTCTTTTCCGAAAGAGTGTTACCACCTCAATTATTCGAAGCAGGCCAATGGCAATTCTGGACCAACTGGTCGCTCACAGTTACTATTGCGGTTCTTGCATTGGGAGTAGTAGCCCATGCAACCAAGTCTCAGTATCTTTTTAGATTGAAGAATAACATACACCCAATTGGTCTTGCTATGGAAACGGTTGTTACCATCGTATATTGGCCATTGCGTCTTTTCTTTTTGGCATTGTTAATTAAAGATGACGCACCTAAAATGGAGCTTCCAATATCAACCGATTTGTCGGTCCATTTAATGCCAGTTGTTGGCTTGATTGTAGACTACTTGGCATTTATGCCAAATTGGACCTTCAAGAGAAGCTCTGCTTTTGGGGTATGTTGCATTATAACCACTTCTTATTGGTTTTGGTTGCACTATATAATTGACTTGGAAAAGGGCGCTGGGTTTCCCTATGAGTTTTTGAACCATCCTTCCGCTTACTTTCGTTTAACAATTTTTGCTCTAGTTGGATTGATCGGACTCAGCCTGGCCTTCCTTTGGCCAAAGGTACATGCTTGGGTTGCTGGCAAGGAAAAGGAAAAATAGAAGTACTACGTAGAGAATTAGATCATATGTATGTGCTAATTATTGTTTAATACTAATAAATGTAAAGTAGTTCATATTTGGTAGTGTGGAAATGTTTTGGGTGCAAAAAAAGATATTTCATTGTGATAAGCACATTTAAACCCCAATACAACCGATGTTGTATCCCCCAAGAATACAGATAGATTATCATGGTGCTATTCACAATACCCGATGAATCCAATGATTAAAACTTGCAACCAATGCAAATCCTGTCATCCAGGCAGCTCTAGCTGGAAATGTGATACCATTCAAAAATGGGTATGGGTACCTGACCTTGTAAAAGGTAGCCATATACTCAATATAGGAGAAGTAACAGGCCAAAGCCAAGAATGTGCTAGCTGTAGATAGGGAAAAAGAAACCTTCGCACGTCCTCTTCGCTTAGCCGTTGCAATCGCTAGAGCAAAGTATGGAAAGAGGTGGATTTCCAAGTCTAATAGTAACAGAACCTCAAACGTCCCCGCGTTAAGAAAATGCGAAAAGAAGAAGAGTAACGTCCAGTAAGCAGAACACACTACAAACTCCAAGTTAAACACAGTTACCAACAAAATGGACGGCACATTGAATGGAAAGACCAAGTCGAAAAATAGCACGAGACAGGTCAACAACAGTGATAAGTTGGTGAGGAACTGGAATTGGCCTGCTGGCTTGAGGTGTGGGGGTAATGTCAACGAAGTGGTACCATAAAGACCATGCAAGCACACACAAAGTGCGACCAAGTCTAAAAAATTCAGTGCTAAGGATCGCTTACTCAGTCCACTAGAACGGAGTCGAACCATCTCACTCTTGTTCTTTTCTATTTCTGGACCGACTCCTGCTGAATTTTCCTCGATCTTTGCCATCGCTATCGATAGTGCCTAGTTTCTTCAGCCAAGTATCGAGGCCCATTGCTTCTATTCATCGCCTGAGCCTGAGCCCGAGCCCGAGCCTGGGCCTGTTCCCCATATTATTTGATTTTAGTCGTGCAAAGCCCCAAAGGCTACCACATAATCAATAATTTTTTTTTTTTGGTTATCTAAATTTTTTTTTTTTTTTTTTTGTCAGGCTTCCCTAGAGAACTAAAGTTAACCTACTTACAAGTGAACGAGAAAGGATAAGCTACCAAAAGATAGAATAAGCTTATTTACTGCAATAAAGATAGCTCTAAGGTCAATTGGAGATTCAGGGTAACTTATCAAAGAAAAAAGAAGGGGTATGCGCTATTCAAATTTAGTTAGCGTAGTGTCCCTCTTGTGGGTGAGTCAATCCTCCTGCCAGGCACTGAACGCATTTCAGAAGTTTTTCGGTATTCAATCGACTAATAGTCACAGTCACAGCGAGCTGGTATTCCTTGAGCACGACTACGTGAATGGAGGTTTAGCCAATGAGGTTCACTACTCGGAGCTCCATACATCGGATTGGCCGATAGAACTCACTCAGTACACTACTGACATGGTCATAAGGGTAGACTTCAGCGAGAATAAGAGGTTTAAAGAGTACTTGTTACTAAACAAGCACCAAAAAGAGAGCAGGGCAGAAAGTGATATACTGTTTAAAGTATGGGCCAAATCAGAAACAAATTCGTACATTGACCTTCAGATTGACGAGGAGAATTTCATCGCTTTAATCGAGAAGTTCTCTACAAAGGAGAGGGAATTGAGCTATGAGGTGTTAATTGAAGACTTGGCGCAGAAGATCTTTGAATCTTATCCTGCGCCAGTAGTCCAATCCAACGATTACGACGAGGATAACATCCGTACGTTGGCACAGTCGGCAGCTTGGAATAAGTGGACTGCTAAGAGCAGCGTGGAGAACGAGGAGTTAGAGCGTGCTTACACCACAGCCAAACAGGATCCATCTATGGTGAATATGTTAAGTTATTCAGAACTATTCTTCAAAGATTACCGTCCACTTGATAGCATTGAAGCTTGGCTTGACCTACTCGTACAGACGTTCCCCAACCTTCTTTCAATCGAAGAGATCGGGACTACATACGAGCATAGAACCTATAAGGTAGTTCATTTCCTGGCAAATCCTCCTGATGATGGCAGTGACCACGAGCGTAAGAAAACAGTCGTAATTACAGGGGGTGTGCATGCTAGAGAATGGATCTCTGTTTCGTCCGTTTGCTATACCATGTACGAAATGTTGCAATATTACGCAGAACATCCGGAGGAACACGGCATGTTAGACCAACTTGACTTTCTTTTCATTCCTGTTTTAAATCCCGATGGATACGTTTACTCGTGGTTACATGATAGACTCTGGAGGAAGAACCGCCAAGAAACTACGTACCCTAAGTGTTTTGGTATTGATATTGATCATTCATATGACTTCCATTGGACAAAGCTGTCAGATTGGCCATGCGGGGAGGAATATCTGGGAGAAGTTCCTTTTGAAGCCATAGAGCTGAGGATTTGGGAAGAGTTTTTGAACACTACCAACCATAATCACGAAATCCATGGATATATAGATTTGCACTCATATTCGCAAGAAATCTTGTACCCATACGCTTTCTCATGTCAACAACTGCCAAGGGATGAAGAAAACTTGATTGAATTGGCATATGGTATATCTAAGGCTATTAGACTACAATCAGGCAAGAACTACCAAGTCCTTCCAGCCTGTGTAGATAAGGACCTGGACTTGTTACCGGACTTAGGTTCTGGAAGTGCATTGGACTATATGTACCACCATAAGGCATACTGGGCATATCAATTAAAACTTAGAGATAGTGGTAGCCATGGCTTTTTGTTGCCAGGCAAGTACATAGAGCCCGTGGGGAAAGAAGTTTATGCTGGTATACGATACTTCTGCTCTTTTATACTTAGAGATGATTAAGAAAAGTAGGAGCTATTGGCAGCATCTTTGCGCCAATATGTTTAATAGATTCTAATGATATTTTACTGGTGAAAATAAAATTGTAGAAAAGAGGTGAGAGAGCTGGCGATGATACAGAGCAGCAGCTTTTGTACTTAGGAGGTAGATAGAATTTCTGAAGGTCATATGTCCTAATTGCTGTCATCATAGGAATGAAGCTCGTGAAGAGACAAGATGGGAGCATAATGTGGAGATAGGCCGGACCTAAATACTACAATGAAAGAAATGCTACCGGTAGACCTGGGAGTGAACTATGTTGATTGTAGACTCTGTAGCATAGAAATAACCCTCTTACACCAGTACTAACCATAAGCACTGCTTCAGTGGAAATAAGTGAAATTGTCAAATAGAAATACCTTAATTGTCTCATTTAGCACATACTAAAAATCAAGGCAAACTTAAACTGCGCCAAAACGGGCCCTGCCGAGACAAGAAAGATCAACACAGCAATTCTAGGCATGTAAACAGAACAAAACCTAATAAAGTCCTCTCCTAATACTTATGCATAGTGTCTAAAATGCTATAGATATTGATGAAATAGTAAAATTGATTTCAGTGTGAAAGAGTAAATTTTTTGTGGTACTACATTGTAATGCTTTAACCAACGTAATGTTACGTGGGGTACCTTAACTATTTGACATTCAAGAATGCACCATTGCTTCAGGTGTAAGAAATAGAGAATTCTCGGCATCCTAAAATTGTGCAAAAACATTTTTGACCAGGGTGACGAACACACGGATTAGCAGTAGGAAGGTCTAGTAGAGAACGTGGCCTTTTTAGATAAAGCTACATGGGCATACCTAGTGAGAAATGTGAAAATAGCTCCATATATGTATCACTTTTATGTATACTAGAAACTGGCGCGTGTACTCAAGCTGGGCAGCCTGTAGGGCTGTACTTGAATGGATATAAGAAATAAAATTCTTCGATGCTGCACAATTTTTAAAGCGTGGTAAATATAAGCACGATCTTGATGAAGGTGGATCAGAATGTATAAAGGGGACAATGCGCTTCGAGGAAATTCGTAGAGTGGTGTGGTTTTTGAAGAATAGGAATGGTTAGCTAAATGATTAGTAGTTTCAGGAGGAAGGTACTTATTGGAGCTGCGTTGATTCTAGTTGTAGGGACGCTCTTCTTCATTCATGCATCATCGCCATTGATTCAAGTTTCTAATTACTTCGTGGATACCACTAATGGGGCGGAGGCGCCTGGATACCATGAAGTAACAGAACTTGAAGCCGAGCATGGTGGAAAGGAAACCTTATCAAAGCAGGAAGTAAAAATGAATTCGAGGCATGTTAGATTCCTCCCTGATTCTATATTAACCCACCTTTTTGAGTCCTATGATTTAAGCAAAGTTGACTGGTCGAAGTTTGCTTATGTCCAATATGCCACCAATATGGATTATTGTTGCAATGCATTAATGAACTTCGCAAAGCTACGTTCAAAGTACAAAACTAAAGCTGAACTTGTCCTAATTGTAACTAAGGATGCAGCAGTGGATTTAGAAGAAGCAATGATGAAAAAGCTTAAAGAGTTTGGTGTTACTATAAAAGAAGTGGAGGCCTTAAAATTTAAGAGTAAAGATGAAACTTGGCAAGAAGGGTTCACCAAATTCAACGCCTTTGGGTTAAAAAAATATGCTAGAGTCATCTACTTCGATAATGATGCTACGATTTTGGGCAACATGGACAGTTTATTCTTCATTCCCAACGAAGTTGACATAGCTATGCCACTTGCATACGATGAGACCGTAAGAAAGATGAAGAAAATATTTGCTGAATATGAATCGCATGAGGAGTTGAAAACGGCAATTCCAAAGTGTTCTAGGAAGTCTGAAGACGATAAGTTCCAACTTGAGAGTAATATTATTAAAGGTGCAAAAGAAGCACTCAAAAGTAAAGGGATTTCGTATCAGTCCTTAGTATACCAGAGATTACCATATTTATATAACCATGCACTTCTTGATCTGTACTATTTCGGTGATCATTTCATGGTATTGAAGCCAAGCATTAAGACGTATAAGTCACTTGTTGAATTATGTGAAACTAAAAAACCCGCTGAGTACGATATGGAGTTGATAAACAAGCAGTTTTCGGTTAAAAGAGCACTTTCAAGTCTGGATTCCAATTTGATGATATTACCTCACAGTGCATATGGAGCATTGAGTGGGACATTAAGGATTAGAGCGTATGAACTTTTGCATTATACCGATCCCACTGAAGTGCATTGCTATGCTAGAAGTGAGTTTGACAGGGAACAAAACAAGTTTAAACGTAGGGAGACTGAAAAGCATGCTTATCAAAACGAAGGAAACAGAGTTTCAAATGAAGTTGATAAAGTAAGAAGAGAATCAGATCTGACAAATGAGGAAGAAACTGAAAGAGTTTGGGAAGCGGTGAAAGCTGTCCATTTCTCAGACTATCCCTTACCGAAACCATGGATGGAAGTAAATCAATACCGCGAGTACGTTTCTAATATGATCTTGTGTGAGAAAGAGAGAGCAAAGACAAAGAAATATAGAAGCAAGTACAGGCCAAAGATCATTGACGACTGCGCTGCAAGCAGGCTATGGAATGGATTGTATGAAACATTTCAAGAGGAAAGGGAGAGTATATGTGGACTAACACTATCTATATAGAGGTAAACAAATGAAGGATATATATGTATAAATAATCAAACTAGAAGTGTAATGACCGAATTATCAGAATATATTTTAGGGCTAGTGGTTCTTATCAACGCCCTATTTAGCATTCTACTGGGTGCGCTCAGCTTGGCTATGATGTTACGTTGTCGTTATATAAACTACTTCCAAATTTCACACTTTCATAGTCAATTGAATCGCTATTCGTACAACTTTTTTTAGTAATTTCGATCAATTAATTGCCCTCTACTATCGTCTTAGTCGATTAGTCATACCTCTTATTGCAACCTTACTTTTGAGCCGCATCCTATAAACCATCAACATGCGCCAGAAATTGGCGCGTAGATTCTTCACAAGAAATTCTCATCTATGATTGTTTCTAACTACTGGGGAGAAATACGATATACGATATGAGAGTTGTTATACAGAAGGTAAAGAGTGCTTCGGTAGCTGTTAATGAGAAGATTATATCATCGTAAGTATTTTACTGGAGGCTTGCCTCTTTTCTTTTGGGCCTAATATTCTAACATGCAGCATTAACCAAGGTCTAATGATTTTGGTGGGAATATCACCACTGGATACCGAAGAAGATGCCAAGAGACTTTCCAACAAAATAGTAAAATTAAGACTATTTGAAGATCATTCAAATCCACCTGAAACAGCTGCTACCCAAAAATGGATGGGTAAACCATGGGCAAAGAGTGTGAGCGATGACTCAAAATTTTCTATCTTGGCTGTATCTCAGTTTACATTATATGGAACAATCAAGAAGGGAACCAAACCAGACTTCCATAAGGCAGCCAAGGGTGTAGAAGCTAAAATATTGTACGATTTCTTTTTGCAGCAATTGAAGAATGCAATTGGTGAAGAGAGGGTTAAAGATGGAGAATTTGGTGCAATGATGGATGTACTGTTGGTGAATGAAGGTCCAATTACCATCATATGGGACACCAACGATCCTACTATTTAAATAGAAAATGCTGATAGATAAGAAGGTTTACAAAAGGGAAATAGTTATTATCGTATGTAAGCAAGTTGCAAAGATGAGATGAGCAGTTTTTAGAATAAACCATTAGAGAAAAGTAATTAAGTAGCTAGTAGACAACTAGCGAGCGATGTCTTGCATTTTTGATCGAAGTAAGTTTAACGAATGTTCACAGAGAAAAGACAAAGTAGCTTTGCGTCGTCAGACAAGAAATTGTATCCTCGCAGTTAAGGTATGTCCTCTCACTTCATCTAAGACTAAGTAGGAAAGCTTTCCACTACCTGGCCATTATCTCATCACCACAATGTCTAGTTGTTTCGTTCTCGAACTCTACACTGCTTCATGGCCAGGTGATAGATTTAAAGAAATTATGCACGTGAAAGCTTTCTTGATGTGGGCATAGGAAAATAAAAAACGTCTCACTTTGAGTACCTTTTAGTATAGTATCATGCGAAATACTCAACATATGCTATAAATAGTCTCATTTGAAGATGACATCATTTTGAACAGATTCACCTATAAAATCTCAAGCTGACTTGAAGAGCAATTGAACACCTCACAAAGGCATTGAGCAGTTCAGCTTTCGTCAGAAAAGAAAAATTGATAAATTGGAAAATTACTCCACAGAGCCAATCCATGTACTCCCCCCTTTACTTTTTGGCGTTTTTTCAAATTTGTAATTTTGAAAATTTGGATCCAATTTTTTTTTCAAAAGTCCAAAACTTGTTTAATTCGGTGTTTTACATATTGAACATGTCCACGACCACCATATTGAGCAGAAAACGACCTTTTTATTACACAAAAGGCATTTGTGGATAAACCACAAACCAAAATTTTTTTTTTAGAGGTTTCAGAAGGCCATGCATTCATACTACAAATTCCTTAAAACGATAATCTTCTCAAGAAGAAAAGGAGCTATCGCTGAATAGCCAACTTCTTGCGCTTGCTTCTCATACGATTTCCAGCTGTTTTACTCTTAAATTAAGGAAGTTACTTATATTTGCTCCTATTTTGCTTGATTTATGTAGATTCTTTAAGACTGAAAATAGGTTCCACAAATAGAGAGTGAAAATGTAAGATATATATTGTTGACAGATTTTACGTGGATGATTTCTTATACTTGCTCACAGTACATGCTCGGATAATTCATATTACTGAATTAACAGCTAGTGTGGTATATAAATTACGAAGACACACTTTGATAAAGGAGGAAGACAGGCATTCAACTGATTGTTTCTTGGTAAATCGTTTCCTTAGTTAATGGCTGCAATTTATACCGTATGCAGTATTTGCAACCATTTTAGTATATGCCTTCCTGCAGGTGACCTGGTGCATCAGCAATTGTAGCAAGAAGGCGCTGGAAATGAACCATAATCAACTGAGTGGAACTCACTCTCTTAGATTTATGAAGCGGTTTAGTATTAATTTCAGATAATGGCCTATTTTCAATAGGAACTGATATGATCTTGTTGAGTTAGATATGGGTCGTAAATATGGGTCTAACAATAGAATAGATCATATGCAGTGCTAAGTAATAGTTCATGTTTTTAAGTATTAGCAACAGTGTTGGAATATTGTATGTGTTTCATTTGTTCACGTTCCTTACGAGCATAAACCATTAAAAATATTATACTCTATACTACCTCTTCGGCACATTTCCAATTTAGCATTCTTTTCGTTTTATCTTTTTGAAAGTATGTCCATTGGTGGCTCATACTTTAACTGATAGAGCCTAAGCCTCACCTTAGCATACGCTTACGGATTCCATTCTTGTTCAAGAATATTTTGTGCAGATTCATAGTCTACGAAAGCATCTTTACTCCCTGTCACGGTACTAAAATGCAGCTTTATTACTATTTGTGAACATAGCTCTCCTAGCTGTTGACTACGTGATTTAATAAAAAGATATTCATCAATGGATTTCTAAAGCTATTTATATATACATGCGACATTCTAATTTGTTATTATCTGGTTCGTAAAAATAGCGTAAATAAATCTGAGCTGGACTCTACTTTCGAATGAAGGGCCAGCTGCTAAGATATAAGTACTTTCATAAATCTTTCTGGTATTTTCAAGTATTCTTCGTTCAAATAAATTTCTAAGGTTGCGCTCGCATTCATTTGACAATAGTTGAAATCTTGGACCAAAATTGGCCATATTGGGGCCTTTCCATGACGTGCTATCTATGCCATATTTAAAAAGTTGATCGATGTGTTCAGCAAGAAATATGAGGTCACCAGGAACCCGGTCTGGGTTTACTCCTCATGCAGCATTGGCAACCAAAAGTATTTCATCATCCAATAGTTTGGCTATTCTCACAGGGAACATTGTTTCCTAGAATGAATGGCCCTCGTAAAAGTGCAAATTTGAAATTTGAGAAAGTAACTAATATTTATATTTCCACCATTGAGATCTCTCTCATTCCTTGTTTTCTTTTTTCCTCTTCTTTAATTAAAGTATAAAGACCCAACAACATCACCACCACATCGCGCGCGTCAACCGTTACTTTAAACATCTAGCATAAAGCAGGATATTTTTTATGTGCATGTTGTAGAATCTGGCTAAGCACAATAAAATGAGATACTCCAAACTACTAACTAAGAAGTTATATATAGTTGTTGCATCTGTGTTAGTGATATCTACACTTTATCTAATTCAAAGCTCTTCATCTGTAATACCACTGCCATTGAATCCTACAGCGTCCATAGTAGATATTACTAGTAATAAAGATTTGCTGGCGAATCATGGAGATTCCACTTTACCCCACATAGGAAGTCAAAACGAATTTGCAAATGGGGAGCTGAAAGAAGGAAATAGTTTTAATACGGGACTGCAGCTTACGCTGGAGGAAGAAAAGCTGCTGACTGAGAAGATTCAGGAGGCTCAATTACAGCACCAAGAAGAAGTTGAGCACAAGTTGAATGGAGATGGAGAAAAAGGAGCAGAGTCACAAAATGGAGAGGCTGAAGAAAAGGGAAATGATAAGATTGAACAAGGCTTCAATATAAATCATGTAGAAGGGGAAGAAAAGGGAAATGATGTAACTGGACAAGACTTCAAGACAAACCAAATAGAAGCTGAACAAAAGGAAAACGACCAAGAGAAGGCGAAAGTTCCAAAGCATGTTCGTTACATTCCTGAATCCATATTAGCCAACCTTCAACAATCAACAGATGCTGCCCAAATTGATTGGTCCAAATTTGCATATATTCAATATGCAACAAGGGAAGATTATATATGTAATGCTTTGATTAATTTTGCAAAACTAAGGTCTGACTTCAAAACCAAAGCCACATTAATGTTAATTCTTACCAATGAGGCGTATCTTCATTTCGGTGAAACCATGAAAAACGAACTTACCAAACTTGATGTAATTATTAAGGTAGTTAAAAAATTGCAATTCAAAAGTGCAGATGTAACTTGGGTTGATGGTTTTACGAAATTTTACGTATTTGGATTGGAAGAATACAACAAAGTTATATACCTTGATAGTGATGCTACCATTTTGGGTAACATGGATGAGTTATTTTTCATTCCAGATGAAGTTGATATCGCAATGCCGCTAGCATACGACGAGACTGCTCACAGAATGAAGCAAAAATTAGCTACATATGACTCAGCTGAAGAATCGGAAAAGGAAATCCCAAAGTGTTCTCGTAAAACTGAAGAGGAGAGGTCAGAGTTCGAATATAAAATACTCAACGATGCCCTTTTGGATGAATCCAAATATAAAGATGAAGGAGGAAAAGTAACTGATAAGAAAGACATGAATCTGGAGATGACGTACCATTCGTTAGTATACCAGAGATTGCCGTATGTGACAAATGAAGTGCTATTCGATACCTACTATTTCAGTGACCACTTCATGGTAATTAAGCCTAACGAAGAAACTTTCAAAGAATTACTTGTGCTATGTGAAACAAAGGGTGAAGGTGAATATGATATGAATTTAATCAATAAAAAATTCTCTGTTAAAAATGTTCTCTCGTCTTTGGATACTGAATTGCTAATTTTACCTCACAAGACCTATGGGGCATTGAGTGGGACTTTCAAGGTTCAGGAATATGAGCTTTTATACTATACGGACCCTACGGAGATTGAATGTTATGCAAGAAAAGAAATTGAACGAGAACAAAAAGAGCAAGCAATGAAGGAAGAGAAGGAGTCTGGTGAAGATAACCAAAATGATGTTGAAAATGGAAAAGAGGACGAGACCAATTTAAACCAAGAGGATAAATCCCCCGAAATTGATATTGATCATACTGGACCTATTGTTGAGCATGTCGCATTATTGCAAGACGACTTAGGCGACGAGAAGAAAATAGAAGGACAAGACAGTTCTGAAGGGACCGAATTCCAAGAGATACCCAATCCTATGGCAGGCAATAAGGGACCCGAAGACAATACCAATAATGATGGTGAAAGAGCAAAAATGATACGGAGAAATGAAGATACTAACGTTAGTGATGAGATACCGGGAGCACTGGGTGAAATTAACAGAGCTGATGAACCCAGTATAGAATTAAACGAAGAGGAAAGAAAGTCGAACGAAGAAGAAACTAATAAAGTTTGGCAAGCATTAAAACTAGTGCATTTTTCTGACTATCCTATACCGAAGCCTTGGTTAGAAAGACATCTTGATGTCTACTACATTAAAGATTTAATATTATGCCCATCAGAGGTGGAGAAGATGCAAGTGTATAAAGACAAACCGTATCATCCAAGGATTGTTAACGATTGTGCTGCCAGCAATTATTGGAATGGATTGTACGAAACATTTGCTTTAGATAGGAGGAACATATGTGGTCTAGAACATTCCCATGTCATAACTAAATAAATATGCAGAGAAAACAATAAAAGTGTATATAAACCAATTAAGTTATAGTGAAGTAAATCAATAGTACAGGAAGTTATTTGACTTACAAGCTATTACAGTATGACAAAGGGAAATCAATTAGTGATTGCAGGGTCAATAGCCAATCTTTCGACTGCTCCAAATGAAAAAAAATAAATTACTAGTTACAAATTCGCTAAAATGTGCTTAGTTTTTTAACTTGCATTTTTCTCTTGCATGGTAATGCGGTGCAGAAAAAAAATAGATGTGCAGTTAAAAAATATATTGAGGTGGATGTCATCAATATAAGAGATCATTAAAATTAGTTAAATACATCTATCAAACTATATACCATTACTCACACAAGTAAATGGACTTCCATAAAGGTGAGACTCATAAGACCAAACAATACTTTGCACAGAAGCGTACAAACCTGGACCTAAAATATAAATACCAATCGCTATCAAGAAGGCATTGATAATCCATTCCAGTTTGCCCTTCAAAGTGGATTCCTGGAAAATTCTCCAGACTGAAACATTATCCTCTCCTAATCTAGTGTAGTCCAATTTTCTTAACTTGAAGTATGCAACACCCCAGAAAACGAAACCAAACCAACAATCAAATAATGAAGACATCAAAGAAAGTAAATCGGAGAAAAATGGAATAACTTCAGCAATTACAAAGGCCAAAACCCAAATAATAAGGTTAATACCACCCCAAACGATCCAACCTTTAACAGTGTGACTATTTCTATGCTCAGAATTCTTATCAAAGATCTTCAAGAACAAAAATTGGGAACTGACATTACCGTACAATGCACCCAAGAAGAAAATGGTTGGAAGGGCAAATGAGAAGGCAATCTTTTTGTTTACTCCTGCAATTGAACCGAAAGCAGGGGCAGTAATATATGCGTTACCGACGTAAACATAAACAATAGAACCAGCCAAGGCAAAAGTTAAAACTTCTAAACCGGTAACCATGTATAAAGCCTTTTTGAAATCCTTAGGATTCTTCATTTGACTGATAAATGAAGGGTAAGTAATTTGACCAACAAAGGTATAGACGATATTTAAAAATGCAGACATAGCACTAACATAGCTGGTTCCCTTTACTGGCCACAAGTGGTATACAACTGGGGTTCCTTCTTCATAACCGTAAGGGTGGTCCTGGGTGGCACAGAACACCATTGCCAAAATAACAGCTACAAACATAGTAACAGCAGAAAAGTAACCAACAATACTCATAGAAGAGAAAGTTCTTGGTAATGAAAGGAAGTAGCAAATAACGAAGGTTACCACACCGAAAGCAACTGAACAGATCGTGGTGTTATCAGTGATTGTGTTAAAGTATTTAGCACCAACCAACACGTGCAAAGCTTGAATTAAAGTGTTGTTTAACAAGAAACATAAAGCAGTAGCATACCAAGCCCACTTGGAGCCCCAAAATAAGTGTTGACCAATATCACAGACATCAGTTAAGTGTGGGTATGCTGCACAATACTCTGTAATAATAATACCTGTATATAACACAGTGAGGGCAACAAATAATGTCAAGATTAACCCTGGAACAAGACCTAAGACAGAGTAAGACCAAGGGAAAGACATAATGGCAAGACAAATATATTCAGAAAATAAGAGTCCAGCAGTCTTCTGCCAAGAACAGTTTCTGTAATTAATTTGATGATTAGCTTCTTCAAGCAAGTCAGCGTTGATGTACTCATCAGCACTTAAGTTGTTTTTGAGTTTTTCATCTGTTTCCCCATACACAACAGGAACCGAACTTGAGGAGGTATTTGAAACTGCTCTAGCAATAGTCATTTTAGCTATAGATTTTTGTTTAATTGAAAATTGAACCGATAAAAGGCTTAGGCATGTATGCTGTTATATATATATATATATATATAAATTCTTACGAGATGCTGCTGCAAAGAAGAATGAGATGCCTAGAGGAAGAAGAAAGTCCATTACGACATGATGTCGCAATCAGAGCCACACAACTTCATAAATACTGCAGAATAGCAATGTATTGCTAAAAGGTCCTGCGTAGGGGAAATAATTTTTCTTTCTTTTTTTAATTTCTTTCCTTCTCTTTGCTCCAAATTAAGATTTCATTAGGCATCTGTTTTGGGTCGCCGTGCAGAACCTCATGCGAAGGGGGTTATCTTCTTGGCTTATTTATTTGTTCTCTGTCAATCAGGGACTCTGTTTCAATTTCAACTAGACTCGCTTTAAGTTTAATTAAATACTTGTATTATTTTCTTTGGCCGTTGAGGCCCAGATTTTGATATATTTTTTTTCCTCCTGTCCAAGACTTGCATTGAATATTATCTGAAAATTAGAATTCGCCATTCTGTAGATTGCCCGTTTAGTCTGATACTTCTAAATAATAAAATACCTGCATTACGCTTTCGGAAATAAATTGTGCATTTTTCGGTGGAAATAAGGCCGTAGTTGATACAGGTGAAACCTTTCTTATTTTTTTCTTTTTCTAGGCGTATTAGACGTAGTGTTGCTCACTGATAAGTGAAAGCTCAAGCTGGGCCGATGGGCCATCATCACCCAGAGAAAAGAGCCGTATCGAAATTTCTTCATTGTTTCATCAGGACAGATAAGTATACTCAGGAATTGGATCTTCCATATTGGGGATTGGCGTTCTCGGTAATCTTGTCAGCACTGGGAATTTCATAAATTTGTTTAAAAATATTTTAGTTTGGAAGACGACCACTTACCACTTTCAGATTACTATCAGGTAATTGGTTACCACCCTAGAAAATATACCATTAGGTTGGTATATCGACGAATCTCTTTGCGGGCAATGTCAATTATTTTTTTCGATGTTATGGACCCCACGCTCGCTTACGTAAACAGAGCACCAATTAACAATAGAGCGGAGTTCACCGCATCCTAGAAAAGGCTTCGACTCTCTCACTTTTAGGTAAGTAGTACTACCCGCATCTGAGTTCCCGTCCAAAAGATTATAGTTCCATGTACGAAGCCATCTCAGGTCTTGGAATTTGGTAAGTCGGTCGTCCTTAGATTGGAAACTTCATTTATGTGCAGGCAAACAAGGTATATGTTATAAAATGCACCCATATTTGACACATCCAATTTCCCGCGCCCCCTGTAATTTGACATAAACCGGTTTAACCACTTACATGCTTATTTTCGCTCTCGTTGGCAACCCATTTGATATCTCTGAAAATTTTGTAGGGATGTTGTACTTTCGTTGAAAGAGAGATTTAACAAAGGGAAGTACTCATTTATTGAATATTTCTGTTAACGAAAATAATAACGCAGTATTACAAGGAGCTGAGTTCATGTCAACATGTCAAAATATGACATGAAAGGATGCAATTTCATAAAGAATCACCCTATACTGGAATTTTACAAAGCTTAAAGAACAGAAATGAAATGAAACTGGTCTGCATGTCAAAATATGACATGGAAAGATTCAAATTCATAAGAATCACCTTACACTGGAATTTTACAAAGCTTAAAAAACAAAAATGAAATGAAACTCTTTTTGAAGGGCTGCTTGTAAATAATTAAAATCTAATAAAATTCAGGTAATGGAGAGCGTGTAATCTGAAGTTGACTATTGTAGAAATTCAATGAATTTCAAACCCTTAAATGGAAACAGTCAGGAAAAAATAAAAAAAAATAAAACTATTGCAAGAATGCAATACACTTGTAGTTGTCTCTCTCTACGCCATAAAACCTTTCCACAAATTATATAAATTTACTCCATCACAATGAAGAGTTGGATTAAATAATTTGTGAGATTTAATCTCTTTGCTGCAGAATCATACATAAGTCTGCATATAGAGTATACTATCAATGATTGACAGATGTACAATTACTTATCAAGGAAATGCTTCATGATAGTAAAATGCTTGGAAAATGTTTGTTTTTTGCCTAGAGTTTGAGTGTTCAAAGAATGATAATTCCAGCTTGAAATAGACATTTATACTTTAGACGACTAAAAAATATTAATTTTCGATCGAACAGCAGCATCATGCTCGTCACAATAATGCAAACTATTGTCCTTATGAAAAAATAAATCTAAGATGATCCCTCTGTTGTACAAAATTGCAACAATTTTGAAGTAGCGGCCTTTCCTCTCATGAACTTCTTGGTGAGAGGGGCATCTTCTAATATCATATGTGTTTGATTCAAATGGAATCAAAACCATTTGTTTGAATATCAAGCAGTAGAAGTCATATGCTTTAATAATATGACCAATTTCTCCAACCTCCTAGTCCCCGCAAAGTTATAAAACAATTCTCTGAAATTGCTGATGTTTGTGAACAACATGAAACGTTCTTCATGTAAACAAATACGACAAATAAAGTTACCTAACCCCAAAAATAACCCAAAAAATTTCGTCAACAAAGTAAACATTCAGCCGGATTCTTGAAAACATGAAATGGGTGAGTATACGACGTTCACTCGACACCTAGTTTCATTACAGATTTCAAGTTTTATAAGATATATGAAGTCTTCTATTAATGAATCAGACAAGCTTTTTAAGAAGCTATACTCATTTTTCATTTCTCATTTACCCTTACAATAGCATCAAGTTCTCACTCAACATTATTGATAAGTCACAATATGTGATATCTTTATATTTTCTTATTCAACAAAATGCTGATTGTTTATACATTGAGTCGACTCATTTTTGAAATAAGAATTCTCCACTAAACCTTTGCTTTCTTTTTTTTTCATTTTAAGTATGGGGTATTTTGGCGGATCGCGTCCGCGTATTCTATGCAGCAATCCGAATATGCAAAACGCGGAATTAAGAAACATTGTCTCGAGAACAAACTCAAAGTGTTGGTAAACAACAATTCAACAATAGAGCATTAGGCAACATAACAATGAAAGTGCTGAATTTCTACAATGAAAATTCATTGACATGCATACGAATAAAAGCTTATTGAAGTAGTTATCGAGTCATTAAGTAAATACATTTTGCACTTCACCCCAACTTTTGAAGTGAAATGCTATATGAAAAATGACCCCAGCGAAAGCATATGACATATGAATAACCTGTCAGCATATGAAGCAATTGAAACATATTCATACAAGTCTTAACCCAAGCAGCGTGGCCTACAAGTTCCATTTCTTATATAAATATGTACAATTTCTTCTTACTGGAACCAAGTTCAAATTAAAAGTTTACTCTCTACAAGAACATCAATAAAAAATATGAAGTTTTTTCACTTGCTCTTTCTCTCGGTCTTCTTGCTGCTTATTGACGCTGCACCTACATCAGATCTCCAAGCAAGGGGGTTTCCCGTTAAGCCTAGTGACGATCCCTTTTATCAACCTCCTAGTGGATATGAAGACAAACCTCTTGGTACCATTTTAAGAATAAGAAAGCAAACTAACGCCTATGGTATTATTATCTTCCAGGCAAAAGTAGAATCTGTCTATCAAATATTAGTTCGTTCGGAGGATTCTTTTAATCAACCAATTGCTGTTATGAGTACACTCTTCGTTCCATACAATGCTGATCCCTCTAAATTACTCTCATATCAAGTTGCTCAAGATTCTTCTTGTCCTGATTGCGCTCCATCTTACGCAATGCAACTTTGGACTAATCCATTAACTTGGGTCACGGCTCAAATAGAGCAGTTATTACTTCTTGCTGCATTTGAACAAGGTTATTATGTTGTCGTTCCTGACCACGAAGGTCCAAAGTCTGCATTCATTGCCGGTTGGCTGGCAGGTAAAGCCGTTCTAAATACCATTAGAGCCGCATTGAGTTCAGGTAGTACAACTGGTGTTAATTCTGATGCCGATGTGGTGATTTGGGGTTATTCTGGAGGTGCACACGCAACGGCGTGGACTTCACAGTTGCACCCATCTTACGCACCTGAATTGAACATTCTTGGTGCCGCAATGGGTGGTATTCCAGTCAACGTTACCCATGTTGCTTTAAACAATATGGGGACCATATGGGCAGGTTTCATATTCACTGCAATTAATGGACTCAGTCACGAATATCCTGAATTAGGTGAGTTTGTAAAGGAGAAAGTTTATCCTTCAAAATATAAACAATTCACCAATACAGACAATTTATGCCTTATTGAGACCATACCTTTGTATCTCTTTCAAACATGGGATGATTACTTAGAGGAAGGAAGCGATGTGTTATATGATCCTATCGTTAAAAATGTAACCGATGCTCAAAATTTGCTTACAACTGGAAATATTCCTGATATTCCAACATTCATCTATTCTAGTGAAAATGATGAAATTATTCCTATTGACGATACAGACTCATTATATGAGTTATATTGTTCAAAAGGAGTTAGTGTTGAACTCAGAAAGGATACTTTCTCGGAACATATCATCGCAGCTGTATCTGGAGCAGGTCTTGCCTTCAATTTTGTAAAGGATAGGTTTGACGGAGTACCTGTAAATCCTCAATGTCAAACTTCTACATCACTTAGCAATATTTTTGACCCTACTAGTTTAGATGGTTTGGGATCTCTCGTGAAGGGAATATTGTTAACATTAATCGGTTCTAAACTTGGTCCAGACAACCAGGTTATCACTTCATCTAATTCAACTGATGACGTCCTTAGTAGCTATGGTCTTAGAAGGTGAAAATAGATGCCGCTAAATGAGGCAAATGTGCCATGATATTTCACTTTTATTTCTTCTTCTTTTTTAATTTGTTGCTAGATTGAAACTTTCTCCAGTAATTTTTTAGTCAGTTAGCTGCCATCATTAAGAGGCCCATTTTTAAGTCCTTTTCTTTTATGTATTTTATAATTTTTATATTCGATAATGATAATTTATATACTCAAGCTAAACTTAAACCACTTTTGTGATTAACTTACCGTTACCCTTGGAGGTAAATAATTGCTTCCAGACTTGTGGAACTTGTTCCCAAATATTTTCTTCCTTGGAGAGATCAACAACGTTGATACCCTCGCCAGCTTTGATGCTTCCATCTTTGAGCCCTTTAGATAAAGCTGCAATTGCTTCGGGAAATCTCTTTGTGTACTCTAAGATAATAAAACCTTGTACAGTTAACTTTTGAACAACAATTGAGTTCCAGTTTGTAATAGCACCCTTTGATTTATCATTGTAAGAAGCAATTGCCCCACAAGCAACAACAATACCATGATCTTTGATAAGTTTCAAAGTGTAATTCAAAATTTCTCCTCCTACGTTATCAAAATAAACATCAGCAAAATCAGGGCCAATTGCATCTCTCAATTCATCGTGGAAGGTGTCACTTTTGTAGTTGACACATTTATCAGCTCCAAGAGATTCTACCCATCTACACTTTTCATCCAGGCCAGAAATACCAATAACCTTTCCTGCACCTAAAATATTTTTAGCAATTTGAACTGCAAGGGATCCAGTAGCACCAGAAGCTGCAGAAACTACGACAGTTTGACCCTTTTGGACTTTACCAATGTCAACCAAACCGAAGTATGCAGTTAAAGCAGTCATACCTAAATGACTCAAATAGTAAGTCAATGGAACACCTAAGGATTCATCGATTTTATTGAAGACAGCAGCCTCACTAGAGACAGAGTAATCTCCCCAGTAAAACATTCCAACTAACTTATCACCAACAGAAAATTTTTCTGATTTAGATAATACAACCTCACTTAATGTAACACATTTAACTGGATCATTGTCGCCAATTGGAGCTGAATAACTTCTAGATGGAATTTTTGAATTTGGATCTGGCTTTTGCATCCAGCCTCTTTGAGCAGGTTCATTTGAAAAATAAAGATTTTTTAATAAAAGTTGCCCATCCTTTAAATCAGATTCAGAAAATGGCTTAGAAACAATTTTAAAAGTCGAATCTTCTTCACCAAGTGAGAAATTGACTGCTGATTCTGGCTGCTTGTTGACAAGGACGATATTTTGAGTTGTTGGAATTGATGACATCTTGACTTCTGTTATACTAATAGAAAATTAATGACGAATAGTAAAAGAATAAGTTTTTTGTCATATAGGTTGCTTTATGGGGTTTTATAGCTTTCGATATATGCAAGTTACGGACTAGCTTAGTAATATCTTAGTTGCTCTATATATAAATATAGTGCGAATTTCATAGAGAAAATTTATTAGCGAAGAAATTTCCGAAAGGTGCATGGAAACGCCGTTTTATTTTTTAGTGCTGACATTCAATTTTATGTGCAGTATATGAAAATTGCGGAGTAAATCACATAAACTCAGTACATTGCTGCAGATTACTGTCGATAAACTATAATATGGCGTTGCCGATAATATAATCTACTCTAAAACCCCAGAATCTAAATGTTCTCTTTTGTTTAAGCATTTGTTTCCTTTCTGTTTTGAAAATTGAGGTATAAAGCAGCTCTGTTTGGTATATACTATTATTGCTTTCAAGTTGGCTGTGCTGACTTCCTTAATAAAAATTTTTTTTTCAAATCTTTAGTTTATCTTCTAAGTTTAAATGGCAGCGCAATTCACATATTGACTGGATCCGTCACATCCGACACGCTATCATTCTAGGAAACATTCGTCATTTTCATTATTCAATGTAAGAGAAGTACAAATATTCATAAAGTGCAATTTGCAAGATAGATATAACTTCATCGAGATTATTACGTAGTATGACCAGTATGGATTAACCACTTACACAATCAATAAGATTCTTTAATAGGAACCCCATAATTTTTATCAGCAGTGGATTTAACTGAACAAAAAAAAAATAAAGGTTCTTTAAATGAAAGTTATTTACTTCCAAAAGCGTAATGCTTCACATTGAAACCTACGAATTCGTAGGAATTTACATTTGAGGTCGACTGTTCTTTGTAAGATTACTTTTAAAAATATAAATAACTATGAGTTCTTCTTTCTCTTGGCAATCAATGCCAATCTTATTCTTCTAATTAATAGTCGGAAATATCCGAAACTTTTTGGGCCCCTAATTATTTAGCATTGCATTCCTAATGGATGGCCAGGATTGGATATTGCATACAGAAACTTGCATTAGTTAGGTAGATGAGATAATCAGGGTAAGATTTGATTGCATAGTAGTTGAGAAGATACCCATTTTGCTTAAGTACCCAATGGAACCTGGAACTTCGTGTTTGAGTCGTTTCTGGCTTTTTATGAACACTGCAGTATTGTTTGACTGAATACCACCATGTGAATACCACCTTGTTGACATGTTTCTATCATTCCCAGGCTCCAAGTTTAAAATAAAATTATCATACATTTTATTTACAATAAATTACGTAAGGACTAGTATTCTATTCACAACCGGTTCCACAGTCTATAGGATAGTATATATCAGGTTTAGTGTATGAAAAATGGGAAATGAATTTCGCAAGCATTATATTCACATATTCACAAGATTAGCCACTAGTCTAACAATCTTTCATTCATCGAAGTCATACAGAGCAAAATAGCTAGACAGAAGTAATAAAAGTGTAGATTTTCAATTTCAAAAAACTCTGTCTCATAGTTTTCTTGGCTTATGAAACTTGAATCACGCTAATTTCCGTGCCTACCTGACAATTGAAAAACCTGAGGCTTTGAATGGACTATAGTGCAAATACTGGTATTGTGACTGATCTAAAATTATATTTCGAGCTCAACTACTAAAACTATATTCGTCAAGACTATGAAAGGGTGAATTTTTTATATTTAAGATCTCAGTTTTTTTTTTTTCACAGGTATAACAGCTGCAATTTTCTAGCCGCTTTGAGGAGATGGACCACAGTATGGAAATTGCATTGAAGAATAGCTAGTAAGTATTTCATTTCTATTCCCTGAGTTAAATAGATATCCGTAAAATGGCAAATGTGAAAAGTATAATTGGAATTCTAATTCAAAGAGAAATGCAATTTAAGTAATGTAAATTTATGAAATCAAAAGCTGAGGGAGAATAAATCGCTACAAAAATATGGGAAAAGAATGTTCATCTAAAAGGGATTTGTAATCGTGATGAACTATTACAGATAAAATAACGTGATCAACTAACTATCTCTTAGCAGTAACTTCGCTGTGAGCTGTTAATGAGTTACAAGTAGAAGTTGACCTTTTTCCACTTACCGTCGAAGTATCAGTTTTCTAGAAGATATTGTTGGCATTGAGCATACAACCACCAACAGTTGAAGATTCTATAAGTGACCTTAAAGTTGTGTTATTAGTAAGGCAGCAGAATACGCATAACTACTTTCCTGTATAAAATTTGAGTTTGAACTGAAAGTTACGGAACAGCTAGTTCACAGATTGATCTTCAAGCTGAATAATCACCCAGAAGAAATCCTGTTCCCTCGATAGCAGATTGAAGTGGAGGGAGGTAGATACCAATTAAAAATCAGTTGCATGTAAATCCTAACAGAATGCACTGTTCGAAATTCGATATATATCTGATTATAGTTCATTGAGACTTTTATTATCGATATCTACTGAGAAATCCAACGCAGGTTCTTTCCGATATGCTGTATTTGGGACAACTGTCCAAAACTGGTTATGGTACGAACGTCACAGAAACAAGAATAGGGTTCCCAGATTTCATGGTCTATAGTTACGAATAAATGGGTGATGAATATACTGGTAACATTATCTGGTAAGTTGGAGAGGACCCCTAAATTGATTTTCCATGCAACTTCTTTTTACCCCAATGCAAATATTGGGTTGGATTCCAAAGGAATTAATGTCAGTTGATTAATTAAGGTCAAGACAAAGAATCGGGCCCATAACCTGGATATTGCAAAAAAAGCGAGCGAGAAAGTAAGTTGGTTCTTTTATAGCAACATTGAATATTGCACTAATAATAGAGCAAGAGTGTTTGCTAATAAACTACACCTTAATAATAAAATATTTTCAATATCCGCCTCATTTTTTTTGATTCTTAATTTTTTTTGCAGCCAGAAAATACTTTGCCGCTCTGCAGCAAAACTGCATTGTCTTCGTTGATGGCCCGTAAAGTCCGAGTATAAAGTAGCCAGTATGCATTTAATATTAAGGGATGAATGAAAATATAACGCCTATTTAGTGGTATTGAGTCCAAATGTAGAACTGTACCGCACCTCTCAAGAAAGGATTCAAAGGGAAACCGAACCACACCTGAGCTGATTGGCGTTCATAGACTCCAAAATGGAATGCATTTGGATCATTTTTCAGTCTGGTTAAGCTTCAGGTTAAACGTTTTATTAAATTAATGCTAAGAATATCAAGCTTATTTTTGAAGATGCTTGAAAGAAATCAAATGGTTTATGATTATATAGTATTCATACTTCTCTGGCAGAAAATGTACTAACTTTCGGCTAACTAGAAGTTTTAAACTCCATCTTCATCAATCATCCTCTTCTATGAAAAATTTTCATTTATGCGACTTGATCTAGGATGTTCTGTATAACATGTAAAGCGGGAAATCTAGGCAATTTAATTTTATTGTGCATGGTCGTGAAATTCCTTGGTGAGCTTGAATAATCAAGACAAGGGAATATGTGAACTCAATTACTCTCTGGCAGAAGATATCAATACTACCGCAGTGCATAAAGGCGGAGAAGAACAGCTTCCCCAACGCTTGTCAATGATTTTCGTAGTATAGCACTCATTTAGATGGATCCATTAAGTCAAAAACTGAAGTTGATGGCTCCTCTATTTGTGGGTTCGAAGCATTTGTCTCGAAGAATTCAGTGTTGCGCCTACGATACTACAATTCTTTTACATTTTCTTCTAGCTACAAGGATTTAAGGTCAGTTGTTGAGTAGAGCTATGATAGGCAGTTCTTGTAAGCTCCCATATCAGTAATTTTCACTGAAAACTAAAAATTTTGACTCCAATATACTTTTAAAAAAGTTGTGATTTTTCTCTCCTAATTCTATTAATCGAATCAAGAGATTCAGGGTCAATTTAAGTTTTGTATTAGCATATTGATAAGATAGTACTTATGCTATGTTGACATCATCGTCTACATATATACAAGCTGACACAGGTATAACATCCAAGTGGAACTAAGGTAAAGATATCTCAAATACAAAGTATCGTGATTAGCAAAGAGGATGCAGAGAAGAGAAGAAATTGAGTGGAGCAGTTTTTCCCCAGTAAGAAAGCTGTACGATTGTGAAATACAAGGTATTAACTATGATGCCAATGCTTTTTCTTTAATTTATGGAAAAATCTTATAATGCATTCAAGTTTGATTAGAAAAAATATGAGCAAACCAAGAAGTAAAAAATATTTCTTCTGTAGGCGAACATTAGGGACGGTATTCGAAAAAGCAATTATAACTTTTAAATCAGTGTGTCTTTTTTTGAGGTTTGACGCAAAGCCACTTAGTTTAAACTTTAAAGTAGCATGAAAAATAATTTTATTTTATTCTCTTAAAATTTTGCGAAGATTTTTCTAATAACAGTGCTCCTAATTTATGCCAAAGACGATAAACAATGGCTTAATTCGATACCTTATCTTAGTTCTTCTGTACTCCTATTGTAAAGTTTTTTACTCTGTTTACGAGAAAAGAATGATATGGTCTTAAAGCCAAGGAAAATAACTTGCATCATACACTTGTCATACATACGAATGCAGTCTTGCTTTTGGTACACTTTTGATACATGGAGCGATTCCATTTTTCCTACGATACGAGGCATCTGGTTGCAAGGTAGTTGAGAATTTGATTTCTTTAATAGTGATCTATGCATAAACAAGAAAAGTGATTTACTTCTCACTTGAATTTAACTATTCCTATGTTTTCTGCTTTCAATATGACAATTGAACATGAAGAGGTTATCATCAACTAATACGTTGAAGGCTGTAACGAAAGTTCCATCTGCTTAGGAGCCCCAGGTAAATAGTACTTGTACTATCATAGTTGCATTAGCGATGTTCATTCTTGAATAGCATTAACCGTCACTTGCATAAATGTACCGAGGTACTTTCTTAATCAATATACGGAAATTTCTTTTTGTAACGCAATGATTTGTAATCTGTGAACAAACACCTCAAAGGGTTTCGGTTAGATTTCTTTTTAGCGAAGGAAGCTATTGTTGTAACATCTGAGGGCCACATATATGAAAATTTCAAATATGTTGAGTCGGCTTTTCTCAAAATTTTAACTTTCTTGAAAATATATTTAGCATTATCATTACAAACTTGGGGCGGTTCTAAAAGATTTTCTTTAATTGTAACAGTCCATAAATGCATGATTAGAGTTGTCAAGAAGTTTTAATATAAAATTTCTCACAAGATTACTCCCTTTTTTTGCATAATGCAGAATCACTAAGCAACCAGCTTATTTTTCTGCGTCTTTATTTGTGAAATGCGATTGCCTTTGTACGTTGTCAAAATGTGACAAAATGGAATGATATTTTTTGAGATGAGTAATAAGAAATCTTGTTACTCGCTTAGATGTTTTAAGTGATAGGTTGCTTAACATAAAGTGAAATCCTGATTTGTCTTATGATAGAATCCTGAAATGATCGCTAATTCACCTCAATAAATCAGGGATACTCTGTAAAATTTAAGAAATTGTGCGTCTTGCAAGGGTCAACTTGATATGCAGCAAATCCTAAACTAGTCGGCTAATGATACAAAAAGAGAAGCTTCCAAGCTTCCATTAATTGAAATTGAAGAACAAATTAATATATTATGCTATCGTAAATGCGAGTATTCCATAGACTTTGCTCTTATGAAAAATAATTATTATTCAATATAAAGAAGGCAGTTGTCTACATGCATGATATGTCGTATAAGAGCTGTACGCTGCAGGCAAAGACTCTAACGTACACTGATATACTGTCTTGAAGAAATAAAATAATGGCTGCTCTGAGCAATACAAAACCATATATATATATATAAAATTCAATTTCACCGAAAAAAGTTGGAAAATTAAGCGTTTAGTCACCAAGATCATCAATAACTTAGTTTTGCATGACTAGAGCAATAGCGAACTTTCTCTGGCTTCTCGCCATGATAACGCTGGTGGTGAATGCTGCTTCTGTATATGGAATCTTTACGGGAATAACCTCCATCACTAATATAGTGAGTGGTCTGCCTTCGGCCCCACCGTTGCCTATTTGGCAAGCAACAGTTTCATGGGAAATGGATAGTAGCGAGATATCTGAAGGAGATACCTTCACTTTGCATATGCCATATGTATTTAAATTCTTGACTACAACTTCAACGGCTTACCTCTCGGTAGGATCTACGAATTATGCAAGCTGTAATTTATTTACTGGAGGAGTCATTGTTAACTATTCAGAACTCCAGTGCACAGTGTTGAGCTCCATAGCTTCAGTAAATACATTAAATGGTACGTTATCCTTCGGTATAGCATTTCAAGCAGGTTTAGGCTCGCGTCAAATGGATTTAGATGCTGCTGGTATATTCACTGCTGGATCTAATACAATCACTTGGGATGATGGTCAGAATCTGTTCCAAACTACAGTTTCATTTGACGCAGGAAGGCTGAATTCTCTTACAACAATAGATCCAAGCAAACTCAATATCGCATACCGTACCATTCCAAATTTTCAGCTTGTTCAGAACCTTATCGTAGGCTCTAACTGTACCAATGGAGTCGTTTCAGGAACCTTAGGATTTACAATTACCGCAGGTGGTACTATAGATTGTACAAGTGCGAAGGTGTCAATGTCTAACAAGCTTAATGACTGGTATTATGCAAAATCTGTTCAACAACTTACTTATACTGGAACGTGTAGCTCATCTCTGTTCGTTGTTAGCTATACTAATTTGCCAGCAGGCTTTAGAGCGCTCATAGATGCAAATCTTATTCCTTCTATGATTGACAAAGCATCAGTGACATACGTAAATACTTACAAATGTGTTGGAAGCACATCATCCCAAACATATGGCTATAGTGCTAACTGGTCACCTTACACTACTGTGAACGGTGACTCAAATGGGAATGCTGTCCAATTAAGTACTCGAACTTGGACTAACTCCTATACACAAGTTACTACACTACCCTTTAGTACAGCACTGGGTAACACAAAAACAATATTGGTCAATGTTCCTATTCCTACAACTACAGTTACACTGACTTGGCTGAGTTCATTCATTACGACAAAGACTTCTACAACTACAATTGGGGGTACTGCGAAAGTAGAAATTGACATTCCCATTCCAACCACTACTACTACAACTACCTGGACTGGGTCACAAATTTCTACTACAACTATTTCTGGATCAATTGGTGGCACAGCCACAGTGATCATAGAACTACCAACCCCTATTACCACTATTACTTCAACTTGGAGTGGGAACAGTACTCAAACTATCACTTTCACAGCCTCGCAGGGTGGCACCAATACTGCGATTGTCAATGTTCCTACTCCTACTACTACTATAACTAGTACATGGACAGGATCCACCGTATCCACAAGCACAAAAGCAGCTTCATCTGGTGGTACTGCTACTGTGATTATTGAAGTTCCTACTCCTACTGCTACTATAACTAGTACATGGACAGGATCCACTGCATCAACAAGTACACAAACAGCTTCATCTGGTGGTACCGCCACGATTATAGTCGAAGTGCCTACTCCTACTACTACTATAACTAGTACTTGGACAGGTACTGGTATCGAGACGACTACAGTGACAGCTTCTGTGGGTGGTACCGCCACGGTTATAGTCAAAGTGCCTACTCCTACTACTACTATAACTAGTACATGGACAGGATCCACCGTATCGATAAGTACACAAGCTGCTTCACCTGGTGGTACTGCCACTGTGATTGTTGAAGTTCCTACTCCTACGACTACCATTACTAGCACATGGACTGGTAGTGCTGTCGAGACCACCACCGTGAGTGCGTCAGAGGGTGGTACCGCTACTGTAATTGTTGAAGTTCCATCTCCTACTACTACCGTTACTAGTACATGGACGGGTACTGATGTCGAGACCACTACCGTGACTGCCTCTGAAGGTGGTACTGCCACTGTGATTGTTGAAGTTCCTACTCCTACGACTACTATTACTAGCACGTGGACCGGTACCACAGTTGAGACCACTACGATTACTGCCTCTGAAGGTGGTACTGCCACTGTGATTATTGAGATTCCAACTCCTACTACTACTATTACTAGTACATGGACAGGTACTGATGTTGAGACCACCACCGTGAGTGCGTCAGAGGGTGGTACCGCTACTGTAATTGTTGAAGTTCCATCTCCTACTACTACCGT